TCCGACATCCTGTTCGCTGTTTTGCCGCTGGACAATCTGCCCACCCCTCAGTGGCGGCGCCTGCACATGGTCTCGTGCGGGCATGCGCAGTGTCCAGAATCACAGCAACAAGGAGTCCTGAGGCCAAGGGGGCCTGCTCCTGCTCAAGGCGCTCGACATTTGTTCTTTCCGCCCATTTTCTGAACCACACCTGCACCAGTGAAGTCAAGTGGGTCACAAGAGTAGTTCCTGCGTAGCGCTGGGGCCTGGTCGTGTGACTCCTGCACAACCTCCACGGTTCGTACCTGAGCTGAGTCTGGCCACATGTTGTACAGCGGCTCTGTGGGCCTCAGTGGGTCCAATGGGTTTAAGCTCCGAGCTACGGCCTGCTCCAGCCCTTGGGGGATTCCATTTACGTTGACAGCCTCGGCTTGTTTGACTTTTCTCGACGGATGCTGACAGCGACGAGGCACCGGCCCTGTCACCGCCGGGTCCATGGCCTGCCAGATTCTTTCTTCTTTATATGTAGCTCCTCATTGTTCTTGATTCACCTGGTACTGCGCTTTTGTGTTCTATCTATATATATATATATATATGTACACATGCTTTTTCGTTCGAGACGACTGCACGCTTGGCATCCGCCAGCACCCAGACAGGTGGCTCGCAGCTCTGCTATTTGGCATTCAGGACCTGGTCCAGGTAGGACTTGCCCAGACTGGCGTCATACCTCCAATGATGCTACGAATTGGGCATGTTGCCATGGCTAAGGGCTACAGCCACAATGGCCCCACAATTGCAAAGGACATCGTCTACAGTAATCTAGTAAACATAGCGCAAGCAAGCGGCTTCTGCAGAACGTGCAGCACCACGTCGTAGGAGTGATAAATCTCGTGCAGGATCAACGCCAACTTTAGGAGCTGGTCCCTGGAATGGCTCTGCAGCTCCCAAAGGTCGCGGACATAAACAGCATCGGCCCAAAGCTGCTGGGAAATGGGTTGCAAAGGATTCGCCGCGAGGTGCAAAGGTTTCATGGGCCTTCCATGAAGCGAAACGAAGCGGTGGAACACGAAGCCCTGGCTCCGAAGGAAGCTGTCCACATCTGCAAAAAGCGGCTGGCGCTCGTACATGTCGACGAACTCAACCTTCGGAAAGGGCGCAGCAGAACACATCACATCAATGCCCATCAACTGCATCAACATGCATCAACCGCCCTCTCAGCATCTCTCAGCATGTCCGACGATTCTGAGGCGATGCGACGAGGGGCCTCGGTATGAATCACTAAGACGTCCTTGAGAGCCTGCTCAGCTCCCTTCAGCACTGACAGCTCGAAGCCTTGCACGTCGATCTTCAAGTAGTCGACTCCTTTCCCTGGAATCTGGGGAAGGAGGTCGTCCAGCCTTCTTGTTTGCATTTCGGTGCGCTCCACCACTGTGGTGACCTCCTCCAACTGCACAAAACGGCGCAGAAGCGGGATGTTTGGCTCCAGCATCGAGGAAGTCATTGCTGCGGAACAGCGTCGGAACTGCCCCCTGGAGCCGTCACCCAGAGCCCAAGGCAAAAATCTGAAGACGCAGTCGGCACCCTCAACCTCGCCATCAGCACTCAGGCTGTCGATCAACGCATTGAGCCGATCGCACTCTTCAGAGCACGGCTCAAAACCCACCACCGACTCACAGTGACCCCTCCGCTGCAGCGGGCGCCACACTTCCTCTGCTTCATCGAGGAACATGGCGCCGACATCTACGACGCGGGTCCTGGGCAGTGTGGCCACACCAGCCTGGCTCAGAAAGTCTCGAAGTGGGAAGAGCGGTGGTGGGTGCTTTGGAGCCGATGTCGCCACCCCTTGGCCGGCTTGCCCGGCTTGCCCATTTGGTGTCGCGTGCGGAGCTGGGCCTGACGAGGCTGACGACGTGCCAGGTGGCGCAGATGCCAGTGGAGGGTCCATGGATATTTTGTACACCGAATCACGTGGATACTGGTGCTTTCTGTCAAACTTTATGCTGGACACTTATGTGGTTGTGCCGTGGAAACCTAATCCGAGAGTCTAGCTGCCCTGGCAAAAGTCGAACCAAAGTGCTAACCACATCCGGCCATTTTTTCGGTATACTTCGTCTCCGAGCCACCACGTCGCAAGCCAAGCCAGACCAAATCAAGCGACAACAAGGGGCCGGTGTTATGGGGCTCTGTGGGGCATAAAGCAGCACGATCAACCGGCCTATGGCCACATCGTCGACGTGTATGTGGCAGCCTGTTCGGAGCTGCAGCTCTTTCACGTTCGCACCTGCAGGAGAAATTCGTAAATTCTCGCAGCTCCAAGAGAGGCCAACTAGAATGTGCATAAATTCGCATGTCCGACCAACTGCTTCTTGGACAGTGTCGCCTTTCACACCGATCAGTGCGCTGATGGAGCGTGAGGGCATAACCTGACACAGGAAACAGACAGACACTTCAACCAGGTTCAACCTCTCGATCACATCGAGGCTTTGATACAAGTAGGCTTTTCATCGATTTTTGCCGAAGAGCGATTGCCAAGCGCCGTTCATCCTCGTGGCCCGGCATGATGCACTCGGAGCAGTTGTTGACCATCGCCAAGATTTGTTTCACAGCGGCCACCTTGGTTTGTTCTTTAGCGTAGGCTGCCGGCTGGGGGAGTGGAGCAATGTCGTGTAGGATGGTCTAGGATATTCTGGCCAAGCGGCGATGTGGTCCCATGCTGGCGACTCTATGGTTATCACCTGCAATCAGGACGTCGGGAGCTAGCAAAAAAGACATGGGATGAAGTCCAGGCCTGGTGGTCGGTTCCAGGATAGACATCATTGGGCTCGGTCATCTGCAACTTACCTGGAAAGCATGACATGCTGCGAAACATCGCCAAAATTAAACAACTACGTGGCTACATGAAGCACATGCGTCTTGAATCTTCCTGGCCTTGAGCTGCATGCTCGATGACGGCCTGACTAAACCTTGAATGAGCTTTGAGCACCGCAGAATTCGTTTGGAGTGCGTTGCGGCATGCTGCGACCAAGTGCTGGCCAGAACACTGAATGGCACTTGCCAGTGTCTTTGGTGCCAGCAGCTTGAAGGTTGGCGTACACAGGTCAGCATGCTCCTTTTCAAGCTGTGCTTGGAGAGGCATGTTTAGGAGCGAAGCTCTGACAGAAAACGGCTGAAAGGCTGAAAGCCGAGCCTCCCGTCTTGGCCTCTTGTCGTCACCTCCATCTTCCAGGAGGGATCTTTTTAGCATCCTTGTTGAGTCAACATGAGAAGGTTCACAGAAGGTTCACCGAAGGTTCACAGATGGCAACTTTTTTGCCACCGGACTCACAGATGCCTCTGCAAAGCGAGATCTCAGACAGAAGGACTTTTGTACTTGGACCTGGGATGCTGACTCCTGGTGGCCGCCCCGAACCAGCTCGCCCGGCACGCGCCTGTGTGCTGCAAGATGCCGGAAGAATGGGGACTTTTCCTGGCGTTTCCTCTAAGATCGCATTGGAGTGAGGGCCTTGCGGTGCTCAAGAAAGAGGCACATGGCCACTAACTCGAGTCAAAACGGCCGCCAGGGTGAAGGTGTTACCCGGTCACACACACACACACACATCCTGGAGCCTCTGCGGTCCTGAAGCTTCCTTCGAGGCAGCAATCTGGGTTTCACACCCTCGAGACCGGCCTGTGACCTGTAGCCACAACATGTATGAATCTTCGATTTGATGGCATGAGTTCTATCATGTTGAATACCGATAGGTGCGACGCACTTTCTTCCCCGCGACCGCGCAAGCACATCCTGGATCGTGGTTGCAGACCCGTGAACAGAAGTGGTTTATACGTTTAGTCGAGATGTCGAAGCCGGGCTTCGGGCGCAGCGCCTGCTGTGGATCAGCGCCGCCTCCCAGCGCCTCAGATGTTTTAAAATGCTGAGCTCACAGGCGGGGTCTCTCTTAACGAGCACGGTGATCTAAGTGTGCCGCACACAAGCTCGCTGCAACAAAAGTGTCGCCAGCCCCTAAGGAGTCGACGGCCTGCGAAAGCATCCATGGTCACCCAGAAGCATGGAACAGAATGGCGCAGGATCACGCGGGCAGGGCTGCGGGCAGCCACTCACAAACTGGGAAGATCTGGACCAGCAAGAATCAAGCCGGCCTCGACCGCTAGTGCCTTTTCAAAATATGCCTGCAAGGACTCAGACTCTCCGATGTGCGACATGGACCGGCTTACAGCGCGCCTCACCGCTGGGAAGCTCCTGGGTTGTAGACTTGCTCACGCTTCGTGCTCACGCTACCATGTGACAAAGGCCTTCCCTAGCTCTGTAGATTTTCTTGTGCTTGCTTCACAGGGGAGTCTAAGGCGTCTCAGGTCTTGGCCAGGGCAAACGCGCCAAAGGACCCCCACGGACAGATCTTGGATCAGAAGCGCTCACAATGCGTAGGCAGTTGGTGAAGCTTTGGCGTCCAAAGGCCAACAAGTTCTTCTGGTTCTCATGTCGAGGACATGGCCCACAGCGCCCTCCAATCTTGGACCTGGCCATGTTGAAGTCTGTGTCGGTCCACACAAGACGTTCATCTTATATATAGATATATATATAGATATACATATATCCTATGCTTGAAGACCTGGAGTAATGGTCTATCGTATGTTGACTGTTATAAGCACTACAATGTTGTGAGATCATTGGCGCTGCGAGGAACCTTCGAAGCGAGGGCCCGCAAGCAATGCAGAGCCATGTGGTCTTGCCTCAGCTCAATTGGCATGCCTTCTTCTGCTACTTATGCTGGCCACCTCTTGCGCCATCTGCGTCATTGAGTAATGATGCTGCCCACGCTGAGATCCATGGCCAGTTGGTGTTTGGAGGGTTTGGACCGGCCTGCGAAGTGGCCAAGCACAAGGACTGCCAACGTGGGCTCAACTGTCAACATAGCGTGAAGCCTCCGTGCCGAGTAAGTCTGAAGCTCGGCCCCGAATAAAGTCGCTCGAGAAGAAAGCCACGTCGCCTCACTGCCAGGCAGCGGTTGGCTTCTTTTTACTTACCTGTCCTGATGCTTGGGCTGGGGCAACGCTGGAGGAGCGGAAGCAAAGGGGCCACCTATGTGTGATACCATTAGCATGCGAGAGATTCGAAGGGTGCGAAGAGGTTTGCAGAGGAGCTTCTCAGCTGCCCTCATGCCCTCTGCGTGGGTCTCGTGAGTGCTCCGCCCCAAGGTCCAGACTTCCAAAGATGGTTTCTCTACCTGCGGTACACAAGCTGCCAGGCAGAGAGAACCAAACAGAAGTGGATGGATTGGCCGACCTCGACCGAAAGGATGGGCTTCGGAGCGTTCCTACAAGGGGTGAGAAGTAAACGTGTGTAAACATTCCACAGAATCGCCATGGTTGTGTTCTCTGATGCTTTCTGAGTTAGGAACCCTCGGCGCAAATTCCCTTCCTCCGTCCCCACGTGCGGCGTTACCTGACCCTGTATGGCGGCATGTGGCGGCCACCGACATCCCGTGACTGGTGCATAGCAGAGTCTGCCGAGCAGCCCCAGCACACACGGATTGCTTTGACATTTAACCTGGTGCCACGTGGGGCAACGAGCATACCAGATGCCTGAGGTCAGAAACTTCTGGACGTAGAATCGATGCCATGTGGAGCACCTGGCTTCCAGGTCTTTGTCAAGCCATCGACATCTACTGACCATGCTCTTAGTTGAGGATGCTGCTAACGGCATCTGTCGACATTCCAGGTGGCACCTGTCCAACAGACATGCCTGACACCGCTGCGGCGACACCCTCCCTCTTCTTCTACGCATTGTACTCCAGCTGCGGCCCTCGCCAGCAAAGGGGCGCACCACTGGTCTTGACCTTCCACAAAGAAGGGTGTACCATGTTTTTTTCTTACACCAACTTTTCAGCCGGAAGTACCAGAAGTCAAAAGCAGTCTATCATAGACCGCTGGCAGGACGACGGCATCTGGCTTGTGCGCCAAGAAAAGCATCCGGGGCCGCCTGCTCAAGCACCCGATGCAGGTGCTCGGCATCCATCTCCTTCAGTCCACGCCGCCTTAACGTTCGTACCGACATGGCAGCAGAAGCAACAGAAGCAGACCTCCAGATAAGCCCGGCGATCCCCAGAAGGATCCCCCAAGGTTCCAAGGTCTGAACGACGAGATGATGGTCCGCGCCCCGGAGTCTGCACCTTGAGCCCAACAGATTATCGACTGCTGCCTTCCAGCCAACCACCCAAGTGCAAAGGAATGGCGACTCTAAGGTGGGGTCTTAGCACCACGAAGCTGGTGGGAAGCCCAATGGTCGGGTCACCGCTGGCGGAGACCTGGTCTGTCCAGCTGAAGGGCAAGCCCCGGAGCTAATTGGGCCAGGGCTCGAATGGCTCGAGTCCCCCGAAATGGTACACAGTATCTCGGTGGTCCCAGTGCGACATGCCACGGCCGCTCATCGGCACGAAGGACGGCGATGCGACCGCCAAGACAAGAACATTGCTGTCAGGTTGCAGATGAATGAGCTTTTCTGCACAACCTACGCTACGAGGGTGCGAATCACTTGACGATGATCCGTATCTGCTTGACTTCTTTCCCACAGGCAGTGCGCTAGCTCGGCTTGGCAGCTACAGCCCTGCGTTCGGTGATATGTTCTGGCTTCGCGCACAAAGCGCTAAGTGCCCAAGCAGCAAAGTTTCTGGAGGCTCCGACAAAGATTTGGGGTAACTCGTGTCGACTCGATGGTGATGCCATCAGATATCATTGATGTCATCAATTACTTTTCGTCGAGCTTCACGATTTGGGTACGCCCTGAGGGGAATACATGCCCGCAAGAGCATGATCAAGCTCACAAAGCTTGAGGTCAGGCTGCGTGAATACAAGGAGCAATCTGGTCATGCCGGCAAAATCTGCAGTGGCTTGTTTGATGTCTGCACTTGGTTAGCGGATGCCTGGCTTGCAACATCCACTCTCGTCTCTCGCGGTGGGGGGTGGGGGTACAGCTTGTCGCTGCAGGTTTCAGCGTTTTCCTGCGTGGGCTGGTTAGATACCTGGAAAACGTGTTTGTGCACAAACGATGGCAGAGTCCATCGAGGGGACAAGGTGGGGCTCTTAATCGGTGCTAGGGGCACTCGGAAAGTCAAGGATTGGCGAAAGAAAGTTGCTGTGAAGTCTGGACTCCACGCACACACACAGTAATGACAGCTGAACGTTCTACTTGCTGACTGTCAAAGTCTGCCTACCATCATCATGTGCGCTGGGCATGACCTGAGGCAAAAGCTTCCTGAAGCAGCCTGAGCTAGCACCATTCATTGCAACGTATAAGTTCTAAACAAATTTGCCCGTTGAAATGCACTTACCTCAAAGCGGAGTGGCACAGGCTTGCCTTGCAACCGAGAAGCGACGTCTCCACTCCTTCGCGGAAAGCAGCATCGTTTCTCAGGGCACCCACCATCCAGCGACTATCCCCAGCACATCTCGCCTGCCTCCTGCTTGGAGAACTTTGAGTGCGAAGTCGACATCTGCTTCTCCCCGGTGAGCAATGATGCCTTGGCATCTTCAGGAGGTTGGTGGTTGCGCAACGGTCATAGAGTCACACCAGAGCTCAGGCTGGAACCCAGGGAGCTCACATGTTGCCTGTCCACCCAGAACGCTTCTTTGCTACTCTTTGCATGGCACTGTGGCAGAGGATGGAATGTCATGGATGCTTTGATCTTATGCCCTGCAAGGCTTTTCAGCGCCCAGCCCTGCTGGAACCAGCTGCGCCAGCACCTTACGGAGCAGTGTAAGCCAGATGCAAGTGTTTTTGGCGGCCGTGGAAAGGTGCACTCCGCATCTTCAAGAGTCCAGCTCGACAGCTGTTTGCACAGTTGCCTGCAGGCGTTGCAGAAGTTGAACGATAATTTTGTCTGGGTTGCAGGAGGCTGGCCTCCCAATGTTTTTGTGAAGGACGTTGCCCTGTTGCAGCGCGGTTGCTATGGAAACGCGTGGCAATGCTGGGACAACGTAGGCACATGGGTCGGTACCTATGCTTTTTTTCCTGTACAAGCCAGGAGCTCTCCAGGCCCAGATGAAACTCGAAACTCGAAACCAACAGGCTGCTGCTAACTTGCCACACTCACATTGGTAAGTGGGATCGAAAGCCGGATGTCCTTGCACGCGCGACTGCGCGGGTGAACTGAAACATTACTCAGGTTGCCCGTCCTGATTGATTTCGTAGATCATTGCACCCACAGCCCAGTCAATGGGCTTGCCGGCATGCGATGTCTTGAAAACAATGTTGTTCCGCTCCTGCGGGAAAATCAGAAACAGCGACGAGCTCAGAATCAACAATCAATAGCGTCCTCCATACCGTAGCCAAAACTGAGAAGAACGTAGGCAAAGGTTGCATGGAAGCATAGATGAACTCGATCGTACTCGTCCTGTGCCAAAGCCCGCAAGCTCCATCGCGCTAGTGGCATCCCTCTGCAGAAAAAGACGGTCCTCTACCCGAGAGAAGAGGGAATTGAGAACTTCTATGGTCAGAGAGCACCTGGGCAACCAGGCTTGGGCAAGGGCCCCAAATGTTGCCCGGACGATGCTTTGTTCGAGGGGACTCCGGAACGCTATCAGGAAGGTTTGACATGGTTCAGGAAGTTACGTTCGCTTTTTCAGAAGCAGACCTTAAAGCCAAAAAAGTTGGTACCCTGCTTGGAATTCTTCACCCGGTCGTGCTTTGGCTGTGACCCCTGCCCTCAATGGCAAAGTGGCCGCGGTGCTTTCGCCAAGATGCGCAGCAAAATGCTGAAGGTTTAACGGTTTGCTAGTCTGCGCATCCTTCCACGAATTCCAGCACCCGCTCTCTAGGCAGACCGTGCGCGCATATCGGTCACAAAGCGGTTAAAGATCGAACAACAGCCAGGACGGGCGCCATTTTCACAGAGAGTGAAGAACAGAAAGCCAAAGTGAGATTGATTGATTAGTTGACTGATTGAGATTGCGAGAACAAGAGCCCAGGTTGTGGGCAAGCCATGGGTGGCCGCGTTGGCTCGGGTGCGCTGGGGCCCGGACACGTACTGCGTGGCGGCTCTGAAATCTTCGAGTTCGGTGGTTTCGGGTAATCCTAGATCGCTGGCAATGTCCGCGAAGTGTGCCTCAGCTGCATCATCAGAAACAAATCACCATTCGACCTGTAAGGACGTGTGGCTCAGCCTAAGAAGCCATGTGGCAAAGGCGAGGAACTTCGCTTCATAAAGCCGTGGCTGATAAACGCCATAGAACGAACCTGGGCATTCCAGAAGCGAATTCCCCCCCCCCCCCCCACCCTCCCTGACCCGAGAGCAATCGAGGCAGGGAGCATTGCGTCACCAAGCAGGGCGCGTCCTTGTTGAAGATTCTCATGATCAACTTTTCGCACTGTGGGAAGTTGCCGGTGCCCTGCATCTTCACCTGGACGGCTACTGTAGGCACTGTGGAGTACTCTGAGCGAACTGCCGTGTTCAAATTTCGAAAGTATGGATGGTGACGGGCAGCCTTGATAGCTGGAAATCTGGCAGTGCTGTACGAGAACCTTGGCGTGTAGATGTAGCCTTTGGCAAAGCACGGGTGATAGACTTCCGTCTCCTTGGAGTCTGGTAGCAGGCTGCGTTTCGAAACATGGATGAATCATCTCACAAGTACATATGTCTTATTCGGCCCCTTTTCTCCATTTTCACCAGCACAGCAGCCGACTGCACCATCTCAAGGGCATCAGAAATTACTTTGCCGGCCGTGCTATGTGCAGCCTGGCATGCTGCACATGCGAGCTCCCGTCTCTCCCTCAGCCACAGAGCCCACAATGCACGCCTCTCGCACTCCGAAGTGAAGGAATGAGAACGAGTAGAGCTCGAAGCGGTGTGGGCCTGCAGAGCGAAGCTCTGAAAAGGCCCGGAAGGCCGAAGGGACCGAAGTAGAAGTCTTTTCATTTGGGTGTGTTGCTGCATGCAAGTTCTGAGCTCTTCCTCTAGGGATAACAACCCCCAGCCCCGACTTGTCTTGCATTGCCAGGCGAACTTCGCCCGTCCGTCTAGACTAGATCTGGGGCTTGGGTGCTGTGCCATCAAAAAAAATATATATATATATGTATAGTTTTTTTTGTGTTTTTTCATTCTTCTTGTCTTTTTTAGTGCTTGTTGGTCGGGGTCCCGAAGTTTGCACAGACCGAGTGGTTCGGAGAGATGCAACAACGAGATCCCGTCACATCCATCCTATGCATGTGAGGAGCGACGGGCACTATTCTGAAGGTCTTGCAGGAAAAAAAGGAGCAACTGACAGTGGCAAAATTTCATGCTCTGGAAAGCTGGCAGACACATTTACCGTCATGGGATTCAGGGTCAGGCCCAACTTCAAAGGGAACGCGTGCTGAATGATCGATTTCTTGGGCATGAACACGATTTGAGCCTCGGCCCAGGCTTGAGTCGACTCAAAAAGATGGAGGAAGGCGGCAACTTGCGCTTCTCTGGCTTTCCTCTGGGCTTGGAATCTGCAACATCCGAATCCGAGGTGCAGAGGCTCCACCTAGATCGAGGGAGCCCACGGTGGTGTTTGACGCTGGCTTGCGGTCTGGCGCAAGGTTGCCCATCAGGTAGTTCCTGCCAAAAGGGGCTGCCACATCTCATATATTGCATGCGGCGATCGGCACAGTGCTAGGAGGCGTACGCAGAGATCCAGCCGAAGACTCCTTCCTCCTGCATGCAGAAGTCAGTACTAGCAGTCTCATCAGTAAGCCCGCGCGCATGCTCAGCCAGGACTTCTGACTTCTAGTGGCTTGAGCCTCTCCCGTGGCAACGGAAGCCATGTCATCGCCTTTACTTCTCAACACAAGGGAAGTTAAAACCACTGAAGTCACGTTGCTTGTGAAGGCTGAGTGGGCTGACGAAACAAGAATGGCGACGTCCAGAAGTACGATCGAATGTCGTCCTGAGGCGGTGCAAGACATGGTCGAGCATCTCTCGCAGATATAGCTGTCGATTGCAATCAAATGGCCAAGAATCCAGGATGTCTTCACGCTGATCTGGGAAAAGCAGGCGCATTCCAGCTGTTGCACGAAGATAGAGTGGCGTCTGGGCCCAGTTTGCTTGTTCCTCAGAGGTGCAGACAGTGTAGCAAGCTTAGCAAGCCTGATCCTCCTCCATCTTCCCTACTGTGGTCACGTTCACTGGTCAAGCCGAACGTCGTGCTTGAGTTCCTGCTTCATGTACTCCACCAAGGATTTCAATGATAGCCCGGCTTCACCAGGATTCTGAGCAAAGGAGGCTATGCCCGGCACCGTGCCTTGGGAAGGGTAAGCAATATGCAAGTGCTGCCTGCGCGCAGTTTGTACGGCTGCTGCGCTTCTGCTTCCGCCTGTCCCGGCCGGAGCCAGGGTGTAGTCTTGAGATGCTCTGAAAACTTTTCAGCTGGGTGGCTGAGTTCACCGAGTGACTCAGGAGCAATGATTTGACCTTGGCTGATCAGGCCGTGCAATGGCGTTGATGTGATGTCTCCGAGACTGCCGCGATTCGTGTCTGCAGGCTGCCATCGCAGGATGTAGATCCGGGATCCTTCGCTCCCTGCAACTGGCAAACGACCCATGCACACCACGTTGCACATACATGCAGAGGCTAGGTCGTGTCGACATTACGGCAGGGTTGGAAGTGACCAGTTCCAACAGGCACTGAAGGTCATGCACCGAGGAGCCTGCATCGATGAAAGCACCTTGCCGGCATTGCCGTGAACATGCCTTTGACCATGCTTGTTTGATTGTTTGCCGCACATGCTGCCGAAGCACCGTATCGCCAGCTCAGCTTTGTGCTTGCCTCTTGGTTTCACGCTCTTTCATGCTGGCAGCTAGCTAGCATTAGCTAGCCGCTAGCTGCTGCCCCAGATTTCTAAGCGGCTGCTGGTGCTGTGTGTGGCTGGCTGAGGGACAAGCTGTAGTCGCAGAGAGAATCAAAGCCAGGATCCGAAGCGACATGGGCATGGCCCAATGACACTACTAATGTTTGCTAGTGAAATCTGTTGAAGTTGCAGTGTTTGTGGTCTTTTGTTCCTACCACACCCGCCTGGCACCAGAAATTCGTACCGTCGTACAGCACATGTCAGCTTTCCAAGCTGGATCATGCAAACGGCAACGGCGCAACTGCCAGAGTCTTCAAATCTCCTGGCACTGCTTAGATTCATGATGAACTCCTGCGCCTGGCCTTGTTGACGAATCCTCTTTGGGATACGTTGGAACCTTCCAAGACAAGAACACATTACTCTACGTAGAGGTGAGGGCTCCCGTCGCCTGCAAGACGGTGTCGATGCAGATGTTCCCATACAGGGCGAACCGGCCTACGACAAGATGCCAAGTGCATGCCTTTCGATGTCAAGACTTGCCAAAACAAACCGGCTCGCCCCGACTCACCCACCCACACGTCCGCGCATGGACATGATGAGGCATGCAATGACCAACAGATTCTCAAACACGCCCAAAGACCTGCGCCAATGCGTCAATTCAGACCCTACCTACCTACGTACTGTGTCGTGAAACGGTGGCTTTGCCACGGTGCTACAGAACTCCTTAATTGGTCAAGGAATTGCCCAAGGTAGTGGAGTTGGTCCCAAGGGTTAAATCCAAGTACTTCTGGATCCGATCTTCCACTCCATCTTCAAAGCGTGGCTTCGACAGCTCCTTTGTGGGCCTCTTCGGGAAAAGGGCTGCCTGTGAGCGAAGCCTGTGCTTCAAGACGTGCCGAAGACGCTTGCGGGAAGCGTCCATGCCTTTCTGGGTTAGCATCACGCGCGCTGCCCCGCAGCAAACCTGGCGAACGGTAGCCAAGTAACTTGTGGTCAGCACCAGGTCCACTTGGACCGTGACCTCTGCCCGCTCAGAAGCCAAGATATTGCCGTGCTCCTGTAGCTGACTGGATGCGGCCTCCAAAATCTCATGGTAGGTGATGATGTTGTAAATGTCATCTTGCACCTCGAAGTCAGAGTCTGAAGGCGCCAGAGTGAAGACAGCTCCTATCCAGTCCATGTCAATCAAGTATGTGGATGTACAGCCGGGCACGTAGTGGCAACTGTCGTGGCCATACTTTTGCGCGCCATGCTTCACAAGGGCGGGGTTTTCAAGTTTGGAGCAAAGCTCGCCGTCGGCATAGATCATGATGCCCAGCAGGGCCACGTCACTGGCGCGGATCCACTCTGGGTTTCCCTTGGAAGGGTCTAGAAATGCCCAGAATGAACCCAGCAAAGTGGGCTCCAAGTCTTACACATAACTTCCGACTTAGGACCTGTTCGGACTGAGGGCCGCGTCCTTAGCTCAACCCTTTGAAGCCAGCGCCTCGTACTTTCCGAGGCAGATGAGTCCAGCGTGAACTGGCAGAGCTGCGTGGAAGTAGAGCGGCTCCGCAGCATCAACCTGCTCCACCCATACCTGGGAGATGGGGGCTCCATGTGCCTACTATGATATACCTATACATACATCTATATATTATGTCTTTACATGCACGCACTAAATGATGGGTGGGCGGGCGCTCCTGCCAGATGATTCGTACGGGAGCCCACGGCCCAACTGAACCCCCTCAGTTTGCCGACGCGCCTCCATTCTGGGATAGGCCGGGCCTACTTTGAAGGTAGAGGCAAACTTCACCTTCCCGGCGAATTTGCCCCAAGTGTCCACGAACTCGCGATCAACGACCAAGTGCTCCGCAGGCTTCGGATGAGCTGCATAGCCTTCAGGGCGGACTTAGAGTCTGCCTGGGGGCAGTCTCCGTTTAGGACCCCCTCATTTCCTAAGTATGAAACCAACAGATGCTCGAAGATTTTGTGGAAAAGCTCTCCTTCCGAGTCAGTTGCATCCTTTCCCACAAACGGCCCTCGCAGAACTGGAGCCGTCACTGGCCGAGGAGTCTGCAGCTTTTGCAAGGTGTCTTTGATTCGCTGCCTGATTGGCCACACATCGTCAATTTTGGCTTGAATCTTGCGATCCAGCAGCCAATCTGCATCCGGTGGCGTTTTGGAGGGCGATGTGCGCAAGGCATTTTCTGTGGGTTGGCTCAGCTGGTCCACCTTCACGTTTTCTAGCAAGGTGCCGTCAGCAAATCGAACCTGAAAAACTCCATCTCCTGTTCGCCGGATCAGCTCTGCCACGAATCTCTTTGCTCCGTGCGTTTCGACCCAGACTGCAACTTCACGCGTGTGTGGGGTCACCCAATCCAGCTCTGGCAAAAAGAGTTCTTGCAAGTACTGTTCCTCGACGCACTGGGTATCCCTGTAGTCTATTTGCACTGTGTACTCATAATTGTGTCTCTGTAGTGCGGCACAAACTCCAGTAATTTTCCCGAATAGTAAACCTCCGGTGAAGTCGCGCTTCTGAGACTCATCGATCTTGCAGTAGCATCCCACGCGATGACTGCACGCAGGTGCCGAGCCCATTTCAGCAAGCACCTTCAAACATCTTAGCACCTTGAGCCGAATGATGATGCCGTCACGAATCTTTGGTGGCGCTCTACTGAGTTGCTCTTATTTCTGCACTGCCACATCATGCGATGGGAGCCTTGTAGCGGCCGTGGAAGAGGAAACAGCCTCTTCGAAGAAGGCTCCTTCTGCAGGTCAAGGAGCAACGTGTTGAAACTTAAAAAGGCTCTTGGCTATTTCCGTGTGAAGGTAACAAATATAATGTAACGCTGGCTGACAGCAGTTCCTCGTCGTCACGCCTCCGCTTCATTCTCGGATGGCTGTTCTAGTTCCGCACCGCCAAATGCGAATGCCTAAAGCAAAAGACCGCTAGCTCATTGCGTTTGTTTCTGTCTCTATGCCGCAGTCTACTTCCATTGAAAAACGCTGTGCAGTACTTGTGCTGTAGTATCGCGGGTATGTCATCTAGTTGGTGGACTCTTGAGATGCTCAGCAGACATGCTCAGCAGGAAATCCAGCTGGTGCCCCCAGCGCGGGAAAACATAGACAGCTCTCTGTGTGACTTTAAGTGCTAATTGCTAAGCGGATGCTTTTTCTACGTCTCTTTCAATTGCAGCCGATGCAAGGCTTCTCTGGCGAGCCCCAGTTGCTTTGCTACTCGAGCACGGCTGAAGATGACGGGGCAACTTGCATTGAGGCATCTTTCGCTTACCTCGCCTTTGTCTGCAGCTGGATCGTCAGCAGGCAGCTGTGGAAACCTCGTGGTGAACAACTTCTACAAATAGAAGGGTGAGCAGGTCTGCTGAGCCTACTTAGGTGCTATAATATTGATCATATTGAAAAAGCACAGCACCACTGTGAGACAAGCTGCGGCCCAGAAGGTAGGACGCAATCTCGGTCACAATGCGCACGGAGTCCATTCAACTGCTCCCTCAGGGTCTTTGCTCTGTCCAGGGCGTGCTCCTTCACCTCCGACAGCTTATCCGTGCAGCGTGCGCAGACAGCGGCACCATCATTGACATCGGCGGAGCATGCCAAGCACTTGGGTCGTGGCTTCATGAACTTTCCCATGCCACCTTTCGAAGAAGACACAACTACCTTCTGTGAGGTCAGCCCGCCAAACAGCAAACTCTCGGCTTTCTGCGCGTCGCCGCACACAAGCTCGAAGACTCTAAGCAAAGGCTGCTTGAGCTGGTGCTCCAAGTAATAGTCCGAGTCAATCGGCAAATCGTTCTCAAGCGCATAGATCGGGTCTTCTGCCTTTTCATAAACTTTTGCCTTGGAAGTTCCTGCAAGAACAAGGTAGGACACTCGGTCTCCCATGCGCGGAGCATTGGCCGGATCTCTCTTCTTCAGCTTCTCGGCAACCTCTGCATGCGGGGCCTTTGCGGCATACTCGTTCCTTCCCAAAGACTTGGAGATGACCAGCGACTTCAAATCAATCTTGCCCTGCTTGAGGTCATTGCACACATCACGCACGTGTCCGATGGCCTTTTGGGAGCCATCCGATCCGTCGGGTGCCAGCAAGTGCTTCAGCGTTTCTTCCAGACCATGCCGTACCAAGTCACACCAATCGCGTCTGACGGTCTCAATTCCTTTGGTCTCCAGCTCGGGCGAGCTCAAAGAAGTGAAAGCAAGGCCTGCATAGCGCTTTTTTGCCATGAGCAGGAACGGCCGATAGATTTTCTCGAACTCCAACCGCACGGGGGCTGGGAAGATCGAGGAGCAGACTTTAGAAGCCTCGTTGCTAAGCCTCATGGCTTCTTCCAGCGACAACCCCTCCGGTCCAAACTTCACCATGACAGAGTCAGTGTCTCCGTACACCACTTCTGCGTTGTGGGCATAGCCTCCTGCAGTTGTGAAGTGGGACTCGACCTTCGCCTTGGTGGCTTGGATCATCTCCCGACCGTAGGCGGTGACAGCACCGGCGACTTCTAGACAGGGAAGCGGGCCATTGGTTGCTCCAGTGAAGCCGTAGACGGAATTGGCAGAAAGCTTCAGGGCAAGCTGGCGGCCGTGAAGCACCTTGCGACGTGTCGCCCCTGCCTCACCTGCCTGACATTGCGTAAGTTGTGCCTTGGCCGCCTTCCTGGCTGCCAGAAGCCTCTCCAAAATGGAGGGAAGGAGCCCCTTGCGGACCTGCGGCTTCACGAAGCAGGTTGCCTGGTCGTTCCCTGCTGCTGGTGGTGACTCTGTGAAGTCTGGGCAATCAGGCTTCTTCTCTCGCCCAGGAGGGAGCAAGGTGGAGTAGCATAGGTTGTGTGCCATCATGATCGATGGGTACAGAGAGGCAAAGTCCAAGACAGCGACAGGACAGCGATAGAAGCCACAGGAAGGCTCCAGCACGGTGGCCCCTTCATACGTGGTGTCCTCGCCAGTGCCTGCAGTCATCTGGTGCTGGGTTCTGCAAAAACCTTTCTTCTCCCTAATTTCTTGAGATCTTTGTCCTCCAGTGCGTCATGCTGTATGTTGGCTGTATGTCCCTGGTGCTTTCCCTTGGTACGCCTCTTTGCGTGGACTTTTCTTAACCATGTCCCGCCGGCCTCTCTCGAGCAACGCTGTATGGTGCATGTATATACATACCTACAAAGAAGCCAATGCAGCAAACCTACGACGAAATGTGCTGGCGCCTGGGCGCTGTGGCAGCACAAAGCCTCGCGCGCGAGCTTCGCGCAAGAGCTGCGTCTGCACCTGGAGAAGATTCCGCTGGTACATCAAGACTGTACCAATCAAGTCCCAATAGGATGCTAGTTAGTGCCATGAGCCTTTCAACTTTCATGCCAGAATAGGGGAGAGTGGGACAATGTGCAACTCCAGAGGGGGGGGGGGGGCAAGATTCTCCGCAACTTCCGAGCTTGGAAGCGAAGCCCTGCCTTGATGGCCTGGCCCCTCTCGAGTAGGTAGGACAACGGGCACCCAGTGACACGCGCCATCTCCTCAAAATCGGTCTCGTGGTCTTCAGCCACCAAGAAGGGAGTTGGGGAGAAGTAGCTGAGAAGGGCTAGGTGAGATGGACAAGCAGGGACTTCTTGGATCTTGCGCCAAGTTGCGATGAAGTTGTACAGGTAGGCGAGGCGATCGAAAATGCTTGCACTGGCTTCTGCTTGCCGAAGCACATGCTGTGCATAGGCACGCGGGCGCTCCAGACGGATCTTCTTTAAGCTTGCTGCACTGAGCTCAGGCAGGGGTGTCTGGCAGAAATGCTGAGAAAGGGCACCCAAGGAGTAGTCCACCAAGCGGTGATCTTTCTCCACCTGAGTCTTGTTTGATGTCAAGATAGTTCAAGCTGGCTCACATTTCCTTCGATAGCTTGCGCGCAAATTGGTCATGCAGGGAACTAGGGCTGTGCAGTCTCCGGAGCTTGTTTTCACTGGAGCCTTCTGCGAAGCTGACCTGCCTTCAAACCTACACTCGCGTACCCAGAACCTGCAGACCCGCCTGCTTCTGCAAGTCGAAGCCCAAGCGCCCCGTCATGCCGGAGACCTCGTTGCTCTTTGCAGTCAGCTTCACCTCCACTCCCAATCTTCGGGAAAGACTCCGGGCCAGTGGAGATCCAGCTTTTGCAATGCCCTTCTTGCCCAGCATCCGTCGCACAGTCTCGGACAAGTCATATGTCAAGATGATATCAGCATCCATCATGGCTAGTGTCCTGAGACGGTGCAACTCTTGCACTATTTTGCAGCTCTGCTAGAGAAGAAGCCCTTTAGCCTCTTCATCCTGATGAAACCAGCTACACCACAAGCCGCTGCCAGACGCCCTCCCAACCGATCCTAACTGTGTAGCATACCAGTACTATGCCACCTCCATCGACCGCAAGCGGCTCAAACCGAAACGGTAGCGCGCGCGGTCTGCTGCTGGGGCTCTCGCCCAGGTGTTCCAACAACGTCTCCTCATCCTCCGACTGGAAAAGGCTCGGCGCGTCGAGGTCCTGTAGGAACAGTTCACACGTGTCCATGCTCTTACACAGTCTTGCAGTCTTACATACAGACACACATCACCCAAACATGTGTGTAGTATAATATGTTTTTCTATTCTTATATATCACAAGTGCCAGAATGAATTCTTACAAAAATGGCACGCAGCTTGAAGTGCTTCGGACGGAGCACATTGAAGGGTCGGCTTGAAAAACTGTTCTTTCCCCTGGTGGCGGTCCTGTTCCACGTGTTGCTGCGGAGCCTTATCGTCCGGGCATGAAGAGTCACTTTCTCCGACGCTCAGCATTCTTGTTAAAGGATTTAGGCGACCTTGCAAAGCGAGCAGCTGATGAGCAGAGCCACACCGCTCTTGCCTTGGGTTGCGCCTGCCCCTCCACAGTCAAGACGCAGGCAGCAGAAGCCACCAGCTGTGACTCCATGTCAACCTCGGCGGATCTTTTGCCAGGTCTGTAAATCTTACCTCTCCGTGGCTGCAACTAGATCTATTCAGCGAAAGCACAGAGAGTTCAATCGCCACAGTTCGCAGAGGTGGAACAGAAGATCCAGCATCGGTGTCCTTTGCAGGACAGAGGACCCGTCAAGATCTACCAAAGTGTTCAACTAGTTGCAGCACTGCTAGTTTCCTCCGAGCCGCAAGGGGCAGTGCATGAAACTTGGTGCCATGCCCAAGGTGAACATCCAATTCAATCTGTGCAGTGGTGCTCCTGCCACAAACCAAGTATTGCAGCAGCACCCTTCGTTTCGGCTGACTCAATGAAGCATTACTCGTAGCTGTCGCAATACGCTGGAACCTCGACGTCTCATTCACCAGGAAGGCTCCTGCCTCAAACCTGTGGCTCTCAACGCCCGGCAGTGCCCGACAGCTGCACAGGCCAAGCTGTCCCTTGATGTACAGAGGCCCTACACTCAGCCACGGCGCTCGATCCAGCGACCACCCCCCAAGTCGTTGTCGATCAAAAACCGCAAGATCAGCGCCTCACTTGCCCCACTTCATCCGACTTCCAACGCTGGTTCCCCGGTCTCGCGATTGCGGCCCAAGTTCAATATTTGCCTCGAAGACTGCGGTGGTCTGCACTTCCAAGCTGCCGAGTTGGAGGCTTTCGAGGGCCTCGGCTACCAGATGCTATGTCTCTCGACGTGCAAGAACACGAGCCGACTCTGCCGTCGGTACATATTACATGCCACCTTCAGGCATGCCACCTTGAGGCATGGCGAGACGAGCCTCAGGTGAAGCGCACAAAGCAGGGGAAAAATAAGCGAAGTGTGGAAGAGAGCACGTGAAGAGCTCAAAGCGATTTAAGCGATTTGAGCTCAAAGCAAGTGTAAAAAACCTTTCTCAACGGAGCCGGGGAGCTTTGGCCCGGCCACGGTGACTCTGAGCAGCAACTCCTCAGGCTGGAAGTAGAGGATGGGCGTGCGTCGAACTGTCTCGACCTATGCGTCATCTTCAGTCGGTGCAGCGTCGAATGGTTCAGAATGCCTTCCACTCAACATGTTAATAAAACATTGCGAGACCAAGCCGCTGCAAGGATCGCCTTCTCTCCTGGCACAGCTGCTTGCAGTGCGGCATGGATTTCGTTCTCGTGGCCCGCGACCCCAGGGCCGCAGCGCACGTAGAAGTAGGGATGGAACTTGTGTATCTTGGCGCAGACCGAGTGCCCTTGTTGTGTAATGCCGTAGAGCCGGAGCTCATGGTCTCCGGCCAAGGACGGACCATCCTCGATGTCAAGCAGAAACACGGCGAGCGGATCTCGCTCACCTGGGGCTTTCCGAAATTACGGGGTGCCTTCTTTGGGTCCTTAGTAGAAGGGAATCCTACTATTTGGGGGGCCCTTTCTTAGGGGTCCCTCATTTTCGTACACCCCCACCTAGCACAGGCGGAGCTGGGCGAGCCCACACGGCTGGTGCGGCCGGCGGCGCTGTCGGTGTCACCTTGCTTCGCTTGCTGGGAGGCTTTGCCTTGGGAGCTGCTCGCTTCCCCATGGCAGTATCATGCACTCTCAACTATACTCTAGGCTACATTTTCTGCGCATGTCAGGGAGCTGACTATGCCAAAGCAAAGCTGGGAATAGCTTCTGCCAGATGTTTCACTGCTCACATCACTGTAAGCGTTCTTTTGCTTGAGGCTTGAGGTCGAATCGTTCTGTGATGTGTGTGGTCGAAACAGCTCAGTTCATGTGGCTGCAGCACATCAGCACGGAACAGCAGTAAGCATGCCGTGTTCTTTTTGCCTTTGGCATCTCACCATGGAACAAAAGCTGTACATCAACGAATCGGCGGCTGTGTGCTACTAGAATGTATCCGGCCGGCCCTCCCCCCCCCCCCCGGTAACTACTCCCCTCAATGAGTCAAGCGGCTGCAGACAAAGTAACCATGCCTTGCTAAGGCTGGCCAGGCTGGTACATACCTAGCTAGGAGCGGGTGCGCCAACTCTGAGCCCATCACGGCCAGGCCATGTCATCATGGCAGGCCGCGGGAGTTCACTGTACAAAGGCGGCATGACGGGGTGAGGAGCGCTTCATCGTACAGAGCGAACAAATGCATCCAGGCTGAGCTTTACAAGCTGCTTCTTCTGGACTGCAAAGAAATCCTCGAGACTCTGTCCATCGCCATGACTTCAACAGGGGCAAGAGTGCAAACCCACGACTGCAGACGGGATGCGCTACAGACTTCACGCAAAAGCCGTCGATCATGAGATGTGACGACCACACTCCCCTCGAACTCCTGGTTGTAAATTTTTTTTGACATGTCAGACATGGCTAAGCCATCCCTGGTTGCAAAAGCGGGGGACTGCAGTTGCCAGTCGCATGTATGCCTGTGCCGTCCTTAAGGGCATTGCCGAGGGCCTCTACGGTCTGCAAATCCAAGTGGTTCGTTGGCTCATCCAGAACCTGAGTCGAACTTGCCGGGATGGTCACTGGTTCAAGGGAAAGCTCGAGTCTGCTGAGGTGTTCAGCGGTTCAAGCCGACTGAGGCCCCTTCCAGCACATGGGGTGGTCTGAGTGTGGCGGCCGCCAATGCAACTCGGCTACGTTCGCCGCCGGAAAGGCACCTGCAGAACATTAATCAAAGCAAGCAAAAGCAAGGAGGAGGGCAAAAGATGCAAAGGGCTGAAGACGGATCGGCAGACAGGTTGAACGCTGGACCCAAGAAATCGACAACGAAGATCTGGATCGGAGAACACCAGGCCACGATCGGAAGACGGGGCAGGGTCCAAAAGCATGCGGAAACAAAAAGGCAAGATGATAAAGACGCAGAACTTCCCTCAGAGTGGGAGTGTGGGAGCACAAATGTGGATGCAATAACAAGCATCTCGAGCAATCTGACCATCAGCATTCAAACCTTCGAACTCACCCTCAAGCAGGAAGCCAGAACAACTCCGCACCATTACACACCCTGCACGCCGTGTTCCAAATCAGGGCCGCTAGATTCCCACCCCCTCCCATCTTGTTCTGAAATCATTGAAACCTTGTTGCTTCTCAAGAGTTGCGCGCCTGATCGGTGACACGGCCAAGCGACCAAGGCCAAAGGTTCCAAGGTGCGAGCGTATCTCGCCATCTGAGAGGTTGGGATGTCCTAGGCTGCCCCAGGCAGTTGCAAAGTTTGGTACTGTAGAGGAGCCTGACCTGTCTAGACACTCAAGCAGACTCCAACACCACACCAGGACGAGACCAACGGTTAGAAGGCAATTCAGGAAGCTCGAGCGACTTCAAAGACGTGACTACGTTACTTCTTTGGGCCACTCAACAGGGACTGAGACTGTGGGTAAACCGTGCTACGCGGCATGCAGCACATGCAGCAAGCGATGAGCACGGCGCACAAGTTCAGTTCGTTTACGCGGCATTCTCACGTGCTCTCTAATGACCTTTCCCTTTCTGGGCTTCTGCTTTCAGCAGTAGGTTTTCTCCCATCACCATATGCAGGAGATCTTTTCATTTTCCGGGTGCGCAGCCTCTACTTCCTGTTATGTTGGGGTAGTCAACAAGGCAGACGCTGATGTGTGCAGCCAAGCTGCGCTCACACAATGCCTCCAGCGCCGTGGCATCATTGGGCAAGCTGTCTGCCTGGATTGCCGAGACTTTCCGGACCAGGTGAACCAGAGTTCCAGCACTCTCTGTTGATTCGCACTTGCAGGATGACTGTGGCCTGATGCTGACTGAAGAAGCCGACCACCACGCCTCGGAATCATGCACGCGGCAAAGTGTCTCCCTTCGTTGCACACTTTGCCCAAGTGGCGTGGCTGCTGATAGACCTCCCCTGCGAGGGCAGGCAGATCTTGGACCAAGGTCCGCAGCAGAGTGGTCTTGCCGCTGCCGTTGACTCCTAGGATTCCTCCATTGAAAGCAGAGTTCTCCGTCTGCAGATGCGTAAGCAACACATAGCTTGCTATCCGACGGTCCTATTCGAGATTTGGCCCGAATATCCAGATCGAACTTCTGCACCAAAGGTGTCGACTTCTCCTGGGCCCAATGCAATGAGGCCCTTCTGGGTTTGAGGGTCGGGGTCCTGGTTAGGGCAAGGATAACCTTCCACGCACTGCAAAGGGGGGACAGGGGCTTGGATGGTTCTGGCAGCTGGGGCTCGTAGCCGACCACCACATCCCGACACTGCAGCAAGGCAGCCTCAAAGCCCAAAGGGACCGCGGACTTGAGCTTCAGGCGGACGGCCTGCTCCTTATTCTCTACTGCCATCTCGGCCATGGCCTCGAAATGTGTCGCGTAGGAGAACTTGAACTTGTGACCGCCAGCGCGCTCCAGCCCCACGCGGTTGAAGGACCAGGGCTTGTCATCCAGACCAAGCTTGGTGCGCCTGCTTACGGCCGCCTTGAGCAGAGTATCATTGTTTGTCTTCCTTCCACGCTGCTCCATCTCCTTGATCTGCTTCTCCATCTTGTCCTGCTTATCATGCTGCCTCTGAGCCAGCTCCGCGCGGTGTTGTTGGTCTTTCTCATGTGCTTCTTCGTAGGTTGAGAAATTGCCGTTGTGCACTTGAAGCTTCATCTCAAACAGGCGGAGAATCATCGTGCTGACCTTGTCGAGAAAGTCCCGGTCGTGAGAGACGACCACCAAGGCAATCTCGTTCATTTCCTCCGAGACCAGATATTTCTCCAGCCACAGGATCGCTTGCCAGTCCAAGTGGTTGGTGGGCTCGTCCAGTAGCAGTACGTTTGGCTTGGCGAGCAGGGCTTTGGCAAGGGCCACCCTCATTCGCCAGCCTCCGCTGAGCAAGTGCGTCGGCTTCCGCAGGTGATCCTCAGTGAAGCCCAGGCCTTTCAAAATCACTTCCGCCTGTCCTCGCATGGAATCGGCACCCAAGATCCGCAGCCGATCCCGGATATCTGCCAGAAGCTCTACAACACCGGCCTGTGCCTCTGAAGTGGCCTCGGAACTCGAAACCTCGGCCTCCAGCAACTGAGCAGCTTTCACCTCTTCGTGCTCCGCTTTCAGAAGGGCTTCCCGAGCAGCCTTCCCACGCAATCCACTCAGCTTGCTCTCGTACATAGCAGCCTTAAACCTGGCTCTCTTGGCCATCAAGTATGCATATGCGCGCGAGGCTCTCACAGCTGCCTCGGGGCTTCCCAGCTCACCAGCTTGGAGAGCCGACTCCTCCTCGAGCAGGTCGCTCAACTCCTGGTGGGCGGCTAAGACGGTGTCCACGGCGGTCCGATCATCCCCAACATCTTCTTGATCGACCAGAAGGGTCACGCAGTTGGGGGGATAGCCAGGGATTCGTCGGGAGGCCATGGCCCGAAACAGGCTGGATTTGCCGGAGCCGTTGCGGCCCACAAAGCCGTAGCGCTGACCAGGGCAAAGTTTCAGGTGGGCATCTTTTAGCAGGTCACGGCCCGCCACCGCAATGCAAAGGTCGTGGATGTCGACTTCGGCAACTGCAGAGGTCATCTCATCTTCGACTGCCTCCTTGTGGAAGCGAGACACGCGTGCGCGCACCTCCAAGAGCTCGTCGAGCCGCTTCTCCTTGTCCGGGCCTTCTTTCTCTTTGACTTTCTTCTTGGGCTTCACCGCTTTGGCCTTGGATGCCTTGCCTCAGATTCAAGGAGCGCATGGCATTACTATCATCGGCTACGTATACAAGCCAAGCTGCCCCACTGACTCCCCGCAATGTCTCAAACTTATGCTCTTACTCTTGTATCCTCTTTGCTTGGGCACCTTTCTCCAGGGCAGGGTCGATCACATCATCTGCCTCTTTGCGCTGCTCCTCTTGAGAATTCGCTGCCTAGAGCATGCTTGTGGTCACACACGTCTTGTCTGAGCTCTTTCGCCGTTCTGTGGGAATCTGGGGCCTCGTCAGTCGAGAGCTGCGGGTAGCCACCCAGACCTGCAGTGTCATCCAGGGTTCCCTGCCGACGAGTGCGTGGCAAGAATTTGAGGCAGCCGCCGGCAAGTCTTGCAGGGGCAGCAGGCTCCTTGCAACTTGCAACTGCGTTGAAAGTGCATCTAGTGCCGATGCTGCGTTCGGTGAGCCGCACGGGAGACATGTGTCCTTGAGGGCCACGGGGGCACCAGTCGCCGCGGCGGATGCGTCACAAAGCCCCAAGAAGTCACAAAGACTTCGCACTCCTGCGTCGGCCTTCCGCGCGAGCGATCGTCAGAGAATGTTTCCCTGTGCGGCTGCAAAGAGCACTTGCCAAAACAGCGGCACCTCTTCAAGCCAGACCTCGCAGCACTCCTTCACCTCTTCCTCTCTGGCAAAATTCGCAGGAACGCTTTCTGGTACGCATAATGCACTTATGCACAAAAACAGAACCCAAAAAATCACTTTACTTCGAACATCCCCACCTTGATCCTCAAATAAAAAGACCAAATAAGATGCTCAAACAAAGGCACATCGATTCAACTACAGTTTCTTCATTTTTGCTTGCAACTGGGGTTTGGAACTCCAGGGACACTCTGGGGGTTGGGGATTCCAGGGATGAGCGAGGAGTAGACCGGGCAAGGAGAAGAGTTCCGGGCGACGAGAAGAGTTGAGCGTAAAATCTAAGAACCCCACACCGAAGGTGGGGAAAACACACACACACACATACCAACCCTAAACCCTAAACCCTAAACCCTAAACCCTAAACCCTAAACTTTTGAGCACGGGCTTGGGATGCACGCTGGGATCTGTAGGTCTTTGCAAGACACCAGCAGACTTAGAACTGAACACATTGCACAGAATATGAATTTAAGTGTCAGGCTCAGGGTCTTCACAACGCGCCACGCACATATGCCGGTGTGCCTCCTTTAAGTCTTCAAGATTCGCAGAACCCCTGTTCAGAGCCAGTTCCTCAGCGGCAAGAACTGTCACCACAGGATGTGGGGCCAAGCACCGGTCAACCTCAGGAGCTTCCGGCAACACAGAAGAAGAACGTGTGCTGTCTAGTTCCTCCTTCAGAGTGGCAAGGCGCAACTGTAAGGAGTCCACAACTCCTTGAACAACTTTGAAGTTCCGCGACCCTTCCCATGGTAGTCTTCATGATGGTTTCAAACTGAGGCCGTGAAATCACCTCGATCTCAGTCTGGGTAGCAGGAGTCACAGTACGTACATCATCCTTTTGGGCGGGCAATGCGAACTTGCCTCCGACTTCCTTCTCTGATCTGATGTGTTCCGTGGAGGAGTCTAGGAAGTTTCAGCTGTGAGCCTTTCTCATCCAGAGCAGAGAATAAGGAGATAGGTCGTCGTCCATCAGCCTTGGCAGTCACCAGGTGAAGAGCCTGCCACAACAGCTGGCCTACTTCTTCAAGATCTGATTTGCCAGCCAGCCGAACGGAAATTCCAAGGCAAGCACACAGTTTACGAGAGCGAGCGTCCATAGCGTCAGCTTCCAGGAGACTCACTAATTGAAAAAATCACACCCATTTGGGTCTCGTAGCCAAGACTTGAGCCCCCTAAACCCTAAACCCTAAACCCTAAACCCTAAACCCTAAACCCTAAACCCTAAACCCTAAACCCTAAACCCTAAACCCTAAACCAGGCGTTGCAAGGGGGCGGACCTCGGAGCTGACCTCCGCCAGTGTTGAGACCAGGAAGCTTCGCACCGTGTCCTGCGCGCCCCTTCCCTCGGTTTAGGGTTTAGGGTTTAGGGTTTAGGGTTTAGGGTTTAGGGTTAGTCGCTCACTCTCGCATGAGGCAGGCAAGGTCCGTTAGTCTGTGTAGGACAAAAAGGGATGAGATGCCCATGCCTAGCAGTTGTATGGGCCGCAGGGAGAAAAACACAGAGAAAGTAAGACCCATCCCCGCCCCTTCAGGCCCAACTACTACATCGGCATCGACCTCATTCAGTGAAACAGCTACTGTAGATGTGTACATACCGTCACTTTGGACCAGACACTCCAGTTCCCTGTCAAGCCAAAAGAACAAAACCTGCAAAGACTAAGAAAACAGACCAAAACAAGTCACTAGCGTGCCCACAAGCTGAGTCACGAAGACAAGCGGGGAACTAGCGACAGAGCAGGCCAACTACGGAGCCTACCACCAGTGCTGCATGGTGAAACCCTTCCCTCTCTCACAACCTCTCTTCAATCACCGCGCATGCCCCCATGTCTTCCCATTAGGCCGTTGCAGTCATCATCCATCCATTCGTCTCTAGGGTTTAGGGTATTTAGGGTCCTCCTCCAACCCCCTCAAAGCATGTCAAAAGAAGGTGCTTCTGAGCACCGATGGCCTCCAGGTTTGGAGCCAGCTTGCTCAGGAAGTCGGCGATCTCGCTCTCGCTCTTGGGCATGATGACACGAAAGCGGTGGCAGCTGAAAAAAGAAGCAGATCGTGTACGTGCAGGGGGAAGTGGGGTACACAGAGTCTACTGCTATTCGGGCATAAGTGGCTGTTGTCGTAGATCGGATGACCGCCCTCTCAAGCTTGAGGTGCAGTCTGCGGTCCGAGTTGGTATGACACGATGTCAACACTGCCACTCAGCAATCTCACTGCTTCATGATGTTTCATAGGCAGCCTGCGCTCCGTCTCTTTTTCCCTGATGAAGCTGCACCCTGCTTGGCGCCGCACGCCTATTCGGCCAAACTCCCCTGCGGTTCATCGAGCCTTCGCGTCTTAGCAGTGAACAATGACTATTGAGCAACTAATATGCAGACATGGTAATACCAATATAGTATAAGAATATACTAATATAGAAATAAACTGATATAAGAACATAAACTATACGTATATAATCAAGAATTATAGTTATGGGAATATAGTAATATCACATTCTCCAGCCGAGGCGCCTTTGCACCGGCGCTCCTTGGTGTGGTCCATAGCCTCCCATCGTGCCGCTCTCTGCCGCGGTGCCTCCCAAACTTGATGCTCGCGGAGACACTCCATACCCTGCCATATTAGGCGAAGTGTGGCCGTCACAGATATGGCAGGAAGACAAGCTAGATGAGTACATCAAAGCTCCGGCTACCAGCGGCGAGGGTGCTTCGTGACTGCAGAGATGGTCCCTGCCTGTGGCAGGATACGCTGTCCTGCAGTCGCTTGACGCCGTGGGCTCCTGCCACGGATGGCATAACTTCAGCAAGTTGCCCACTGATGCCAGGACCAGACGTCGTGGACTTGGACAAGCGATTATCGTGGTGTGTGACTCTCATTTTGCGTGGCTGTACCAGCAAGAGTCGCCGAATTTGCAGCACCCTCTTTGGTAGAAGCTGCAGGGCGGTCTCTCAGCATAAGCAGAATCAACATCTTCCTCATCGACGCCGTCGGTTCCGGCTGTGTACTGTACATAGCCATCACGATAAAAGCGCTCAGGCCAAACATCATCCCCTTCTGGCCAATAGTAAACCACGGAATGGTATGACCAACACTGTGCACAGTACGTCTTCCTTGGGGCTTTGCATGGCTTTGTTGGAGCAATCTTCCATCAATCGAACACATCCGCAACGTGCCGCAACACTCCGTACAGCTAAGTTGAGAGACAAGCATCATGGAACCCGGATCCAAAGCCCGGCCAGCACGAGTACACCTCCAACTGTTTGTTCGAATGCTGCACCTCTCCTGAGATTCAGGGTCGAGGAGAGTCAGTGGCGTCGACCCAGCATGATCCCTGCAAGCAGGCGTCTGCAGTGGAAGAACTCGGCCAAACACGGCCTTCTATGTCGATGGGCCCCTCAGTCCTTGCACAGGACATGTGGCAACACTGCCTGGCCTCGACCTTGGTCAGTAAAAGCCGGCCCTGAACTCTGGACAGGTGGCGGTAGAGGCGTCGCAACCGCATCCGGTTTTGCAAACTGGTCTAGATATCTTTTTATCAGCTCGGCGTGGCAGCGCACCTTAGAGGCTACGAGTACCGTAGGTCAGCACTGCCGCGGCACCAACCGAGTCTAGCTTGAGCTGAGGTGCGTAGGGTCGGCAATGGCACAAAAGCCTGAAGAACGTTCCTCTTGACACCTCTGATGCCAAGGCGTCCAGTGCGGCGCGCACGTCTTCTCGCTTCAGCTGTTGCTTCTCCCAAGCATCGGAGAGCAACAGCGATCGTCTTTCAGCGATACCTTAGCAGGATGTGTCAATAATAAGCTGTATTGCTGCTGGTCATGCGGCCAATCGTTCGGGAATGCAGACAAAAGCGGGGCAAAGCTCGCAGAGAAACCCGCTACATCGGACCGGACACAGGCGTGCACGAAGCTACTCAGCCGTGGCACGCAGCACCTCCTCGGAAAAAACCCAAAACAGGCAAGCAAGCATTTTGCCAGCGTAGGCCCCAAGCAGTGAGAGACCATGCGGACGCGCAAGAGCATTCCATGGGATCAAGAGCAAGTCCAAAAGACACCCAGAGCACAGTTTCGAACTTCGCGAGCACAGAATAAAGAAGTGTGTACATTGGAGCCGTTTAATTAGTGTTGACACAGTTCTTGAGAACAAATCATTGAGTTCCTGTCAGCACGTGTCCTCCTTCAAATCCACAGTGGCATCCTGACTGAGGACCGCCTGTGTCCAAGTCAGAACTTGAGCAAGGCTATTTATATATAGAGCATTATATCTAGGCACGGTCATATATATTTCACACAAAATAAAATATACAAAAACATACAAACAAAATACATCGACAAATAAAAAGATTAAAGCCAAATAAATAACAATGTATTTACAGATATATATGTAATGGAACTACTCTGCTTGTACGGGGCCCGGCCTGCAAGTATTCCTCGAAAGCAGCAACGAGAACCTCATGCTCCCCAGCGCACCACCCAGCTGCATCTTCTGGGGGCCGCTGCGAGGGATCCGCGTAGCCTCCGCAAAGCTATGATGACATATACTGACGAGAGTTGGACCGCAACACGCAGTCCGTGTGATACAGTTCGCATACTGTTGGCGTCCACTACTGCGCACGCCCAGATCCCCCAAAAGGGCCAATAAGCCCTAAATTCCATGAATGGCCAACAGTATTTGACGGACTTGCCATTGAACGGGCAAGCCACACATCCAATGTGCAGACCAGGATGCAGCAGGTCCCAAAAGGGTTTCCAAGGCAAGTGGCGCCTTACTTGTCGTGCTCTCCACACTCTCGGATTTGTCAGGATCGGTGCCATGTGCCTGAGGCTTCGGCGGTTGCAAACCACATCCCGCGTACCACTGGGTGGCAGATCCCAAAACATGGCATGCTCCACCACTCCAATGGACACCTGTCCTGCAGATTTCCCCAAGCTCAGCACGCAGCAAGAGTATGGCCTTGCGTAGCTCGAGAAGCCGCGAATGTGCACGCGCTGAAGTTTAGTGCGCTAGATCCCGAATTACTGCCTCCTACATGCTTTCTGGAGGAAGCGCCCAGTGCAGTGCCAGTGCAGATATTCCCCAGCGGGTTTCGCTTCGGCTACATCAAGCAACACGGGCCAGCAGTTTTTGGTTGTGCTTGTGTGACCCAGAAGACAGCAACAAAATGCCACTGCACTTACAGTAGTCGTCGCTTCTTCTTTGTCGCTTGACGGCATGTCAATTCGAAGCTAGGCTTCCATGCGTTCGGCTCCAGAAGAAAACTGCCTCGGCCTCCGGGACAACACTGAAGGTCCGGTTTTCGCGGAGCGATAGGCCACACAATCGCGAACGTCTGAACTATGAAATCTTCGAATATAGTATGAACATTTAATAAGTTGAACATTCAGAATCGTTTCGACTCTTGTAGAAGCCGCTTGGTTTTCAGTAGCTCCGTCGATGCGAGCACGTGTCCGACTCTCTTTAGCCAAAGCGATTGGGCACTGTCCGTATTGCTCCCGCCGGCAAGTTACAAATTCACTGGAGCCTGCCGGGATCATACGTTCATTTTTCGTACATCGTGCAGTGCCTCGACTTTTAGTGTCTTGATCCTTCGCCCAGTGCCAATCCAATGGCCTTCGCACAACTGCCTTCTATGGCTCAAGCGTGTGCTTTTAGACCTCGCAGGCTCTGTGCTTATCCTGTGGGCCCGTTCGGGTTTGGTTTGGGCAGTGCCGCATCCTCCCATAGCAACTTCTGCCTTTCAGCCCGTAAGGCGGACGCGCGGAAGCGATATACATATGTATACCGTATAGAACCCTTAATCTCCTTGAAGTCTGTTTATGAAGCCCGCGTCCTTGCCAATGCTCTGCCAAGGGCTCGGGCCAAGGGAATCGCCGTAGCTCTGCAGCTGAATGAGCGAACCTTGTTTTTTGCTTGTGGCAGGTTGTTTTTTGACTCTTTGACATCGGTGATGTTCTGGTCACCATGTCAACGCTACAACAGGTGGGAATGGCCACTTCGTGCTGGTCTGCCTTTGTCGTAATCGTGTGAAGCCGCACTTCGGAAGAAACATTACGCTCACCCTTCTAAGACTGGAATCCCAGTTGCGTGCATTCTTCCCCGAGGCCTCGGCTTGCCGATCATATGCAATCATAGCATAGGAGTCATAGCATAGCTTTCTAAGATTTCACTTTTTGTCATTGGTCCTGACCGTGTACTCAGGCAAACCAACCGACGATCCATCTGCAACGAGGCTCGGCAGGGCGCTTCTGCCACAATGGCCTGGGAAAAATGGAGGGCCCTGGAAAAAGGTTGCAACCCTGCTCAGCTTGCTTGCAACGGTTCACCCGAGCCGCAAATGCGAGCGAGCTGCTTTGCACCGCCTGGTCTTGTACAGCCCTTCTGTCATGTCATGGCTCAAATCTGAGGACTTTCGGATAGTAAGGCTGTTGTCATGTCGTGGCTCTAGTGAGTGGAGACATTTGCTGCTCAGGTGGCTTGACCAAGTTATTGTGCTGCATCCTGGTGCGGTGTCATCCTCCCTGCCCACCCAGGCTAGGAAGCGATAAGCTGCAACGGTTCATAAGACTGCACCAGATCCTCGCGCTGTGCACACACACACATGCATGCAAGTGCCAACTTGCCTGAGCATGGGCCTGTTCGCCAGTGGGCTCCAGTTCATCTGCGGATCTGCCAGCAACTGTCGCACCAAACGGCTCCATCTCTTCGCCAAAGACTTCGCACGTCAACAGCGTTCAGGCCTCTGTGTGCTAGAGGCACCTAGCCTGCAGTGGCTCTTGTGAGTGCGCAGCATGTTGCGCCACGCTAATCACCATTCAGACTACTCAACCTACTAGTATCACATCTCTTTGGCCCCCAGCTGCGTGAGAAGTGCTTCTGCAGCGACCTTCATTGCAGCCTCCTGCAGGCGACTCTGACTCACCAGCTCAAGCTTGACAAACTTTGCTCTGTGCAAGGTGTGCCGTGCTGTTAGCTTGCCTCGTCCGCATCCTCCACATGTCCGTCCTCTGCGACCTCCTGGGTCAGATACGCGAATTCCCGACATGCAGCCTTCACGACGCTCCGCTTCCTTATGGATTGCTTGCAACATGCACGTGCAAGCTTCGCCTTCTCGTGCCAGCTGGCCCTAGGACTTTTAGAGTCTCAACGTGCGGCTGCATCATACTTGTATGCATCCCGAGTCTGACGGGTCCTCCCGTTCAAGCCCTGGAGAGCTACTTCGCACGGATGCTGTCGCGCCTGGGCCTGTAAGCACATGAAATGCACGTCTGCCTCTCTCAATGTGGGAATATGTGGGCTGTGGCCTTTTCCGCGTTTTGGATGTGGCTTCTTCTTCTTGGTGCCTGGTCGTTCGCGGAAGGCGCTGTGCCCATTTTGGATTGGTGCAGTACGTGTTCAGCTGTGCTTCTGGCGTTCTGGCCGCTTCTTCTTCACCAGGTACACTTCCAAGGGTGGGACCTTGGCATGTCGGGCCTTCCAAAACACATGCAGCGGAACAAAGGCTCCAACTCCTCCCAACTCGTCCTCGTCCATGCCTAAGACACTTGAGAAGCACAAGACTGGAAGTCTTTCACTTTGTTCAGAAACGCATACCAGCCCCCGACCGACATACAGTGGCTACAAGTAGCTTCTGACTTCCAGGGGCAGGTGGGGGTCGTTGGGGAGTTATTGGGGTTGGACGGAAGAAAACCGAACGTTGCCAGGGCCGCAATCACGAAGCCAAGTGTTCTTTTAGTTTCGAGACGCACAGGCTTTCATGAGGCATAAGTGCCCAGCCGAGATGTAGTGAGCGCAGGTCGTAGCCTAAGGCATAGTCCTTCGCGGGAAGTATAAGCAATGGTGTGAAGGCTCAGTGAGGCAAGTACCACGGTTCACTCTACTCACCATCCAAAGCTTTGGGACACCCCGAGAGGTCCCCAACGTGAAGGATGGCACCTGCGGCGGATGTCAATCCATCTGGTCCAGTGGAAGCTGACTCGGAGCAAATGTGGGGGCCTAGATGGGAACGGACGGTCAAGCGCTCGTCCTCAGCGTTGCAATGATCTGTCCCGATGGCCATAAGACCACAAGCTCCGGGACACTTGCATTGTGCCCAAAGTCGGCCACGCGCGCGATCTGGCAAAGGAACAGTGGAAAAAACAAGGAACAATATGCAGGGAGCCTCGAATGAACTCGAACTTCGGATCTGCCTCAACTTCACACGGCTGGATGGATGCAGCGCTGCCTGACACGGCCGAGGCAACGATGATTGCACAAAGCCTGGCACCTGCCGGCCTCCACGGCCGTGTGCCTGGCCGGACCTGGCTCTCAAAGCCCTTCCAAGACTTGTGATCAACATATCGGCCCTTCTTGCTGGCAAGATGAGGCTCAGGCTCTTCGATATCCAAGACGATGAATTCCTCGGTGTTTTTTTTGCGCAGGTTCTGGGTTCCCTGTCAAGAGTCTAGAGATCCCATAAATCGCACGTCGGATCTCGGGCCGAGGCTGTTAGCTTGGAGGGAATCGCAACGGAATGGAAAGGCTTTCGCCAATATTCCGCAGCGACAACCTCAGTTCTCATCTGGTTCAATGCCCCGAATTATGTTAAGGTCTAGGAATCTAGGATTTCTGAACTATATGTAACTATGAGCTGCGACAATCTCACATCCCGTCGAGTCTTCGACGTCCAGAGACCGGCAGGAGGCCGGGTCCAAAAGAGAGAGTTGCGAGGAAGCCTTGGTGCAAAGCCTCAGTGCACGGGGATGCACATCAAATGCGGCGTCCGCGCCTGCAAATGGCAAGTTGAGATGTCCGCAAAAGCGGCGGCAAGCCGCCCAAAGCCTGTTTCGTGACTGACATGTGCGTCCGTCTTCTTCGATTCAGACATATTAAGACCATGTCGGCGTGAAAAGAACTGGCGACAGGAGCGGAGGAAGCATCTCTTGAAGTCCCGTGCTTGATTGTTTTCTGCCGAGTGAGTGGAGCCAATTTAGCCAACGTCACTGCGCCAGTGCCTCGCCTCTGGTGGACTCAGGCGGTCAGGGTTGCCATGGGTTTCCTGTGGTTGCTCATTGTACTTAGCCGAAGTGTTTCCAAGCATGTCCTTGTTGAGTTAAAGTTCAGCCCGGCTGTGATCGTGGCACCATGTGCGACGGTTAAGCAGACTGTCAAGGGGTCGTGTACTGTAGCCTTGGGTTTTTGTGCACTTCCTCGCGAGGACTTGTAGGACTCCCCGGAGCCTGCCTCCCAGGGCTAAGACGGTTGCTCTTTCAGTGTGCACAGGCCTCTCTTCTTCTTCTTCGTCTTCTTCTTCTTCTTCTTCTTCTTCTTCTTCTTCTTCTTCTTCTTGTGCTGGGCTTGAGGGCCCGGGGGCGCGCTGGCGCGCCCGAAGTTCCAGTCTTGTGTGACACTTCCCAGTTGTGCGTTGAGGGTTGGAAGCTTTGCCCTCTCAGGGCGTTTCCCTTGTGCACTGTTCTGGGTCCTGTGGTACGTGTTGCTCCTTGGTTGGCTTCACGAAGAACACTGCTACACTACACACGAAAATAGGGCACAGGCCTCTCTCTCCCTCTTTCTCTCGCTCTCTCTCATCTCTGCATTATGCCTTTCCATAGGTGAATTGATTATATGAATGGGCTGTAGCATGCTGCAGCCTTGTCCTGTCTATGCCTGTCTACTCGAACGCCAGCCCCGTGATATCCGGAAGAGCCTGCGCTATCGGATACTCCCAGCCTGTGCGGTTTTGCGCGGTAGGAAGACTAGGTCGTCCCTACCTGCAGTGTTGCTGGATCTAGCATCCGGAATCGACCCCATGCCATGAAGCAGATTTTGCTAAGGAAATGGCAAATCGGACACACTTCTACCTGAGGACAGTTGAATCGAGCAGAGCCCTGCCATGCAACCGTGCAGACCTCCGCTGAGTGCCGGTGCACATGTGGTTCGCTTAAACCGGTACCTGCCAAGCGAGCCCGAACTCTGAATCTCGAGCCTGGCAGATGCTGCGATGTCGCACGTCGTGTTCTGTGCGTTGTGGCTTACCAGATGCTTGGACTCGTGGTGTCGGACCTCAGCATCAACATTCAGCATCCCACGATGCGCAGTAATGTGCAGTGCAAGGCGCGAGCCACAGCCCAGTTTTTTAGAAAAGATACGAAGTCCTGGAGTGCAGGAAGATGGCAGAGCTTCTCATTCACATGCATGACAGGGCAGCTGTTTGCTTGTGGCCTGTGCATCCCGCTCTTTGTTGAAGAAGAAGTCCAAGCCTTCCTTCAGCTGTCATGAAGTGTAAAACAGGAGGCACCATAACATACATGCACTCTTCTGGCATGTCGTGTTCGCATGAGGAGAACAGAACGGTGACCGCACGTGGCATGCGGCAACGGCGAAGCTGTACGGGCTGTCGACAGTGTGAGATGTCGGCTTTGACTTAGTTTCGTCCTCTGTTGCACATTGCAGCGTCGCTACAAGATGCTGGGTGCTTCCAATACGGAGGTGCCTTACATGGGCGGGGCATTTACTGTAGAATACATGCAACAGGGATTCGTTTGCAGAACCTGCAGGGATGGGGATGATCCGACTCCTCTTCCCCGAGCAATCTTCCAACCTACACGTGAGGCCTTGCAAGGGGTCAGCTGGATCAACTTTGTATGCGCCTCAGACATCATCATTCCATCACGACACTGTGGCAACTAAAGCCATGGGCAGCCATGGGCCATGGGATGCCCGACCTTGTGCTTCAGGATTAGCTGCTCCAGCATCATCAGCGTACGACGGTGCCTGAGCTCTGCCCAGTTTCGCACTCGTGGCACACGTCTGCATCCGAGAACCGAGCTCTGATCGTTGTCTAACCTGCCCAAAAGGAAAGTAGCGCGCACAACAGAGCAAAGCTGGACAACCTCGATCTGAGCTTGGACCCTGGTGTAAGTGAGATTGAATGAGCAAATGTGAGGCACGCATGCTGCAGGCAGCGAGACAAGTTTGCACTTGCCTTTTGTTTCAACAGTCGTGCGTCCGTTACTTGTCACTGAGCCCGACAGGTCCTGCTGGTCTTAGTGTCTTAGTTGTGGACGGCCGCTACTTGGGAGGGGCCCTTCGAATCAGATCATAGACGATAGGCTCGCTTGGCGCTGCCACTGAACAGATGCTTAATGGAATCTTCTGGGTATTCTTTTGCAATCTCCAGGAAGGCAGCCAGCAGCCTCTTGGGAGGCCATCCGTCCTAGAGGAAAGGCAAGAGCGCTTGCAACTTTCTTGCATGTCTACATGTTCCATCTTGCTTCGCCCCCTACTGGTGTTTCAGGCCGCATGCTGTGGGTGCTAGAGCAAGGCACGTGGGCGGAATGCCAACATACACCCGTCCTTGGCATCAACTGGGGCGTTGGTCGCAAAAAGGCACCTCTCCGGACCAAATAGCCGAACAACCCGATGGATTGCATCTATGACAGTGCGGTTCGAATCCCAGTTTAGGTCGGCATAGCAAAGCATGCTGATCTTCATGTAGGTATTTGGCAGGTGAGCCAGTTCAGTCATTCCTTCCCAGTACTGGTCTGCGTTATCCGTGAGGTCCTGCATCTGTGGGCTCCCAAGGTGGTTGATGATGACCGGAACTCCGGGATGACTGCTCAGGAACACAGCCGCCTTATGGAACTGGTGAGGGTTGAGCTGCAAGTCAAAACTCAAATTAAATTTCTGCAGTAGCCCAAAGCCATCCCTCCAAGTTGGATTATCCAGCAGGTCACCCAAGGCCGTGTTGCGTGGCCAGTCTGGCCTAGAGTTCAGTATCTGGCGGACCCCGCGTGTTCCCGGCATCTTGCTTAGCTTCGTCAGCACCTCTTCGGCATCCGGCTGCTCGAGGGCACATGTTGGGACCAGGCCATAAGTCCGGCTCGGCAAATTCAGAAGCTCTGCGGCAGCGAAGGCTGCTTCGCTGAGACAGTGCTGCGAGTATGATGGCCCAGTCAGACCAGGGTGGCAGACGCTCACAGCCTCGAGGAACACACCTCCTTCGTGTTCGAAGTCATCCCCGAGACTGCATGCGCTGTTCTCGTATGCCTTGCGATCGAATAACTCAGTGCCATCGGGTGCAAAAAGCACCGCCGGGTCATGCCCAGATTGCGTCTCGCTCCTCACGTCCCATACGTGGAAATGAGCATCAATGAAAGATATCTTCGTCTTTGCTGGCTCCATGTTGCCGTGCTCCGCAGGTCCATGGAAAGAGTGGAGGCCAGTCAAAACGACCCAAAAAGCTGCAACAATTCAACCTACTTCGGTTGGAACAGAATCAAGCTCCCCCAACGAAGCCTGAACCGAGCTGTCCCACGTGTGCTTCGTGTAGCTCTTCTTGCAGTCATCGCATTGAAGGTTGTTCACGCGCAGCCTAGGCGACCCGGACACATGTCTCTGGAGAATTCCAAATTCGAGTTCGAATTGAGGGATTGGCTCGACCACCACTGTCTGTCTCACCACAACTCCAACCTTCCGAACATCTTGAGAATGCTGGCAAGAGTAAGGCCACAAGATCCCAAACCTGGGGCAGTCGCAATGGCCTCCTGCCTGAGTGAAAGGACGTTTTCGCTGGCTCCGATCATGGGAAGCACAAAGCCCCTGGCTGTAGTTCCAGCTTCACTTTCAACCTAAGACTGGGGCATTCTGGCATTCTGACATCATAAAAGAGGACGCGCCGAGCCGTCGGCTCTTTGGAGTGGGGTTCTGTCCTGATGGAGGCCAACGCAGCTTCCAAAGCACGACCGCCTTGATCGTTTTGAGGGCGGCACCATATGAAGCTGGCATTGGCCTGAACAGCATGCAGCATTTTACGCGGCCGACTTTGAGTGCCTTATCTTAGGATTTACAAGCTTGTGATATCTTGTGATGATACCGAAGTTGGCAAGTTGTGACTCATCTAGAGGTAGCTTGGGCTTCTGCCAGCTGCACGTCCTTGCCAATTCCCTTGATGCTCTTGAGGCAGATGCCCAACCTCCAGCAGACTCCAGCATAATTAGCAGGAATTCATGCGTGCTGTTGTGCGCTAGATGCGCTGGAATGAACTCTTCGGGCCCATGCAGCTCACGGCTTTCACTGTCAGCGACGGTGTAGGTTCCTCCTGGCCTGACAACAAAATGCAATCGGAGTGGGAAGATGCATTCAGACCTGAGAAGCAGGCCTCAGCCACCGCCGACATGTGCCACACCTGATGCAGTTCAAGTGGGGTTAGAACCATCTCGCAGAGAATCTCGCATGCTGGAAACGGTGCGGCCCCAAGAGCTGTAGTTCAACACGCGGGACGGATATGTGTGGTCCAAGCTGCAATACGTCGACTCTCCCTCCGGTCTAACAAAGGAGGAACTGCACAGCCCATGCTGATTCATGCTGGGCCTGAGAGGGCCTGTCATTTGAGAACTGCTGAATCAGAAGCAAGGACATCTGGCGTAGGGCTCCGTGCTGATGCACGTTCGCTCGCCTGGACACTCCAGCCCCGACATCAACCTTCGAAGGTGATTCGGCATGACGATGCAGGGTTCATCGTCTAGTGCAGACCCTACCTCGCTTCGAAGGCACTGCACCTTTGTCCAGGCAAGAGGGCCAACTTGCACGCAAGTCAAACATGTGAGCTTGCAACGTATGAACGATCGCTACATCGGGGCGTGAACGCAGCGAGCGCCTGCCGACACTGAGGAGATCTCGACCTGGCTCTGACGTTGTTTCCGTGCTGTGCTGTGGAGAGCTGCGGCTCAGTGCCGCACTCCACAGATACAACACAGCACCATCCTTTCGCATTTTGGATCTGTGCTGTATGCCAGTATGCTCTCAGTATTTAGCAAGCAATGTCTGTGCGGGTGCTGTTTGGCCTTGTACTCACATGAGCTCGCTATGTTCCGGGGCTGTGCTGAAACATAGCAAGCCATGTAGTCAAGCTTGATCCAATCGCAGCAGAATCTCGCAGAAAGCCGCAAGTGCCGACATCAAGCCTCGAGAAGACCCAGCAAGTTGAGCCACATCGTGGGGCTGAGGGGCACTTTTTGTAGTCATCTCCAGCTCTGTGCCTGCTTGGATTTGCTTGTGGGTTTCGTCAGAAAGTGTGGTACATGCGAGTCTGCACTCAGGTGGTCAGCAGGTGGTCAGCTTGGCACCACAGGCACGAGGGAGATGTGGGGGATCGTACTGTAGAGCAGGGTGCTTTCATTCCTGTGCCCACCCTCGTGTTGGCTCGCTTTATTTTTTTGTTCTCTGTCTATTTCTCTCTCTCGCTCTCTCGCTCTCTCTCTCTCTCTCTGTCTGTCTGTCTCTGGGAGCATAGCCCCGGAAGGGACGGAGCCAAAGTGCGCCCCGGTCTCGGGGTCACTGTGGCCTTTCTCTCCACGTCTGTCTCGGTGTCTGTCTGTGGGGTCACAGCATGCAGCGTGCTACCGTCCTCGCAGTGGCGCTGTTCGAAATCTGGACCAAGGTACCAGGGGCACGACAAGCAAAGGATGTTCACTACCATCCGAGAATCGCAAGTAGAATTTCAGTGAGAACAGGCGCCCCGCTACATTGGGATCTGCTCCTAAGGAGCACCAACTCATGGTCAGAAGGGAAGCCGCGTGCTTCCTAAAACCTGGGTCCGGGAACGCCTCTCTGACACTTTCTGATGCCATGTTTCCGCCATGTGCACCGAACCTGCCTACGCAGCACGCATGCTGAGGTTCATGGCTGCGTAAAGCCGGCCGATGTGCCAGACATCAGCTCACGCGCTGGCCCAGTCCCTCCCATCCTGGCAGATCGGAGTTGCCGGGGTTCTCAGTTGGACTAGCTAGCCGCCCCTAGCAGGCGCGACGCGGCTAAAACCCTTCCAAATGAGGTGCGCGCCACAAACTGGTGGGTTGATCACCATGGACTGGGTCCTGCAGCAGATCCCCCCAAAATGCCCATGTGTTGGTGGGCTGAGAGAGAGAGAGAGAGAGAGAGAGAGAGAGAGAGAGAGAGAGAGAGAGCCAGAGCTGACTCGGAACATGACAGGACATGTAACAACAGCAAAACTTTTGCAGTCCCCTTCGGTCAGCTCTGTGTCTGCAAGAAGCGGTGCTGGAGTTCGTTTTGGCCCTGTCAGCCTGGGCTGCACAGTCCCACGTGGGGAAGATGTTGCATGAACAGAAGCCAAGGCCAGGGGCCACTTGAAACATTGCCAAACCGAGATGACTCCACAGATCAGGACCTGGGATCATGGCCAACATGGCAACCGCACTGCACACCATTTTGCAAGGCCAGGAAGCGTGTAGGGCGCATCAATTCAGGCCGAGGCCAGCCCACCCAAAGCCATGCCCAGCATGGGTTGAGATTCCATGTCCATGACCTCCTGTTGAAACCAAGGAACTCTTTGAACGAGCCTAAAGAGGCACTCTCTGCAAGGAGCACAGGAACCACATCAGCACCTCCAAGATTCCCGAGGTGTTGGACGTGTTTGAGGAGTTCGTCGAGTTTGTCCGGTTTGGTCCCTGCACTCGCCCTGCCTCGGAGCAACCAGACGGGCACAAGGCTCGTTCATTTCTTTAAAGCTCCTTATACTTCCTCATGCTCAATGTGCGCAGCTTCGCCGAAAGATCCTGCCTCCTTGGTATTGTTCATCACAGGGTCCACATCACAGCTGGCAAAGCGTATCGCCAGGAGGAAAACAGCGACCTGGCCATGCATGCTTGTCTGGCCCACGGAGTCATGTAAACTCTCTCTACTACTCTACTGCAGCGGCTTTACGCAAGAAGCCGTGTGCACCGTGTCACCACGCCCGCAGAAGAGGTGAGGGACTAGTAAGGGCCAGGCAATGCTCTGGATCGACGGCATCGGTTTCATTGGCACAGTTCCGGTATGATATGCCGGCGATCTCTCAAAAAGAATCTGATAGATAATGGGATGTCTTCTGTCTTCGTTTGCCATCTTCGCTTGTTTCTTCCAGCATTGCCGAAAGATGCGATGCTGCGGGCCAAGCACACAGGAGGCATGCTGCACATGCCCTAGTTGTTTGAGGCATTTGAGGTTGTCTCAAAGCTCCATACAGCTCCTGTGCTTGCGTGCGGCTTTCGTCTTGGTCAGATGCTATCAGCTGCTTGTCCTCCTTCAATTCTTGAAGGGAAAGCAGGTGAAACACAAGGTGGGATGCAGCAGACAACTGTCTCGCGTGATCTGTCTCTCATTCAACTCAAGTGTGGTCTGTCTCTATGAGGCTCTATCAAGATCACGAATCCACTGTGCTCTACCCCAATCGACTTTTGTGGTACTTGTCGACTTCGACCTCAATGCTGTTTGGTCATGGCTGGTGCTGTGCGCGCCACCAAGATTCTAAGGGGCTTGCCAACGAGCTCCCCTGTTGAGCTGCTAGCCAATCGCGCCGCCTGGTCTTAACATGCGGAGTGCGTAGCTGGACATGCAGCTAACGCAAACTCAACCAATAGCCGGAGATAAGCTGGGCGAGCACCTTGCGATCTCTGTTCTTGGTGCTTCCATTATCCGATCACGCCTGGCATAGCAATTGTCGTACAAGGGCACTTAAAACTCACAGCTTACATGTGCCAACTTTGAAGAGGCCGGCAACACCAGGCATCGTAGTCCGTCATCTTCTGCTCGTACAATGCGACCGCGCTGGCACACTTGTTGAACTTCCGCTGAGCTGGCCAGGGCATGTGAGTGTATGCTTGTGTGACCAAGACAGCGTGAGAGTGCGGTCAATCGTATGCTTTTGGGTGAAATTTCAATTCACGTGCATCTTCCTCTTGTGAATTGCGATAGCTCAGAGGAGCTGACATTCGATGACGTTCGCTTAGAATGTCGCAGTGCGCAGGGCGTCCAGCGCAAAGCTGGTGCAATTATCGCATGTGCTGGTGCAATTGTCACGTGCGCGCGCAATTTGGAACATAAGCGAGTGTTGGCGCAGTGGGCACGTGCGCAATCGGGTCGATTATGGCAATGTCTATGGTGATGGTGCCTGGATGCATCTGCATTCCTTACGTGCTCGAAATTGGAGTCGCGCAGAGAATGCTGAACCAGGGAGGCCTCCCTGGACATAAACTCAAAACCACGGCGACGGTGCTATTTGGTCCCGAGTTTGCTTCAGTGTTTCGGACTCCTGAAATTAAGGTCGCACAAATTCGCACATGTGTGCAGTTGCGCCACAACCATGCTCTGAGGCTTTCTACAGCTCATGACTATCAACACCTCTTTGCATGGGCCTTGAAACTGCCGCCACTGGTGTGCTGCCTCTGCGCGCGCTGCCCACATCTCGTTTCGGGTACGAAATCGCCTGCATCCGACATTTCCGGCATTTGCACCATGCTGAACCGCTGACATGAGCCCGGGCTGCGACCACCATCTTTTTTAGGCTGCTCACGCACAGGTTTATAATGTCAATATAGAGTCTATAGAGTCGGGAAGTCCCAACCACCCATTTTGGTGATGGCAGGTGATGTGCTATACACCGCAAGTGCTCGCAAGGCTACCCCAAGCTTTCCATGCACTTGTGTATTCATGGGGTCCACTCTGTCGAAAAAGCAGCGATGTGCGCGTTTTGCGCTCCACCTGCCAAAGTCCGCTACCTTCAGAAGGTTGGACCTCACAGGGCATTCAGCATGGTCATAGTCAGCATGATTGTTCTGCAAGCTGCTAAGACTGATGAAGCATGTGTCCAGACGGTAGGGCAGTCTATCTCCGTAGCGCCTCCGACTATGTCACGAACTCCGCGCAGGAAGGCCAACTGTTCGTCCTACGGCTTTCGGCCGAGGCAGGCAACGCGGCTACGATCAACTTCAGTTTGTAGAGCACTGGCTGCACCGGCTTCTCGTGGCTTCTAAACGAGGTAGAGTACAGGTTAAACGGTTCAACAATTGCTCCACAGCGGCATCATGCCATGCTCCGGGTCATGGGAATGCTGTGGGTCTCCGTGGCTAGCCTCTGGCGCCGGAATTCATGCCGAGCACGCGACTTTACTAGATTTTCCGAGTTTGATGAGTCGTTGGTTGTTGTGCGAAGTGAAGCCGGCGACGGAGCCAAGTGCGTACCTTCCCTGCGCGCCAGCCGCAAGTCGAAGGCGTGCACGCGATTTGTGCGGGCACTGATATCGAAGCGGACCTCCTCGACCCGGAAGCCGCCTGTCTTGCATGGGAGCTCTCTTGGATACACGGACGGATGGACTGGATAGGTTGCTGGGCGCTGCCCTCCCAGCCGCCTTCTCCGCCACCCTGACTGGAGCTGTGAACTCACCAATGCCCGCACACCGGAGCTGTCTTCCTTTCTTCTTCTCATAGGGCTTGACGGGTCGTGTACAGCTGCACGCGGCCGTGGGAGGGCAGTGCTTCTGCTTCCCCAGGCGCCTAGATCCCATGAGTCTCCTGCTGAGTCAGCAGAGTAGTCGGGCACTTTTTGAAAGTAAGTGCCGATGCTGTGTGGTCTCGGCAGGAGTCTGTCGAGTCCGTGGTTCATCATGTTTATTCATTGTTCAGCCTCACATGCTTCGGGCTGTTGCGAGCAACGCGTATTGCAGCTGCTGGGGCAACGGTGCAAATTTCTTTCAATCCGTGAGAGCCGATGTCTTAAACAACTTCTGGGCAGATCGATCGACGTAATGAGTCTCCTCTGGCTCCCAGGAGGTCTTCTTACCGAAGAGGAAGCCGAACGCCTGGCAATAGACGTCTATTGTCGGTTTCGACTTCTTGCATGCTACCGCAGCTCATGGGAGAGCCTCCAAGAATTGAGCTGGTGTGCAGTCAAAGGGTGCCTTGCGCTAGGCCCGCTAGGCAACTTGTTGACAAATTTCTCTTTGACCGGTTCACGTGAAAAAGGGAAGGGCACCTGCAAATGTGCTGGGATGATGCGGACAAACGGCCACCTGCATCAAAGAACGTCAACTTCACGCGCGATCATGGCTTCGACACCACGCAATGACAAGCCTTGCAACTAAGCAATTCAGGCATCCTTCGGCGATTAGCTTCGTGCGATAATGATTCTCAAGACGCGCCTTGCGACATCTTTGACCCAGGCCTCGTCACAACATGTGATGGAGCTTCCCCCCAAAACAAGCTCGGAACGGAATCTGTTCCGACCTGAGGCTCTGGCGGCTGCTTGCTCCGGACAACGCCGGTACACGATGAACCGCAGCCTCTTTTCAACATCCCGTGACTCCCTTGATTCCCGTAGCCATGAGCAACTCCCAGGGTCAAAACTTCGCAGCAACCCCCATAGGCCCAGGCAGTGGGTTAACCAAAGCTGCTGGTCGTGAAAGTGCTGCAAAATCCTCACCGGCCAAGAGCTTGGATTTTTGGCTTAGACTGAACGGCAGTTTCGAGTTTAGGACGAGGTCTAAGTCTGGGTTTTAGGGTGGCCAATGCATCTGAACGCGTGGTCAGCTGCTTGTAGATCAGCGGATTCAGCGTAGATCTTCTGCCAACAGAACTAGACTTTAGCGCCTGCACGGGCAGGCCCGGAGCGCGAGCCTTCTCGTCCTGGTTCCGCCCTGTTACGAAATCGAAGGCGATCGCCTTGTACCTGGCAAGGTCTACCAAACTCGCACTGTGGATCTGGGATGCCACAGTGGGATGCTCCACTTGGACCTGGCCTCCACTGATCTAGCGTGATGGGCCCGGGAGTCCCATCGTACCCGTAGCTTTCCAGGATTTTTGGTGGCATTGCTGGGAGCTTGAGGGCGCAATCTGTGACCAACAGGCTGCGGGTTTCCTTGTGGAAGAAGACCGCCTCAGCGAAGGTGTCCGTCACAGGTGGCTCCACGAAGAAGACTTTGCAGTCGAGCTCGTCGGCCCAAACTGGGGCGGGGCCCTGACCCAGAATGCGGCTGTTGCTTGGTACAGTGATGGGGGGAGCTTGCCCAGGCGTGGCCCAGATTGTGGCTTTCGGGTAAGTGCGCGAGAATTCCGCGAGGGAAGCTTTGTGCTCCAAAGCTGTGGATGGCACCACCAGATGCGCCACCTCGCCAAGCTCGTCCAGAAGCCGCAAGCACTGCCGTGTTGGCGCGATCGGTGCGGAAACCCACAGGGCGCCACTCCGCAACTTGACGGCCGTCATTCGTATGTTGGTCGAGACAGATGCAAGCGCTATGCACTGTTCGAAGCCCCAGATTTTTCCCGGAACGAGTTCGGTCCGCAGCGTTTCCTTGTATGGCGCAGGTGCTAAAATGGTGCCGAGTGCAGCGTATCTCTCGTCCGAAGCTCGGAGGGAGGCATCAACCCCTGCGATGGTCAAGGCGCTGCCAAGAACCGCCACTGCAGCTCGGCGGGGCACCTCGGAGTCCTCTGCCTCTGTTGCCCCTGCCTGGCATAAGGTCCGAAAGCTCCTAAAGCTCCGACACCTTTGGAGTCGGGATGGTCCAAGGGAAGCAGCAGCCGCCGGCAGCGCTGCCAGAAGCCAGGATCGTGCCAGCCTTTGTTCCCTTGAAGAGTTACGTGCATTGATCTCCGCATGGTGTTGGATGTGTGGGATGTGTTGGGATGCTGGCGGCTTAACGGACACCCTGCCGCCACAAGGCAGCAAAGCCATGGCGGACGCAGGGGATTCGATTTAAGCAGCGTTGCTTGGGCTGAGAACGTAGACAATGCACCGCTGGTGACCGTTCTCGAATGGTGTTGTTGCTACCTTTCTTTGTTGCGTGCGGCACTTGACTCCTGATCTTGACAAAGCAGCTTCAGCATGGCACTTGTTTGGTCCGTCACATCTTTTTCAAAGCTGCATGGGTATCTGTGGGCAAGGCTCGCGGCTCTTCTCCCACTGGTGCTGTGCCTGTGACAAGTTGGATTCTTCACTGTGGCCTGATGAATGCCGGGAACTGGCAGCCTGCACGACGTGCTGGCCCATGTCGCCTTTGGATTTGACCTGCCATGGGGGAGATGTTGATCTAGTCCACTCTAGCCGCTTCAACGACTGCGATCAGACCGAGTCGTCATGCTCTTTGGGGTCTAGGCGTCCATGGAGCAAGCAATCTTTAGGTCCCATGGCCTCGAGATCGATCCTCTGCGACCATTCATTCACGTACCTGGCGCAGCCCATGAACGAGAGATCAGCTTAGGGAACCTGGAAGAGAGTCTCGTGTCTTAATCGCCCTCGAGAAACGTTGGGGGTGGAGCAGCTGCATGTCGCCATCAATGCTCTTCGTGGCTACCGGTGACGGGGGCACTTGTCCTCCAAGACATGCAGCTTGTGGATCATGGCCCTGGCAGATAGAAAGGAAGCCACAACCAATCCACAAAGACTTTGGCAGAAATCAGAAGAAACAAAAGAATCAAAGCTTGCCGAGCTGACGTACTTCGATTTCGAGCCGCCTCGAGTGGCATGGCCTGGACAATCTGAAAGTGGAGGGCAGTTTCTGATCTCCTCTGCACGTGTCCTGCCCCGCGCTGGCCATGCGTGCCGAAGCCAAACTGTTGGACCTGCGAGACAGGAAGCACCGACATTCCTGCAACAGCTAGAATGCCTTGATTTCAGCATACTGGGGTTCGGACATGATTCAGAAAGAATGTGTGCAGGCAGCCAGGTACTGCTGCAGCTACTAGTCTCAACTACGTGCCCACTTACCTTGTCAGCTACACAGCCAGGTATATGCATATCAAAGCATCACAGATGGCTAACTTTCCAACACAGAACCCCGATCGTCTGAGACATCAGAGCCGACAGCAACGAGGAAATTGTCAGGTCTTCACTACGTGCCCACGTCGTGGGGACCCAAGCGGCACAAACTGTGTTGTGCCCGCACCAAGTAAGTGCATAATAAACACGCAGGTGGGGGTGATCCTTTCTCACTCTCTGCGTGGTGATAGCTGTCTTTGGCCATTCAGGCAGCATCAAGCACAAGCTACGATCCCAACTCCCCGAGTAAAGAACTACTCGCCCCACCACCGCGGGGACACAAACAGTGAGACTATTCAATGGCGCATCCGCTACGCCTTTTTCTTCGATGCCTGTGGCAGTGGCAGGTGTAGTATGCTGTGGTGTGGCTCCAGCGTAAGAGTCTCGCGCCTTTTTATCCTTTTTTCTATCTCTTTCATTTCTTTCGCTTTGCTCCTTCATGTCATGCATGCTGCCTCTGAGATTGGCTCTGCTGAAAAGCACCATGCCGAACAGCAGCAAGCACAACTGTCCTTCTGCATGAGGAGCATTATTCCAAGTCCGATGATCCCGAAGATGAAGCCAAGCGCCAAGAGCATGTACAGCTGGCGGCTTGACTTGTCTATACTTGTCTTGTGCCCAGCATTACGCAGAACAGCTGCAGCAAGAAGACGGCACACCAACAAGCACAAGTGAGGCAGTCAATTGCACACGGAAGCGCCTTGCTTCCTGAGCCAGGGCTCGGGTGTTCCTCGCAGGCTTGAAATCATCTCGGGCAACTTGTTGTGCCTGCTCGTTCTTGGTGGAATTCGGACTTTGGGACCTAGGTGCAACTGCAACCGACACGAGGTTCCAAGTTCCCGATCCCCTCAGAACCAGTAGGTAGTGTAGGGGCTTGTAACCGCTCCTCCGGTTTACGCACGAAAACATTTGTTTTGTACCGCTGGCCCAGCGGACTGGAACGAAACATTGAGTCTCGGGGCTTATGCAAGGCTTCAGTAGCCTTCATCAAGAGGATGGCCCAAGAGAAAAAAGTTGGGGAGAGCGAAACGTGAACAAGAGCCTGAACCACATCTCTAAAGCCCGAAGCTATACGCAGAACATCGACCTATATAGATCGCTTTGGAATTCTTTTGTGCTTGCGGCACTGCTGGCGCGACATCCATTGACCACGACAAAACAAAGGACTTTGAGCATGTCGCATGTCATGTCACAGAAAGCAGTACTTGGATGCACTTGCCGAGGTCCTCCTGCGGAGCTTGGCCTGACGACAACGTCCGAACGCCAATTACTGAGCCAAGGTTTTCTCAGAGCTGCTTTTATTTTCGGGGTGTTCGGCTGATGGCCTGCACCCGGTCGTGATTGCTGGCTCTGGCCCTGGGCCTGCCAAAACTGGCCAAAACAGGCTGTTTTCCTGGGCAATGTGTGAAAGCTGCGGTGGAGTTGTGGCCTTCTGCTGCTCCTGCTTCTTCATTGCCTCTTGCTGCTTCTCCACGTGCTCCTGTGCAGCTGCAGTCTGAGGAGCATGATCACAAATTTAGGATGAGAAGAGAGCCCCCACACTTTTACATGCCCTCATCTGCCCTTGAAAGCCGCTAACGTGGCGTCTCCTTCAGCACAGTCTCCAGCAAGGCCCACTGTCTATTGGAGGCCTGGCCCAGGCTGCAGGAAAGCTGGAAAGCATGAATGCAGAGCGCGGTGCACTTACGGTGCCTTCGCTGGTGGCTCATAAAGCTGCGCGTCCTTCGCAGCATGCAAATACAAGGTGCCACGTTCATACAGAGGGAGCACGCAACTCCTTCAACACGTCAGAATTGCCATCCGCTGCGGCTTTGGCATCCGCATCTGGGATTTTGACATAGCACCTGAGCAACGTGCTACACACAGTGCACTACCAGGTCAACGCTGGCGAAGCACGCTGTTGCTTGTATGGATTCGCTTGTAGGCCGGCGAGGCTGCACTAAACTGATGCCGAGTTTTCATCATTCAAGCAGTTGCGATACCAGCAACGGTAGGATTCAGAAAGCCGCAGTTCTCGAGCTCGAAATACTCTGCATCTACGTTTGAAAAGCCACCAGCTTGGATGTTCTGTAGACTGCGGCGGTCGAAGTGACACCCATCGGCAGATGCCACGTGGTCTGGAGTGGCCAGCTTCTGTGCGGTGGCGATAAACCCGTTAGTTTCAGACAGAACATGCTCCACAAATAAATACTGGCCTCCAGGCTTCAGAACACGACGGATTTCAGATACAGCATGGTCAGGATTGGAGACGGAGCACAGGGTCAGCGTACAGATGACCTGAGCGAGTGACAGAAATTGGTTTCCCATGTGCGAACTATTTTCCAAGCATGCTTCAGCGACGTAATTGGGGGATCTCCTGCGGACGTAGGGAACAGGTGGAGGCGCTTCGTTCTGTTGAAGACTAAGGCAACACAGGCACCCTGTTGTTCAGTCTAATAGAAACAAGAAGCGCCCTAACCTCAGAAGTCAAGATGATAAGCAGGCTATATGCAGGCTTTGCCAGAAAGTGCTCGGCTGCAAGGCCAGCAGCATGACACAGCATGTCTGCGCTTCCTTGTTGTCATAAACCACTTCACTCATCTTAACTTTGTGTTGTGCCCCTGCTGTGTCCAGCCTTTATGTGCAGCGGAGGTGCCGCATCGGCGCTGTGGCTTTCCAAGGGCAGAGCCTCGGCGATGCCCTTTGTGAAGCGCAGCACGTTCTGACGCTCCGCGTCCAGAAGGCCGGCTTTCTTGGCATTCTCCATGGCGTAAGGCTCCATGAACTCGTTGGGATCCACACCCACGATGTCCATAGATCTGGGTGCGTTTCGGGACCCGAAGTACAGAGCATTTGGGAAGCTGCCGATCCCAACCTCTACGACCACAGGGTTTGATGGGAGCAGGCCCCAGAGCTTGGCAAATAGGGCACGCTTCTTCTTTGACACCGCACGCTCGTAGTCAATCATGCCATACGCCATGCCCTTTGCAAACTCCTCGTCTTTCCGCGCGTTCCGAGGCGGGAGCTCTGTGGGCGAGATGGTGACCTCCGCGTAGGCTGCCCCCTCTGCGCAGAGAAGGCCAAGGCCAGAAAAGGCCTTAAGGAGTCCACGGCGAGAAGGCACGGCAAATGCAACGGGCCCTCTGCAAACTCCAACGATCAGGATTCCTGTGAAGAGTGAAAAAACTCCCGTTGCGAGCCATCTTCTTGACTTGTGGAGCCAGCCTGCGCTGGCCCGCCGGCGAAAAGTGCCACTGCTTTGGTAGCGCAACATCCAGCGGCTTCACAACTGAGCCTTCCTAATAAATCGGCGCTGCGTGAATGTCACTGATCTCATTGTCTTAGTGGCATTATTTCGGGCGATTCGCTTCTTGTGTTCTCGCTTGTTGTTAGAGTAAAGCTGGAGCATGACATGGCGCGCAAGTGGAGCTCGAAAGCAAAGTATGCTGTCGAGAATGCCAATCTCACATTTGCTTGGCCGAGTCAGAAGGCTGGGAAGATGCGAGTCGCAGGTTGCTGGTGCCGCGATGTGCTGTGTACTGGCTCTAAGTGCCACACGTTATCATCCAGGTATAGAAGATCGAGTTCATGGCCTGGAGGGCAAGCTCATAGCCATATCTGCAACATGAGAGACATGATGATGACAGATCGCAGCCTGCTGCTTGTTCAGGCCCCGCTCGGCAAGCCTTAACCGAGCTTTGCTGCTGTTGCAACTTCCTGCTCGTGAAATGTGGCGAGTGAGCAAGCCATGCATCTCCCCTAATTGTGCTGAGAGGCTGCGCGGCCAGCTGCGAGACCTCCTCAGAGTGTGTATGTAACCTGCGCTTGTCCAGCGTATTCCACATTCTTTCTTTCTCTCCCCAACCCATCAAAAAAAGGTAACGGAATGGCGCCTCGCCATAGCACCTGCGATGATCTGACTCTGGGACTCTGGTCAAAATAGCTGTGGACGGCCGGATATCCCGATGCGTCCAAGTTATAATCGGAATATATAACACAAAGATCCAGCAAGCCCTAGAACCTAAAGCCAAAAACCCCAAAGCTGGCTGACAGAATCAGAACAGGTCGTTGTGTTCGCGAAAGCGCTTGCACCGTTGCCGGGGGCGGCGGCGAGGGGGGGAGGGGGGGGTGTTTTGGCACAGGAATATCGGAGGTGGTGAAACATCCCAACCTGCATCTCGATTTAGAGATATGCGCACAAGGCAGGCAAGGGTTCATCTCAACTTTCCACACCACGTTCCTCTCGACCCAGAGACAACAGTCGCAAAGGTATGCAACAACAGATACCAAAAGGTCACGGCACAGACTCCACGAATCGCAGGTTTAAGAAGACTTGGTGCAAGCGCTCGTTTCTTCGCACATTTGCAAATTCAATGGCGCAGAGGATTGGCAGACGATCATGTCAGGCTTTACTCGGGCGGACGCAGCCACGCTCTTCTCCGACGTCTCCGCCACGCTTCCATCTAATGTGTTCTGGCGGCTGCCTACCTCGCGCTCCGTCTCCCTTCTTCTCTCTCGCTGACGAAAGCACAGCTTCTAGGGTGTCATTGACCTGTTTGCCTGACATAATTGGAATGGATGCAGCCATGCATGTCGCCGGTGCCCGTCCACCCACCACCATACCTCAAATCCCCGATTTCTTGGACCTGATGGTCAAGACGGTTTTGACGCGCACGCACGCACAGAGGCAATGTCATAAACAAGAGCGAAAACAAGTTGCTAGAGCTAGCTGCAGAGGAAACGCCGATTGGACAATTCGCAGGTGCATTCGTGCAAGATGATTTCAGGGCGCCGAGTGCTGCATCCAGCAACTGGAATGGCAGAACGGAAACACTTACTCTGATCGCAGAAAGCCGCAGGCTCCCGCACCTTCCCCAAGCACCCTGCCCTAGATCCCAAACAAACCTGTGCGCAGGCGCCCCCAACGCTCACCGACATGTCAATAGGATGCCAGTGGAGCCAAGGCTTCAAGGGCAGAAACACATCCGCCTGCAAGGCAGATCTTCATTCGCATGGTGCGATCTTCCTCTGGCATGTCCTGCGAACGGGATATAGTGTACATCAAGTGCTGGCTTGCCACGGTTGCCACATCCTTGTCGAAATCGTCCGCTTCAGGCTCTCCTGATTCTTGGAGGACAGTCATGTCATGACAGCAGTTGGAAGGCTCAGGCGCTGCCTCCTTCGCTTGCGCCGTCTACCTTCGACAACGCAACGAGATGGTTCCACACAGTTTGTCAGAGCCTCACACGCCTCGAGGTCGTCCTCATCGTCATCGCCCTCCAGGTCATCAAGGTCCAGGTCCGCATCATCTGCGGCTCCCTGCTCACCAGCCAAGTGGAGTACTACGCAGTGGTGCCAGGGCATGCTGGCCTTTGCAGTCTCTGCTGCGGCCGTTTCAGGCGGCTCCTTACCAGCGTGGCAGTTCACGGTAGTTTCCCTTCTCAGCATAGCAGGATAGCTCAGAAATGGTGCACGCAAGACAAGGACGACGAGACCAAGGAACCGAGAGGGCCAGGTGTGCAAGCAGCAGGACGCAAGCGGCGCGAAGCCCCTCGGGAGCTGCACTCGATCACCACTGCCAGGTTGCCCCCCAAAATGCTTTGTACATCTTTATACATCTTTATACCGTTTAACCGTATTTTTACCACATTTTGACATCACACTCTCCACCCTTGGCAGCCGCTGCCCGAGGTCTTGGCCCGCATGGCCGGGGGCCAAGGGGGGTGCGGAGCAAGACGGACTCCAAAGAAGGCGCACACCCCAAAGATGGCCCCCAAAGATGTTCAAAACATGTTCTGAACTTCCTCAAACCTACAGATAAATGGTTCTGAGAGAAGCCACCAATCACCGGATTCGCGATTCATTCACATGTTGCAATGATGTCCATGACGAATGTGCGCTGACAGGCAGCAGCTAGCTCAGGCAAGATTTTCTTCCTTTCCAAAGCGAGGCAGATGCCAAGATTTGCCTGGTGTATCTGAAAGGCACTTCTTTAGAAAGGCACCAGCACATGACGGCCGGAGCAGGGATCCTACTGCGTAGACTGCACCACATGCTCTCCGCATGCTCGGCGAGCTGCGACTTCTAAAGTGATCTTCGAGGTGTAGTGGCTCTGGTCTTGGTGTCGTCGTTTTTGCCCCTTGTGAGTAGCCATAGCAAGATGTCCTCTGGGACATCTGGCCGCAAGCCGCGGGGAAAAAACTCAATCCATGCTGTCCAGGTTCACGGTCTTCGCGGTGTGGCATCGATGCAGCTGCTGCAGCGTGGTGAATCGGATCTGACTCGGCAAAGTCTCCCTCGGCTGAAGGTCCACACTAGAAAAGCCCACTTTAAGCAGAGGCAAACTTTGCAGAGGCAAACTTCTCAGAGGCAACCCTAAACCCTTAAACCCTAAACCAAGTGTCCCATACAGCCGGGCCATGGCCTCCAGTGCCTGCCCGGCTTCGGCCTGAGCCTTCATCCGCGAGACATCGTCCCCAGCAGTCCTGCAAGTCCCCTGCAAGTCCGGGTGGGGTCAAAAAGTGTCACATGGGTATGCTTCGGGAGTTTACGGGGGGTGGTACCAACTTGTACCAACCCTGCAACATCCCGCAACTCAACGGCGTTGGTCCTGAGCCTGGCGATGGACAGAAGCGCGAGGACATCCTTTGCTCAAAGCAGCGTGGGTTGGGCATGGTTGGGCTGCAAGCCTGCTCCCTCAAAGCCCTCCACTATTTGCACAACTAGCCTTGTTCGATTACATGGCTGGGGCTGCCCAGGCACAGCTTTTCTGGCTGACATCTCGCCATCTGGAACTGCTAGCGAGGTCAGCACTGCGGGAGCCAATTCCATGCAAGTCTTCCAGTCCTCCGCAATTTCTGCAAGTCTGAGAACGCCTCAGCAGCAGAAGCTCGGAATTTAGTGAGCGTCGCTGTCGCACTTGCTGGTCGAGGAACTGACAAGCTCCCGCAGGAGCATATGCCGCGGCCCAAGCAGCTGCAGCAGAGTCTGCACAGCTGCACCCAGCTGTTCCAGCCTCAACCAGTGCGATTCATCACCCTTCGGCCCTAGTGTCCTCAGTGTCTTCAACTCGCAAGTAATGTTTCAGGCGTTGGTTGAGCCCATTTCTGGCATTGTTCCGTGGACCGCCCCAGGATGAGGAGGCGAGGGAGGGAGCGGGAGAGACAGAGAGCGAGCGGGCCTGCAACCTGCTTCTTGCGAAGTCAGTGGGGGACCATCGGTGTCTGTCAGCTTTCCAAGAGAAGTCGCGGCATCGGCGACCTGCGATTGACCGCCAGAGTTCTACTCTCTGCGCTCAAAGGCCCACTGCCACAGTGTTCTTTTGCACATGTAAGCATAATTCTTCCATGCGGCACGGCAGATATCCTCAGTTTCGTTCGCAGTGTTGATTTGCACACATGTGCATGGCGCTAAAATGAAACATTCTGAAACACCGATGGTCTAACACCCTGACACCTTCAGCAGGCAAGCATCTTTGTCTGGTGCCGCTTGCACAGCGATCCCCATCTCTTTGTGCAGAAATGTGCACAATCCTCTCGTTCTTTCCGCGCTCATCATGAGAATTGTCCTCAGTCGGAGATGTCTGAGCCACACGGATGCTTAAGAAGCAGACTGACCTGTCGGCACTGTGTCGGCACAATGACGACGGCACATCCACGCGATGAAATGCCAAACTGACAGGCTAACGCAGCCCTTCGTCCCATCGGCTGCCTTCACGGCAGCTATGCTATTCTCGATGCCAGGTGGGATGTCAAGGCCTCGTGACCCACAACCTGGGCTGTGGGTGAGGCTCTCTTTCAGCCTCTATGATAGCAATATATTGTAATCCACTCCTTACTAGTACCGGTGTAATGGTATACTTGTTGAGCAACAAAAGGGCCAGCAATTTTGATCAAACTCCAGTTTTCTTTAACTGGTTGTAGTGAAGAAAACGTGCGACAAACTGATTTTCCAATGCAGGCAGTGTCGGCGCTCCCAAGCACTGATCTCTCGACAGACGGCGCAGTCGCAAATGAATCCGTACGTAGCTTTCCTTGCGTGGACGTTGAACAGCTTCAGATTCTTGCAGCTTGCCTAGAGCTTGCGTGGGCTGCCACGCTTGCGGCTTTTGAGGCTGGCATGCCGTGAAGTGACAGAGTAGGTTGGCGAATCCACCATGGCCGTCCAGGATCCACATAGCTGATCAGAACCTCTTCCCCAGCAGTGAGGGCACGAATGCATTTGACGCTGTGTGTCCTGGACAGCACAGATTCGGCACAGATAAGGCAGTAATTAGGACCAGGACAGCTTGGTGATTGGCGCTCCACATTCCGACTTTAGCCAAAGTACCCCCCCCTCTCCTCTCATTTTTTTTGACAAAAGCCCCCCCGCCGCCACCACTCCCCCCCAACCGTAAGCCACTTTTCAGGGAACCTTTTCAACCTGCAAACCCCTCAGGCCCGCTTAAGTCGACCGTTCGCCCACTCTGCAAGTACTCTGTCAAAATTCTGGAACCATGCGAATGGACCCTGCCTGCCCTCGACCGGAATGTTCCACACCATTGCAGCATTGGGTTTGCATGAGTGGTTCCTCGCGTTCGCACTAGGCTCTGCACATATGCAGCTACTCGTTGAGATCCAAGACTCAGCAGACAGGCTAGTCGAGCCTAACAGTTCCGAGCGTCAGAAGAGCTGCAACTGGGTCACACAGCTGGCCAACAGGAGTTTCGTCGGCACTGCACGCAAGAAAGCTGTTGCAAGTCCTTCCATGCTGTGGTGCTGTCACATCATCACGACACCACATCCGCACAGGCAAATTTGGGGCATTTGGAGGGCTATCGAGCTCCGATTGCAATCGCCGGCGCTTACAGGCGGAGACCGAAAGCAAACTCCCCAAAACCTGTCAACCTACTGGCATGTCGGTTTTGTGCTTCATAATCGTCATCTTCCTCGCCAATCCTTATCACTCAGATCGAACCTTGACTGCTTACAAACACCCTGGTGGAAAAAAAATGCTCTGCACCCATGGCTCAGCTGTTCGTAGCAATGGCATATCACGGTGGCCAAGTCTTGGCTGTGTCGCAGTTCTGCCGGAAACAGGGAATTCAAGGGCTCGGCCACCAGCAGGGCCTCATTTTTATCGAACCGCGGCATGTTCCCACTGCGTTGGCCCTGGACACATCGAGCCAGTGCGTCCCCGCTCGCACATCATTCAGTTCTGCATAACCCAGAAGTTTTCAGAGTACGACAGCGATGCAAAAGTTTTTTGTTGATGTTTCCGTAAATATGTTTCATGGATTCCGACAGCATAAGCTTAAAATGTCTGTCGGCTATTTTAAAAGCGGGAGGCGAGACCGGCGAGACCGGCAGGAGGACCGCTGCGTTTTCGCCCAGCGTGCCCGCCGCCGCTATCCTCCAAACTGTCATCGTTTTGGATCCTCGCTCCGCAGAAGTCGCAGCAGTCACGAGTCACGAGCGCCCTCGCAACTGAAAAGTGGCAGCCCTGTCGTACTCCCCAGCCTCGAAAGTGCACTGCGTTGTGTTTGCATGCTCGAAAAATCTTAACCTCAACTGTCAAGAAGATGTCTGAGAGTCTTGGGTTGGGTGGCCCTCCTCGTGCCTGTCGTCGCTTAGACTCAGACCCTGACATGTTCGTCGTGGGGGATCGGCCCCACCATCCTCTTGCTCTTAAAGCCAATGGAAATGCGTGGCTTTGTCAAGTCCGTGCTGTCCCCGGTCTGTGTCCTGGCATGGTTCCGTACCATGGAGAAAATGGCATTTTCGGCCCCATGCGTGGTAGAGACTGCTCACCCTCTCGAAGTGGCTTGTCGTGAACCGAACGTCTCTAACCATCTCTCACCTGCTCTGCTGGTGCTGCCGACGCTGATGATCATGATGGGTGTTCGCTGTTTCGAACACGTTGGGACCATCCGTTGTCTAGTCAAGCTTCGACCCGCAGCATGCTGCGTCGAAGGCTGGGTTGTGTTCACTGTTTTGCTCGTTGAGCCAAGCCACCGCAAAGCCTTCAGGATCACCAGAGATGTCCTCGCTTGTGTCATTTTGCCACCCGCGCTGCACACGGAAGATCGGCACTGCAAAGGCAGTGTAGGCATTGTGTAAGGGTCTCCGTCACTTGGCGGTCCTCTGGTGGTGTGCAAAGCTCGGCGAAGTCGTCCAACGAGGCGGTGGCCAGCTCGGCAGGAGATCTAGGCTCTTGGCCGCCTCAACAGGAAGGCATTGGGAAGTACTCGACGGGAAGAGTACTGCATCACATAGCATCGCACAACATCAGGATGGCCATGCAGGAGTCGCAGCAGCCGGGAGATTGACAGCGCGCAGCACACCAGGTTTTGCCATTGGTCGTTGTTCTGAGCTCTGGCATATCCTTGACAGGCCTGAAGCCTCAGCAGCTCCCAAGCAAAAAAGTGTGTGTGTGTGTGTGTGTGTGTGTGTAAGTGTAAGTGCAAGTGTCAGGGTCCGGGAGTGTAATTTTGTAAGTAAGTAAGTAAGTAAGTAAGTAAGTAAGTAAGTAAGTAAGTAAGTAAGTGTGCGTGTGTGCGTGTGCCATGCGCCCATTGTGCTCATTTGCCAAGTAGCAGGTGTGCTAGAATAGGGCACTCCTCACAGGCGATGCGCGAACACATGCCAAGGCTGCTTGCTGCCGTTCACCTTTCTCTTGCCAATTCCGGTGGCCTCCTTATGCCATCTCTCGTTCGGCCAGCAGGATGAGCAAAACGCAACCATGCCGCACCCTGTGCAGATCCTCAAACCTGAGAGCGAGCTTGCTGAGTCGGTGAATGGCAGGCCGCTCAGCAGCAGCCAAGTTGCTTCCATTCTCGCGTTCGCTTTTGAAGCAGTCGGTGCAGTAGTTCTTCCATAAGTCTGGAAGGCAAACACGAAGAGCCGCCTGAGCTGCAGGGAGATGCCCCCATTCACTGTACTGTGCGTTTGATTCAAGGCGAGCACCGGAGTGCAAAGGTGCACCCTGCCTCTCCGTTCAGGATGGTCTCACCTTGCGCAAAATTTCTCGTGCAATACCTCAGAAGCCACTGTTCTCATTGGTCATGATTTCATTTCGGATAGCTCGATCTGCAGCCACAAAAGTGCAGTCAGAAAGCAGCCCTCTTCCTTTGACATCTTCTCGCACTTCAAGGCCCAGGTGTTCAAAGCGCCGGCCCATGTCATGGCAGTGCGGCGCCCTTGTGGAAGAGCACTTTGAACTGACGTGTTCTTCAAGCGCATACTGCCGTATGGAGGTGTGCCATGCGTCTTCTCTCGTGCTGAGCAAGTAACTGATTCAGGAGGGCGACACAAGCTGCATCTGCGATTTGCAGCTTTGCCAGGAAAAAGACCGCTTGTCCAGAACTTTGCGCGCTTTTCTGGCACTGCACGGAACGCAGCGATCTCCAAACAAGCCTGAGTCTGTAAGGACATGCCATCCAACAGAATGACTTCGTCATGCTGTGCGCGGCGAAGGCATTGGAGGTGCTGAGGTGTCGTTGCAAATCTGACGCTGCTCGAGGGCAAGACCAATCACCACGTGCAGAAATGCAGTGGACACGACCATGCGAAAAGAATTGAGTGAAACTCTTGGAACCGCAATTGTGCAGGCTTCCAGTATGGCTACATCAAAAGTATCTACGGGAGGCGGAAACTCTGGCCATGACATCTGCAGCGAGGGCATTCTCAAATGCGGCTCCTCGTTGAGAGTCATCACGACCTGGACAGGAGCTTGCACATGTGAGCCAGCAAGCGCATGCAGATTCACAAGCTCTTAAGCACGGGGTTCGAGACAGGAAGGAAACTGGCACCAGACAGCTCGTTGCCTCAGGGCGTGGAATCCAGCTGACGACAGAGCGCCCTGGCACAGTCCGCTTCTCTGGCCGAGGTCTTGTAAATAAAGGTTTCGGCTCGCGTCCACAGATGCATCGTGGTGTGTTTTGATTCTCCTCAACAAACTTGCCCCTGGCACACCTATCAAGACTTGTCAGGAGCCATGGCCCATGTGCCTGGGAGGCCGACCTCGTCACTTGCCGCTCAAACCTCGCATTTCTCAGGTTTGTGAAATCTGGGTGGATAATTACTAGTGCTCGACGCATGCAGCTGCCCCAGCGTGAGGGTCACAGGCACCATGTTTCCCTGAACAATCTGGGGACTGCAGAATTCCCCCCCCCCCCCCTCACTCTTCACCTCCGGGGTCCTCCAAAGAACCTTCGAGGGGCCGGCCCGCGCAGCTCCACAACAGGGTCTTCTAGTGACTCTAGTGTATCTGGCGGCCCCAGCCGGGCACTGACCTCCAAGGAACCCTCAAAGATTCTCGAGGAGACCTTGTATTCCAAGAGGTTAACATTTTAGCCAGCCCTTTTGAACAGCGTCGCGACTTCGAAACCCAAAGCGAGTTTTGAAAGATTTCAGAGTTTCGGGCTTTGTGATCACGGGGCGGAAGTGCCAGAAAGTTCGATTCTGTGTGCCCGAGCTCCACATGGGTCCATAATGTGAAGACGGCAGAACTTGCAAGTTATGCAAAGCATCCCGTGCTGCTTAGGTAGTGAGTTTGGTGGCCAAAGTTTGGTGTGGAAGACGTGGGAACTGCTATTCTCCTCGATCCAATGCATTCCAGCTCTTCTCACGCCCTACAGCGAGGGCCTAGCCAGCCTAGCTGTTTGGAAAAAACTCACATCGCCAAGCAACGATCCCACGGATACCGCTCGCCTGCGCGCGAGCTAAGTTGACACATAGCTGTTGAGTCTTCGGACTCCCTTGGCCTCTTTGCCCCGAGGGATGGTCCAGGTGAAGGGTTTCTGCCGCCCCTCAGGTGGACCAGAGATTTGAGAACAGGAGAGGTCTTGTGTGCCCTGTTGTGCAAACTGTGCAGTGTGTGGGGATATTTGGAGCATTGGCTCCGGCGCCTGAGCTGGGCATCCAGTCCTGTTTCCCACCTTGCAGATGCAGCATGACTCAGATTAGACTTTGCCATGCTCTTGCACCCTACAAAAGCAGAAGGAGGCCCGAGGAGATCACTGAATCGGCATTCCGGGGAGCTGTGCAGATGCGAGGCCATCCTCGCACAGGGCAGTTGTTCGCGAGTCACGGCTGACACGCATTCTGAGACTCGGAGACCTTGCTGCGGGAGGATGCTCTCCAGCCGCTTTCCTCAGCGGTTCATGGGGGGTCGATCCATCCTCTTCCAATCTTTGCAATGATGTGCTCAGACTGGGCCCCCCTTACTGTGGAACTTCGGCCCCGGTCAGCTCTGGCCGGAGACCTGCCCGAGTTGGAGCCCTTCGGCCACACAAGGACGTGCAGCAGGGTGCTTGCGAGCGCTGCCCTAAGTCTGCTCTCTCCTTCTTCTTTCTTTTTCTGCGGCGCGCTTCAGAGCAGCTGCCTCTTCGCCCCCCTTCTTCGCGTTTTCTGGTACCTCTGAGGCCTCTGCTGCTTCTTCGCACGTGAGGATTGCAACAGTGACATCGTCCTGGACTGACTTCTTAGGGTCCTGAGAATAGCTCGGCAGGCACCGACAGCACTGCTATAGGTAGCTCGATCTGGTTCCAGGCCAGCCTCCAACATTTCTTCCAACAGCCAAAGGGCTGGCAGATGTTCACCGCCACGCTCGCAGGCGATGATGGCAGAGCGATAGTTCGCGGCTGTAGGTGGAGTTGATGGACGGAGCCGTCGGATTTCGCTTAGGAGCTCCAAAGCAGGCTCCCATTGTGAAGCCCTTTGGCAAGCCTCCATGGCTGCGCCATAGGCGCTGTGCAAGGTCTGCACGTCCAAGTCGCTCTCGCTGCTCTCTTTCAGCTCCTCCAGGAGCTCCAGCGCCCAGCTCCAGGTCTTCTTCGGAGCGAGGCCTTCCTTCAATTCTGCACAGAGTCTCAGACAAAATCTAAGGCTTCATAAGATTTCAGAAGCCTCTCCCTCTCTACATCACCGGGTGTCCCCCTGGAGCTAGAGTCAGCTTGGGTGTAAACCTACACAAGACTGGTGCAACTGTCCTGGAAAGACCAGGCATAGTGCTCCACCTGCAGCTTTCTCAAGAAGGCTGACAGCCACTCTGGATCCGGCCCCAGCAAGCCGTAGAAAGTCTCCTTGGTGGACATGGGCTAAGCAATGCTAAGCATCGGTCCGTTGCTCAGCTCTCCGCACTTGCGACTCGTGTATGCTGTCCGCAGCTGAGACTCCGCACTCCCGTTGAAGAACGTCAGCTGCACACGACCCGGTGCCGCTTCAATGGGCCTTGCCGCATCTTCGAGATGCAGCCCGTGCACCTGTCAAAAGAACGACGCTGTCACCTTGCATCCGCTATCCGTTGCCCATTTTGGGCAACAGTATCATTCGCGTGTCCCCCCCCCCGACTCAAGGGTCTGCAACACGTGTTATCTCTACGGCCTTAGGGCAAGGGCAGATGATAGACAGCGTCTCCTTCCCAGTGACAAACCGCAACAAACCGCCCACGAATACCACCTCTACAACAAGAGCAGCAACGTGAAGCAACACTGCGTTGCAATGAAAAAACTCGTGAGTTACAAAAGCATGAGCCCTTATCGGTGCCGTGTTCGTTTTGCCGAGTCTTGTAGGCAGATGTGCGCAGGAACAATGCAATGCTCGGGCTAGTGTTGTTGCAGCGCATCGGCTGTGATGTTGTTATGTACCCGTGCTCCCCGAACTACGGCCTGGCATTGTCGAGACGGGCATCCAGGGGCCTCAGCCCTCGGGAGCTCCAGATACATCGGACCCGACACTGGCCCGCACATTCACTTGCTGGGTCGAAACCCCACAAACGAGGTCAATGAAAGCAACGCCAGAACATCGTCCGCTGCTTTGCACCCAAACCCCGGCAACTCTGATTATGAGGGACCCTTTGCGCATTTTGGGTGATGACGGATGGCTACCTACAAGACGCTCATTCCCGCAAAGACGAGCCACAGCAATGCCCGAGGCTGCCAGCAACTGGTATCCAGGCCGAATCAGCTGAGAACCTGTGCTGCACCAGATTTCGTTTTTGCTCTTGCACAAGAGGCTAGAGGCTAGAGGCAAGAGAGGTCAACAAAATCAACCAAAGTTGAACAACACGAGCTAAGTGATACCTATGAATGCTGTGCCGTGGAAGCAAAGCATAGGATCCTCTGCATCCCTAATGCTCTGCACAGCTGTCCCTGTGTGCTGAGAGCTCTATCTTCCTATGGCAACCATTACCATGTACAAACTCTATCCGATGCTTTGTCCGCTTCTTGTTTGACCCCTAAGATCCCTAACATCCTCCGCACCCACGCGTATGCTGCCGCATTCTTTCCACGTGGCCTAGGGCTTTGGCGTTCACAGCTTCGGCTGCAGACAAGCTTCGGGCAGCGTTTGAACCTGGCTGGATGCTCTTCACGGCCACGCCACCACCCAATTCCTGTGGGTTCTCTTCGATTTGCATTCCCAGCCTCGGTCTTAGCGATTTGCCAGGCTTCTTCAGTCTTGACTGCCTACTCAGCAGTAAAAGTACTGCAGGGCACTTTACCACACACCACACCCCGACAAGTTCTGCTGGAACCAGGAAAGCTGCGGCTTGTCCAGCGTCACCGTCACGTAGTTTGCTTCATCCATTGAGTCGACTAGTACCTCGTGAAGCAACTGCCCATTCCACCAGAAACAGATAAAATCTATGCGTGGATTAATAGACAACTGAAATCGGTGTGCTCGGCTCAAAGAACGCTCCGAGCAGCCGAGTCCGCGTCAAGCAAGGGGAGCAGAAGATCCGTCCACGTCTCCGTGCTCTCGAAAGCTTCCTCCATTACACCAGGAAACAGGGCTGAGAGAGGCGTCTCAAATTTTAGAGCCTTCTTCTCCGACACCAGCTTTTCCTGCTTCGGCCGAATGTCGAAGTTGCGCTCTAGCCATTGGAGAGGCACGTCCAGCTGTTGCAGCGGTGTCTCGATCTCGATGACTTCATCTTCTGGGACCACAGCCTCCTTGTTAGGCCAATTCTCTTCGATTTCGCCAATGCTCTGATTGAGACGTTCCGAGAAGCCTTGTTGCAGCAAGTCAATGGGCGTCTCAAGCTCCAGATCCTCCACCAATGTCTCGTTGGAGTCTGGTGGAATCAGCCCGGCTTGCTGGAGTAGCCTCCTAACGTCGACGCTGCCCTTGCCCTTTGCGAAGCAGCAGGTGTGGCGTGTTCGGCTGCGGCTCCAGGATACGCCAAGCACCAACGCACAGCTCGAGGTCCAGCCTGTGGCCACTAAACTGGTTGCCAGTGCGGCAATTGCTGCAGTCCGGCACCGCCTTCCACACGCTGGCATAAGTTGTCTACATGTCTACAAAGTGCGGGCACATTCCGCCAGGCAAACCCTCTTGAACCCATCGCGACCAGGTGCTTCTCTCTAGACCAGACCGGGCAGACCCAGGCCAGCAACGTACTTGCACAAACGTTGCACAACGGGCCTGGGTGGCTTGGGTGGGCGGCCCAATAGCCCGCCCTCTGGAATCAGTGCAGGCACACCTGGGATCTCGAAGTCCACAAGAGAGAGAGAGAGAGAGAGAGAGAGAGAGCACACGACAGATTCAACCAAACTAAGTTAAGTGTTTCAGAAGCACATGCGTGCAAGCAGCATGCAGCTGGTGCTTCACCGCAAGTCGAGGGAGGGGTTCGGGGGTGTCCGCTGTTTGCATGATCATACAGCTCGATTAGTCTTGACGTTGGTTGTTCCACTTTGAAAGCTGGTCTGTGCCCGCCGTACGTGAACTGGGCCCGGTGCTTGAAGACACCTTTGGCTTCGGCGGTGATGGCGTAAGCACGTTCGAAATGTCTCGTGAAACCTGCCGCCGGTGGTCATCACGAAGCTGCTGTTGCTGGGGAAGGCTACATGCAGCTACTGCTACACCTCCGAATGAACGACTGAGCGACCTCCAGATTCACAGATCGAGGTTCCTCTGGCTTTGCTGCTTCCTGCAAATTTCGACGGGGGGGCACACAGACATTTCCGACAAGAGATGCAAAGAAGTGCAGGGGCATGAGCAAAAGAAAAGTATGGGAAGCGTTGGGAAGGAGGAAGACAACCACGCCGCATCGGCGAGCCAAGTAGCACATTCCGGCCAGAGCCAAGTAGACCAGCCTGCAGCTCGCTGAGCATCAGCGTTGCAGAATTGAGATCGTTGACCGCCTTAGTGTGCAACGTGCGAGCCAAATAAGCGCCACCCAGCTCTACCTGACTCTACCTGACTTCTGCACCTTGATCCGGTCACCTGGCTTGATTGCCAGGCTGGCGTGCTGCTCCTCCTCGCCACGGTCCGCCTGTTGGCCGACTGCAGGCACTGCAGGTAAGGCACGGTGCTTCGACTCCGCCTGCCGTTCTTCCGCAGTGTTCCACTGTGCCACTGGGGTCCTTTGATGCTTCAGGTGGCTAAGGATGCGTGATGATGTGTGTGGATTGTGTGTGGTGCACTCAGGTGCCGGAGCGTCCTTTGCCTTGGATTCTCGTCCACATCATTGACTACCAGCCTCTCGAGCAAGGAGTTCTGGACATTTCAGGAACTGCAGAAATCCACAGCACGCCTGGCTTTCGAATCATGGCGCTTAACCTGAAAGCCGAGGACGAGCTTTCGCAAGGAGGGCGGCAAGGGGCGCAAAGGAGCCTCCATGCCAATTCGGGAGATGGGGTCAGAGTGGATCGTTGCCTTGGCGGCTCAACCCCAACAATGAGGTGCATGTCTGAGCATGTCTGAGCATGTCTGAGCCTATCTGAGTTTTGGGGACTCTTGGAAGGCACTGGGTAATGGCAACAGGGGTTCTGGCTGGACTGGGCTTGTCGAGCTGCACCTTGACTTTGCCCAGAATCGCTGCAACTCGTCAGAGTGGCACATACGCTGCTGAATGCTGAAGCACTGCATCCAAGGCTTTGCAAGGCAAGCGTCCCGGAAGCGCGCAGATGTGCCCCGAAGGTCACCACGCAGCCGCATCAGCCCAGCCTTCGGATGAATATTCGGTGGAGGGGGGGGGTCAAACAAGGAGATTTGGCAGACAGTTTGCTTCGGTACCAACGCAATCTACGCTCTGGTCTGCTCGGCCGCTTGCCACTCGACAAATTCTCAGCCTGGCCTGCGATGGCAAGCTGCTGGCCCGCAGTTTGGCAGACATGGCGGAGTTTCGCTAAGGAGCACTTGTCTGGCTAAGGTCAAGCAAGCCATCGGCAGACTGCCATGTTGACAAGACTATGTCAGCACTTGCCTAACACACCATAGTTATGCAACTACTGGCCGGTTCCCCTCCCCAAGCGATGCGGTCAACCATGCGACTACTAACACAATATACTACAAACCATGTGGTGAACTGCCCACTAATCCTGAGCAGCGGAGCCAAGCTCACCAGCAACAGCAACAGTAGTTCGACCGAGTTTTTGGCAGCTCCTGAGACCACCAGAGATGATTCACTGATTCTGCACGTTTTCTGGCGGCACACCGGCGTTAAGGTCAAAACAGGTTCTACAGCTTGCAATCTCTGAGAAGCTGGTAGCGCCAATGCTGGCTTCAAGCCATTATAGTTGCAGCGGCCCTTGCTCAACTTCAACACGTCCCAGTGGGGGTCTCTAAACCAAACTGTTGGTTTTGTATGAAACGGATCAGTTGAGGTCGCTGCTCTGCGCCTTGACATGGGGTCTGTTGCACCTTCTGCTGCTCTAACCGATTTTCTGGAAGGCCTGCTCCTTTGAAGTTAAAACCTGCTCTTTAGTCTTCAATATGATCAATCAACTGACTTCCCTGCCATCTATGGTCCCACTCACTGAAGTTCTCACATTGGTCGCGGCATGCCCGGCATTCCCGGCATGCTCGGCATTCCACGGCCGGCTCCGGGCATCGCTCCCATGTTCGGCAAACCCATGCTGGGCATGCCAGGTATCGAAGGCATACCCGGGAGCCCGGGAAGGCCGCCAGGTCGGAGCCCCGCTGCCAGCAGGGGGTTCAGCATGGGTGGCCGCATGCCAGCGAGAAGTGCTGCTGCGTTCAGTGCTGGGGCAGCTGCAGCCTTTGCGGCTGGAGCAGGTTTGGCAGCCGGAGTGGCTGTAGGGGTCGCCTTCTTGCGCGGCTTGTCCGTTTCTACCAAGTCCTGCATGCGAGCACCCTCAAAGTGCTAGACAAGTAGTGGCGGTGGCTGTCCTCCTTGCCGAGTTCCTCTGGCTGAATGTACAGAATGCCGGTCCCGCGGACCACTATGAAGCCCAACATCCTGTCCAACGGGCTGCTCGTACGCAAGATTCATGAGCAAAAAAAGCGAGCACTTCAGGTTTTCTCTTGCGATCCTCTTCAGTTCCTTGCCCTCGGGCTTTCCCTTGACTTTGTACTTGCGGTACTCCTGCGGTCAGTTGTGCGAGCCATCATGAACCGTCTCAACATGACCCAGGTTGGAGAACAAGACTCCTCGGTGTTGCAAAGAACGATGTTCACATGCCTGATCAGCCAATCACTGCATTCACCACATCGGAAGTGCTGCAGTATGCTGGGCTGAACAAGCAGCGGCATGCCGGGCAAGCCTGTCTACCGCCATGAGGACGCCGACCAGCACCCGGCCATCCGTTAAGGTCACACTCACCTAAGGCCCACAAAACTGCTTTCGCGAGTGAGTGTTGTGGAAACTTCCTCTAAAGCCTGTGGGAGGCACACGCCAGTTGAAGAACTGCGCAAGTTTGCGCCTGCAGACCAGCTCTGTTGAGGGATCAGCAGTCTCGCAGCATTACAGGTAATGAGATCACTTTGCAGGCTCTGGCCTGACAGCTCGCACTTTTCCCATGTTTGTCCTGCAAACAACCAGGCAAGTTGGGGCGTGGCCAGTGAAAGGAGCCCTGTAGCTCCTCTGTCCTTTGGGTTTACTTGATGCCGCCTCCCTTGACCAGCTAGTGGACTGCTGGTGAGCCAAAGGATCTGGGCAAAGATGCGGTGTAAAGAGAGGTTCCCCACACGCCTTGTCTTTGCAAGGTGGCAATACCGTTAATTAGTAACGTCACCCGTGGAAGAGTCCATCTCAACAATCGATCATCGTGCAGCATGTGCCAAGGGCTCTCACACCTTTTCCAAGTCTGTCTGTTCAGCACCTCTGGTCTTCAGGCCATTCGCGGCAAAGCACATGTTATGCTCCGCTTCGCAGACCACACTTCGTGTGAGCACTACCAAAGTACAAAGTGACCTTAGGCCGGCTGCACATCCTTAAGACGGCTGGGATGGGTTAGGTTTTGAAATCACCTTCAGCATCAACACCGGCACGTGCCTTCTCACGACTCAGTCTGAGCCCTGCTTCTTCTTGGTCAAGTTGACCTCGGAAAGGGACTGCAGGGCCTCTGCCCGAAGGGCAGCTCTGCCCGAAGGGCAGAGTGGTGGCATGTCACTGGCACTACAAGAGGGGGATGCTGTGCAGCTTCTTGGTGCATACTTGGTGTATATGCTTCTTGCTCATGTCGCCCTGAGGAACGCACGGTCTCACCTCGCAAGGGCGACAAGGGCGAGGCCCGCTTGTGCTTCTTGCACACGTGTCTGGTTTTGGACGAGGCTGAGCTGCTGGCGCTTGAGCACGTGCAGTAGGGTCTGCGAAGATTCCAGGATCTTCATGTAAGCTGCCTGGCTCCGAATGGCTGGTCACATATCTACAGCGGCTGCTGACTCATCTTCCGGCAAATTCATGAGACACTTCGCTACTTCCCTCCTCCCCCCCTCAGTGCTCACATGCTCAAGCCTCGGTTTCCTGGATCGTCTTGTCATACTCATTGCGGGCCTGGGTCTTGCGAACAAGGCTTTCATTGACCTGCCACGAGACAACTTCTGAAACTTCAAACTCTCGCAGCACTCACGAAAAAACATATTTGGCCCCCAGCTGCCGGCCTTCTGCAGGCGATCCGTGAGCAGCGACAGCTCTTTCTGTACTTTTGCCTTGTCCTCCTCTTCCTGTGCAGACGATGCGGGCATCTTTGTGAGAGGCGGCCGATATACACCCAGGCGCTCGTGGCTGCGCAGATGTCAGTAACAGTGTACATGCTTGCAACGGCATGCAGGCGGGTGCTCGGTGGCACTTCTTGACAGGAAGCCTCTAGAACCTCTTTGGCAAGAACCTGTGATTTCTCAAGGGTCCCTCCTTCAGGATTTGGCGATTCAGTTCTTCACGCTTCTCGCGCAAATCTTCGATGGACTTCACCAACTCGTTGTTGTAGTTCCTGGCAAGGCTTGGTCTTCGAGCTCAACGATCTCAGATGCAGTTCAGCTGCAACTTGCACGAGTTGCGAGAGTGTGGCGCCCTGGGATGCCATAATCTGTCCTTGGCATTCTACGAATCAACCTGTACCATGAATTTGTACATATGTGCTGTGCACAGCTCCTTGATAAGGTGTGGACGCGTCCCACAAGGTTGCACAGCACCCGGAAGATCCCGAAAGCAAATCAGATGGTCTTCCGCCACAAAAGGCATCACCACATGTCGCATGTGCAGCATATGCAATGCATGCCAAGTGCTCCAATCATCAGCGTGTCAAAGCACCCAGAAGGCGCAGTGGCAAAGTTCAACTCAAAGCATGGCCCCGGCGCAGCTTTTCATAAGCTGAACCCGAATGATCGCTTTCATGCTGCAGCACGAGTGCAGGGTGATTGAAATGACACCTCTGGTCCTCGAGCAGACAGCAACCTACTCTCAGCGGCCAGTTTTGACAGCTCAGAGCATGGGATCAAAATGCAGCGAACCAACATGCATGCTGACTCAACAGATGCTCTTAACAGCCGTAGACCACATGTGCTTCGCATGTCCAGAGTTTGAGATCAACGAATTTGCTGCATTTCACGTCGCCTGCATCTATGCCCCTGGAGACGGGACAGGCCCCGGTTGGGCACGGCGAAGCTCACTGGCTAGAGCAGGAAAGCCACCAGCCTTAAGATCCTTGAGAACACTATATAGAACGCTCTACGGCGGGCACGCGAGTGCGAATCAGTAGCGGCCTCTCCGCCCGCGGGGGCTGCGTCGGCTATCTGAGCGGCTACGTCGCCGGCGTGAGGGGCTGCGTCTCGAGGGTGACCGCCTGCGGCTGTCCCTTCTGCGGCTGTCGCGTCTGTCTCTTCGCCGGCTGGGCGAGCGCTCCGAGCGCTTGGGTGTCCTGGACCGGCTTCGCGACCGGCGAGGCGGGCTGCGAGAGGGACGCCGCGGAGACGGCCTCCTCTGCCGCTCCTGACGGAGTTGATCAATGAGCGGCCTTCTGCCCTCACGTGGCGCGGAGGGCGAGTGATCCCGCTGGCCCGAAATGTCCAGAACGATGAGCGCATCCTTGCGAACATGTTCAGGATCGGTGGTGGTCGCGAGGCTCATGGGCCCTCCGGCTGTTTTGCCCTCCTTCAGCTCATCCACAATCCTCTCCGGGTGAATTATGCGATTCTTGGACAAGTCCAAGAAAAGCTTTGGCATGGTTTCTTTGGGACCGGTGTGCCGGTTGCGCTCCCAGTAGGCGCCCTCAATGATACGCCGGCAGAACTCTTGGCCGAAGCGATTGCCACTTAACGACACTTTCTCGGCGTACCTTGAGTTCTTCCCGGCTCCGAACTTCTTCACTAACCGCACGATCTCAAGCTCAACCAGGTCGTCTTTGTCGTGACCTTGGTATGAAAGGACATGTAAAGAGAAAAGAATGAGTGAGAGATAGGGAGTGTGAAAGTGAGAGCGAGGGAGAGCGAGAGAGAGCGAGAGAGAGCGAGAGAACACGTTGATACTCGATCTCTGAAGCCTGATGCCACCCTCCCTCCGTGTGCTCTTTGAGAGTGTTTGACAACATGGGGGGTCATGTGATCTGAGGAGAAGTTTGTGAGAGCCTCACTGTAGCCTTCCAGGTTGCAGTTGTCGAAGATCACTGTGCGGGCCTGCTGAAATCACGACGAACTTTAGGATGTGCGGTGCATGGCAAAACGTTCATGAGATGTACTTGAATCGCGCCTCAGTCGAGACCCGAACGAACTGTACTATCAGTTGCACTGTTTCGGCGCGACGTTTCAAGTCTCAGCAAGCCATGGATTTGCACTTTGCAGCCGCAAGAAAGGAACCCATTTGCTCTGGTCCGTCCTTTCCTCGCTGGGTGCGCGGCTTGCTTTCACCGCGGCAGAATGCTCCTGCATTGTGGATCACATTGTGAGGCACTGTAAATATGTAAGCGCCAGAGGAACGCTACAAAGCAGCCTAATGCCCATGCAATGCCGTCACATGCGGTCCGTTGGCGATGGCGGTGTGAGAAGCGAGTTGCCGCTGAGATTAATTTCATTGATCGGCAAAGTCGAGGTTCGGGTCGGCATCAGCCTCAGCAACGTGCGACTTGACCCATGAAGCTGCGTGTTGCTGCCTTATCAACACTCGACACACAGGCTCTCACGCTCTTTTGAATGCCAGGTTGCCCTTTGATCCCGCCGATTTTGCCCACGGCTTTGATCGTCTTCACCTGCGCACACATGTGGCCATGCATGCCTTTTGACCCTGAAGCAATCAAGGCGATGAAGCTGTGTGTCGGGCCAGCATCTCCTTCGGGGCTAGCACGCAGTCGTGACTCGGACTCTCGCACACGACTAGCCAGGCACGCCCTTGAGGCCTGGGGCCCAGCTCAAGCAGCAAATTATCACCACTTTGATTTGACATCTCTCGTCATCCCTCACTGGGCTCCTCTGGCATGTCCTCCCCCGTCAAGTCGAGCTTGCCAGTTTCCAGGCACTGCCCGTGGCGAAACGTGGAAAGCTCTGGACTCGAGCTTTAACATTGCATCTGGTAGCCACATGTTGCCACCGCACAAGACCGCAGCTGCAGGCCTTGTCGAGCATCCGGATGCACTTCAACGCCGTCTCTTTGGTTCCACACGTCTTCATGAGACCTGAATTGCCATGCATCGTCTCAATGCTGCGAGTCTCAGGGCGTTCTGCTTTGTGGCCGATCTAGTGGAGGGCTGTGCTGCAACGGTTTACTTGTTCACTGCTTACAAGGGCAACAACTGTTGAAGTTTAGACGCACACATTGCTCACAACCATTCAAGGTCGAGGTGAGCCATAAAACGATTGCCCCCTGGAGAGCTAGCCACATGAGCTCCCCTGCCATGTACTTGTACCAAGGTTGGTATTGTGGCATTGGCCTCCGCACCCACCAACTCGTGTCCGGCAGCGGACGGTGCGTCAGCCAGGGGCACATTTTGGGCCGGACCAGGGGCGCATTTTGGGCCGGCCGCAGGGGTCTCCTTCTCCCCCGGCTCCCTTTTCGATGTTTCGCCGTAGCTCCACGCTTCTGGCTACGACCCACTCCGCCAGAACACCCTATGCCGCCCTTGATGTTGTCAAGCAACAATTTCCCGCATCCCTGACCTGGCCCCTTTTCGTAACTAACCTTGCCAAGTAACACAGCCTATCCCTGTCTTCACGCAGCTGCATGCTGGAAGCCGCCCTAGCACCCTCGCCAAGGTGGCCTCGAGCTACTGTAGCGGTTAAAGTACTACTGGTGTATGCTATACTGCTATACCGAGGCTAGCGGCCCTATATAAATCCTTTTCCAGTTTTGATCTGTATATGCCACAGACTGGTGCCGTGAAACTGTGGGAAGATCCCTAATAGTTCTGGGTCGTCTACATTAGGCGGAAGCTGCCGCAAGCCAATTTGAAACTGCATTGACCACACGGGTCAGTATCAAGACCAAGCCCTCGCCACATGATGTCGTTTGCTACACAGCACCAGTCGGTGAAGCCGATCTTGAGGGGACTATCCCCCGTTCAACCAGCAGAAGGAAAAGGTGCAACGTTCCGAACGTGATGGCTCGTCGGCAAGTCTGAATCAACATCTGTCGACAGAGTTTGGCGACCCACCGCGGACTCAAAGGCAAGGCTCCCCCCCCCACATTCCCCCCCCCTCCCCCCCTCCCCCCCCCCTTTCCCCCCCCTGCCCCCCCCCTCCCCTCCCCCCCCTCTCCCCCCCCCCTCCCCCCCCCTCCCCCCCCTCCCCCCCCTCCCCCCCCCCTCCCCCCTCCCCCCCCCCCCCCCCCCCCCCCCCTCCCCCCCCCCCCCCCCTGCCCCCCCCGCGTCGAAACGGATGAGCGGCCAGGCAGGAAAACGCACGTATCGCAACTCTTGGCTGCAATGTTTCCTCGGCGTGCTTCTCTTGGCAATGGGCTTTCAGATGATGGTCCCGATAACAATGGGCGAAGGACTATATTGGGCATATTGTTTCAGTCATAGTCAGACACAGAGGATTCCGACTAAAAGCATAGAGGAAACAGAGGTTTCCCTATGAAAGTTCCTATAAAAGGAAATACAGGTTTTCTCTTTTTTAATATTTCAGGAAATACGGCTTTCATTCTCTCTTCCTGTCGTTCTGAGCCTCCATGTCCAATAAATTTGATTCGGAAAACTTCTATTTTCTAAACTTTGCCAAGAAAACCTCTGTTTCCCGTGCGTCCTACTTGCAAAGCCTCTATTCATATGCTCATAGGAAAACTTATCTTCCTTCACATTTAATAAGAGGAGAAAACCTCTATTTCCTCTCGGAAAACCTCCTTTTCTAATAGGAAAACCTCTATTTCCTTTGTATTTAATGGGACACCCTAGATAGCAGAACAAATTCCTCGTGAGGCGCCTGGAAAGACTTTCAACTCTTGCAGCGCGTCCTCTTGGCAGAGTCGGACAATTTGCGGTTCAGGCATTGGTTCAACAAACGCGCGCCCGGCCCCAGGAGGCTTGGAGAGGCATTCAGCTTTCCCAGCTGTTTAGAACACTTCAAAAAGGCAGAACCTTTCAGCCTTCTCAGCCCTTCCTGTAGCTAGAACAAATTCATCTTGAGAGGTCTCCCGTCATATGGGTGAACGAATGCTCCTTCATTGAGAGACCTGGAAAGGTTTGGGGCCCTGGACTGCATCGGTGTGCAGCCACGGTGCTGACGTCATTGAGAACCTCGTCATCAGGCACGTCCTGCACCTTGTGCCAGCATATGCAAGCTTTTGAGAGCGACATTTGCAAGTCATGTCGCTTTCAACGAGCCCTTCGCCGCGGAGAGCATGGTTAAGCACAATGCTCTACAATGCTCTACAATACTCTACAATGCTCTACAATGAAGGATCGAATGGCTGCATGCAGTATTGACTAGTTACCGTAGTGGTCATTCACATCAGACAGTGGCCTTCGGCCGGCCGCCCGGCGCAGGGTCCCCATTGGTCACGAGGCCATCCACAGGCATCGAGTCCTCGGCCCGATTCTGCAGGAAGCCCTGGGCAAATCTGCGCAGTGGCAGCTCAACATCTTGACATTCATGGAAGCCGTTCTCGAAGCACACCCAATTTCGTCTGTACATAAGTGACACGTACGACAGACCTGAAAAGTGCACATGTGCGAGGTAAAGTAGCTCTCACTGTCGTTTCGCACAAGTGTTCTACAAGACATGCTGACATGAAATACATACATACCGAACGCATGCATTCGAACAACATGGCATGCTATGATGCGCCGGAGAATACGCAGGCGACCATTTCTAGTGGTGCGTGTAGAAGCACATACAATCACATACAGTACACACTTCCGGTGGACTATAAAAAACATGCAAGATGCCGTGAGCGTGGCGAGGTGGACACTCTGAGGCGAGGGCGGGGCTTACATTGGCAAGCACCAAACGCACGCTTCTAGTGCGGATCTCTGGAGCCAGAACCAATCGTCAGCAAGGCAGCATCGTCAGCATGACTAGAATCTTTGACGCCTACATGTCCGATTTCATCCTGGAGAGACTTCTGCCAAGGGAGACCAAAAGCAATGATGCGCGGTTGGATGCTTTCCGACGGGTCTGGCGGGTTCGATGGAATCTCGGCCGGTCGGCAACCATCGAAGGTGAGGTGGCTTATTGCGACACCTTCGAGATGGTCTTGATGAGAATGATGCCTCGGTTAGAACAGTTTAGGCAGTCGCGACCATGCAGGAACCCTGTGCATTCCTGCTGCGCACTGCCCTTCTGCGAAGGAGGTGCCATGCAGCGCGGCGTTTTGCCCAAACTTTGCTTTCAATGTGTACCTGCAGGCGCTTTTTATGCAGCACAGACACTTGCTGTCAGGCGTTTTGCAGTCCTCCCAGGGAGCTTCTCATAGTCCCACAGCGCTTCTAAGCAGCCGGGATTGTTTCCTCAATTGGCACTTGCGAACCCGCCGGGTCTGCTTTTCAACATTTTACTTGAGCCACATCGAATTGCTATGGCAGTCTGGCGCCGGTGCTACTGGCAAGAGTTGGCAACATGCTGCTGTGCGGGCACGTTGCCTCCGGCTGTCCAGTAAGCTTTGCAACCTTCCGTGACCAGCAGGTGCGTGCCCCAGGCATGCGGCTTGATAACCTCATCGACGCAAGCTGCCATTCAGTCACTCAGTGCGAACCATTCCAGCCTCGCCTCTCGTATCACAGCTTCCGTTGCTGGCGCCACTTCCCAACCAGAAGGAAGGTTCTTGGCCCGGATCACCGAGATGTCAGTCTTGGTCTGGTACGTGTATCGTGCCTTGGCAGCTACGCCGTGCAACAGAGGAAGTTGGCCACACCAAGGTGGCAAGGTGGCTCTGAACACTTCACACAGACATCGGCCGAGGGTCATCCGGCTCAGTCGTCCAGGGTGGCTGAGCTTGCGGACTGGTGAAGTCGATGGTGGCGTACAAATAGCCATCCTTAGAATTTAGAACTTCAGGCAACTCGATGTTCCTCGGCCGTCAGAAAGATTGTGTGCTAGAGGCTGCGGCCAAAGGAATGGAGTTCTGTCTTTGCTCCTCCGTAATCGTAGCCTCCTTCTTTGGGTCTGCTCGCTTGGCAGGAGGAGGAATCCGATACCTGTCGCTGCAGGGGAGCAATTGATGTTAATGATGCCAATGCCCTCTTATTTTGCTTTCTTGCTCTAGCAAGGCGCAACATGCTTTACACGAAAGCTCTCGTGAATCTTGCATTTTCAACCACTTCGAACATGAAAGCGTGAGACGAGCCAGCTAAGAGCAACTTATCTTGATGCACGCTTTACAAATCAGAGGTCGATGTGCAGCAATCTGTCGTGGGTGCATCACCGTGCTAGTACGATGCCAAGCTGCGCGGGCTGCGGATTTCCTCTCCCACGGCTGCGGCTTCGGGCCGAACCACGCATGCCGTTGCTGCGGCTACGACTATCCTGGCGCAATAGAATGGCACGCCTCGTCATGCAACATGTGCCATGTGCTGCGCATCTGTGGCATCTTGGTTGTCTTGTGTCCAGCCTTTCGGGTCTCCCTGGCACGGCTTCTGCTGTCCATCCTCTGCGTCCCGAGTATAAGACATGTGATACCTCCACACGGAGCGGTTCTTCTATCTGAAGAAGCACGGTCCGGGGTCTGCTGGTGCTGCGATACCGCTGGCTCCTGACCATGGGGAGAGCAGCTGCATTTCGCGCGGGAAGGTAGGACACATACACACAGACAAGGACAAGAGGCAGGACATGGACATGCTCAGGTCCATTCCCGGTCCTTTGAGGCTTGCTGCGGGTTCTGCTACGGCTGTCCATTCTTCTGGACGCATACCTCGGTCGATTTGTACGCAGGTTCGCCTTATCCTGACGCTTTATACGCTCCATGCGAGAAGCATGAGACGCCCTTTCGGTCGTCAGCTTCGCGCCTCTCGCTGCTGTCGGCTCTTCGCCCGCCCCTTCGCATCCCCACAACAAGTCTAGTGGAGTCGCGTAGAGCATGCGTGGTGTAGCTTGTAGTCAGGAATTTGTGAGAGTTGGCTGGTGCGGCTTGCAGAGATACTTGCCGAGTACTGCGTGCTACGAGCAACTGCAAGCTAGATGCAGCTAGATCTAAGATCTGCCATGAAGAGTGAACGAAGGATAGGCCAATGATGGGCATGCTCGCATCTTGCATCATCTCCAGAGCCCATCTGACCACGAACTGATCGATTCGTTTCGATGAGCAGGTGCAGGATTCTGCCAGATACTGCCAAGGGCTCACTCGATTTTGCTCGTGCTTTCTAAAGCGCTGGTCCCAGACTGCTTTCAGTCTGCAATTGACTCGTTTACAGTTTACAAGCACCTGGCATCTCCGGTTTCAAGGCCAGATGGATTGTATAAACCGCCTTCCGCATGTTAAAGACACGGACAGGATAGCTCCCGGGCTCGCGGGCTCGTCTAGCGCGCGAAAGCACCACAAGCTGTTTTAAACAGCCTGGCCTGCCTTGGGCAGCTGGGTGTGCTATACCCGGGAGAAGCAAATCACCAGTCAGCGTAAAAGACTCGACATGACCCAACACATCCCAACACAGCAAGCAGTAAGCAGCTCTATTTTCAACACATTGCAATGAAGGTGCTTGGGACAGCGTGAATAACCATACAGGCCCACGACAAGGAACGACCTGCATTTTGCACTACCGGCTGGACATTGCGAGCCGCATGCTGGGCGGTTTGATGCGCCCAAGGTTGACGAACACGCAACCTTAGCAGCTCTTGATCAGCCAGAAGGTCTACAACCATGCACAGGCGAGTGTACAACCTAACAAGGTTCGCATGGCAGGTCCAAGGGAATCCAACTTGCTGTGGGGAGGGGTAGCTTTGATGCTTTGCTGCCGCTAGCTTTAAGCCTCTGAGCCCTCCAGGCCTGCTCCCTGAGCTTCAGGTGCCCCCCCCCGGAACGTCTCAGTGCATTCAGACACTTTCCAGAAGTTTCTGACAAGATTGTGTCAGAGGCGAAGGAAAGACTAAAAGACCTCCAAACGCCCGAAGTTCAGGCCTGCGCCCCCCATCTGAACTTTCGAAGGATTTGAATCTTCATTGGTGGGGAACTCATTGTGCTCATCGAGCCCACCGGGGAGGGGAGCTGCTTTTTCGAGCCAAGGGACTGGGCCCCTTGCTGGCAGCACATGCTTTTTCGAATGGGTTGCGCTGCTTCCATGGCTCTTTCTTGATGGCATCCGCAGCATTGCCGTCCATGAAAGAGAACACCTTTCAGGCAAATACGCACCACAAGCACAAGCAGCTCAACATGCAGCAACCAACATCAGTACTGTGCCGTTGGCAACGCAAACAGGTCGGGTGTTGAACATCCAGGAGCACGTGATTTTCGTGCGTAGTTTCATGCCTGGTCTTGCACCAAGATTGTCAAACGCTTTGCCCATGTTTGTGCCCTTGTCGTTGCGCTTGCCCCCTGGCTTTGGAGAAGGGTTCAGATCAGTGCATAGCTTTTGAGAGGCAGCATGCCCAGCTGGCGCGTGGTTAAAGGCTCTCGTTCGACGCTTGGGTTGGTCATAGCTGCGTGAGGCCCCCTCCTTTGGAAGCTGGCGCGCTCTTTCCAGCTTTGTAGGCTTACATGGGAGACCGATATTGAGTCCCCCCCCCACCCATGCATGTGCAGCCCTCAGGCTTGCATGGCTTGAATCATCTTGGTCCCTTAAACTCCTTAAACTATTTGCAATGCAACTGCAGAGCGTCAAGTAGTGGAGCTCTTCGCATGCCTGTCCTCACTTGCAGCGCTCTGGCTTCTGCGATGGCTTCAGCCCAGAAAGTCTTTGTGTAAAGTTGGTCCTACTTGCACGAAAGCTTGCGCGCAGCCGTGGCGTAAGAGCACATGCGTGGATCGTGTTGCGCCTGTCTGCCGTCTCGTCATTTAGCCAGTACATTCTTTGTCGACTCCCCATCTCGCCCAATCTCTTCTTATCTCTTCTTAGCATTTTCTCCAACTTTGCTTCTCAATTGAGGCCGCAGATGCGCTGAGTTTCGTCATCTCGTTCGTGTTGCTCCATCGTTTAAGAGGTCTAAGGCAGGGCATCTGGCCAGTTCCCGACAGACTGACACGGAGCCTGACATGAAGCTTGACAGCACGCTTTGTTTGTGTAGCAGGCACACTGTGCAGTGAGGCCGCCTTTCTGCTTGAGAGTTCCGCATGCTGCTCCTTTATAAAATGCAGCAACTCCTCGGCATCCACTCCGTCTCCATCCCGGTCGATGCCTCAGGTGCAGGCTTGCCAGCAGGACTAATTTTGTGCATTTTTTATGCACATCAACTGAACATCCCACGGAAGTTGATGCACTCTGTGCTTCCAAATCTGAACCCTTCTAGGAAAGATGCTTTTGTAGAACTGCTTCAGCTCCATGTCTCCCACGTCGTAAGCGGTCAAGTACCTGCACAAGTCGTAAGCACTATAGAACTTCTTGAATCTTGAGATGTGTTGCGGTGGGCATAAGCTGTTATTTAAAGAGGGAGATGTACATTACATAGACGCAGACAGAGTTTTTTTTTCTCAGGCGAAGATGTCTTGATACTGTGCACAGTCCAACAATCTACTGCTTCCATTGCGGGAACCCAGGCAGTGTCTTTGACACTGCCTTGGCTTTTGCCTTTGCTCTTGCCTTTGCCGATGCTCTGCTGTTGTATGCTGTCTACTCCCGCGTCGAAGACCTTAGCGCGTGGTGTGTGGCGCCTGAGCCAACAAACAAAAGGAGGCTGGCATAGAGCTAGCAAACAGCTGGGTGACAAGTGCCAGCATGATAAGGCGCACAGGGTGTGGCGGGCAAAGTAGAGGAACTCGAGCCTTACAAGTAGCGAAATGCATCTAAGCGGTAAGATGAAGGTTATGGCGGGAAGAGTAAAGGAACTCGAGCCTCATAAGTAGCGAAATGCAACTCAAGAAGGGCCCACAGAAATGGGATGTTCCTGAACATCTCCAGAAGCGAAATACAAGCATGATGCCCGCACCTGCCTCTGTAGGCCCTTTACCCTGAATACTGGTGTCATAAGAGCTTTGGCGAGAGAAAGTCTCAAAACTTGGCCAGCTGGCAAGGAGATTTTGCCATCACCGCCTGCGTCGATGTTTGCAAACCTCGGCCCATTGTGAACCCAAGCGCAACTCGCTCCAAGCGCCGCGATCTACTCCATCTGCTCAATCGACATCAAGCTCCGCACAGTTCGTTTATGGCAGAATGCGACGCCGTGTACTTCCTTGCATCAGAAGTGATGATTTTTTGAGAAGCCGTGGGGAGAACAAAAGGCACGCGGCATCGAATGCCACCGAAGCTCCGAAAAGCCAGGTTGAGGTTGCGCCGAACCCGCGCAGTCTTCTTCTCCATGAGTTTCGACTCATCGTCAGGCCGCCTGGAGCCATGAGACACGTACTCGAGAAGCTCTGGCCTGGCAAGTCTCCAGCACAAAGCAAAGAAAATATGGTGGTGTGCAGGGCTGCATTGCCGATCAGATCAAGCTATGTGGCATTAGCTATGTGGCATTGAGCACTGCATGAGTCTGATTGCTTGCTGCAGCCAATCGGCATTTCCACGGAGCCACTCTTGTCGTGGTCAATGGCATCGAAAAGAACTTGCAAGTCATAGTCCGGAAGTGTTTCTGGCGTGATTCGAAGCGCCGTGCGCACCGCCTTAGACATCGCAAACCAGTCGAGCTCCAGTTGATGCGTGGTGCCGGACAAGCCCTTCTGCCTGCTTCAGCTCCTTGGCATCCAGCGCACCAGACCTTGGAGAAGCAACTCGGTGGCATGATGCCGCATTCATGTTTCGCGACGGAGATCACTTTTCATATCTGCTGGCAAGGTGCTTGTCCGAATCGGCTGCTGCAAATACCTTGTCCCAAGTCATCTCGCGATGGGCCTGCCATTGGGCACTGCCACTCTCAGGCTGCAGAGGCTCGCCGATGTGTACAATAATCTCATGAAGGCCTTAGCCGAAATGATCACGCGCCGAGCTCGAGCAAGGACCTCATCGTTGCTGTGCTTGCGCCCCACGATGGGCGACCTGTTGTGGTTCTGCACGCCCGACCTCGCAACAAAACAGCCGTGTGCCAGAACAGAGCATTGCAACCAAAGGGAGTGCAACAAAAGCCGTGTGGATCCATGTGGCTACCTCTCATGCCGACAATCATGTCAATGTGTGTGTGTGTGTGTCACTGAAACCTCCTTGCAGTTTCTCGTGTGCTCTGTCGTGCACTGTACCCCGGCCCAGGTGCCGAGGACCCTGAGGACCGTCTTCCCCAAGAGCACGGCAGTGTTTGAAGGGTGAAATGAAGGGTTCCCGCACCTGGACAGCGAAGGCTCACCGAGTGATCTGACGCAAAAGTGTGTGGGTCTTCTCGGGCGTCTGAAGACAAGCGACCCACCTTCAAGAAACCTAAAGTCGTTGGAAGTACGCGGATCGCGAAAGGCTTCAAGGACTACCCGCAGCTGATCGGGACCAACTACGGTGACTGATTTATTTTGTGTGGTGCGCCTTAAAAACACTTGCTTTGCTGGAGTCGGTCAGTGATAGCAGCCATGGGAAAGCCAACAGTTGCTTATTCTACCTAGCGCGAAGCTAACGTTTTCCTAGTGCCACAATGGGGTATCAGTGCAAGCCAGTGATAGCCAGTGCCCTGGCACCTCATCTCGAGAGATGCAACGCCGCTCTTCCCAGTTGGCTGTGTCGGTACCAAAAGTATGGAGGACTTTGGAGAACTCCCGTGGTTCTCTTTGAATGGAGCTGCACCCGGCTGTGATGGAGCAAAGCACCTGCGATAAGTCTCTTCGCTTGCTCAGCGAGAGCTTGGAGCGCCTGGGCGCCATTCTCTCATGAGGTGAGCTTGCGACATCTAGCTGTCGACCTGCTCATTCTCATTTCCTGGAGAGCCGAAATGCCGCCGGGACAGCAAGGGTCTGAACGCTTTAGCATCCTGGCTGGGATGCTCAGAGGAAGCTCGTGGCAACACTCTTGTACACAGTCGCAGCTCCTCCTTTTTTCCGACTCTAGCCACTGATGACACTGCTTTCCCTCGAGCTAGTCGATGCGACTCGCAAACTGGCTTCAATTTGCGCAGGGCAAGCAATGCAAGCCTCATGCCTTGAGACTATCCAACCAGCGCAGTCCGCGCCGATAAATGGCCAGCACGTCCTCCATTGCAAGCGTCGCATACCTGACTTGCAGAGCTGGCCAAGATGTGTGTCATCAGTAAGGCCAGTGGACTCAGTGGACTAGTTGTAAGGCTTTGCAAGGCCTGAGACAGAAGGCTCGCCCAAGACAAATGAATCTCAACCAGGCCCACCACGCCACGCCACACATCTCGCTCATCGTGCTTTCCCTACGCACATGTTCGGACTGCTGGCGCCGTCGGCACTGCGCAACACCAAAAGAGGGCGGGCAGGAGGCTTCAAAGCAATCCCTGCGACAGCTAAACCACAAACTAAGTAACGCTTTCGGAATGTGGTGAGCTCGCGCAAAATGGTGACGGACCGGCCAAGTCGATTAGCAATCAAAGAAGCGGAAGAGCGAATCAGCACAAGATCATGAAAACATGCTACAGGTCATCAACATGCGCCTAGGTGCTGCCCTGGGCGGAGTGCCTCGGAGGCTCCCTTCTCTGCTCGAGATGCTCGAGGTACACACATGGGCCCCACCACGTCCTCTGCCGCTGCCTCCTCCAAGCCATCTGGGCGTACAGGGATGCCACGGATGTCCCCGATCCTCATTGGGTCCGAGTCTGCTATGCCTGCAGAACCTACCCTACAAGAACTCTCTCGAGAACCCGGCCGTGTGCGGATAAGCTGTTTGCAGCTGTAACCTCCCGGAATTGGCTGAACAGGATAGCAACAGACAATTAGCAACAGAGCCACCCGATGGCATTGAACATAACGTGAAGGTGCAGTGAACATGCAGATTGAACATGCAACTTGAGCTCAGGCCATGGCCCAAGGCAGCCATCATCCGCCGCACAAGGTGATAGCGGCCAGAGTCCACCACCAATCTCAACCTCGCAAGGCCCAAGGCCTCATCGCACTGCAACACTTCCGCCTCCAGAGCAGAAGCCAAACCTTTCCCATCCTCCAAATCCACGCCGTCACGCAACTGCCTCAAGGTCGCCTCCGTCGGTGCCTCAAAATCCTTAAGGGACCCAGGGGCTCCCATGGCCCCGACTAACGCCACGTACTCCTTCTCTACGTGCGTTTCGGGCATCGACGCGGACCTTGTAAAAAACCCATCGGAAGTGACCAGCAGAAGCCCCTCACTTCGAGAATCCAATCTACCGATGCAGTGACTGTCTTCGGCACCGAATGGGTACAGATCCGAAACAATCTGTGCTTCTGGTAACTCCCGTTTGTGCGAGCACACGACCCCACGTTGCTTGTATAACTTGATGTACACCTCCTTGCGCGGAGGCGCCTCCAGCTCTTGAAGTGTGCCTCGCTTCGACTTGAGAACGGTCACAACTCGAGCATTCTCAACCAACTCCATCTCATCTTGAGCCCGGCAACCGTCGATGGCCACTCTGCCTAAGGCCACCTGACGACGTGCAGCCCGAACGCTGCAGCTGCACGCCAGGGCCACACAGCGCAGTAGTGGCACCGAGGAGGCAAAGGGCAGTTCTGATCTCAGAGCGGTGCAGGCGGTAGCGCCCCCAGCCTGAAACGCAACATATATCGGACGTATCGGTTGCCACCTGTTCCATCTTCCCGCCGCAGATGGCCAGCACAGACGACTCGCAGATGGCGTCATGCATTCTCTCAGCATGGGCACCACAGCAACAGCCCCGATGCCACCATGTGGGTGCATGCTGCTTGGCCAGCCATGGCAAGATCGGATCTTAGTGCTGAGCGACGTGATGTCCAGTTGACCGGTCAAGCTGTGGACTTAGGACGTGAAGCTATCAATGCCATCCATCACGTTATTATTAGTCCGCAACAGAAGAGAGAATCCTCAGCCGATGCTATGACTCCCAGCAGGCAACGTTGACTTTGCGGCACGTCTGCACTGTTCCATATTCACCAAAAGCCCCAAAAAAAAAACATAAAAGCCCCATACAGTGCCTTGAATGCGTGCTAAGCCTGGATAACGGCCGCAGGAAGTAAGACAACTTGTTTGACCATGGCTTGGCGCTGAGTGCACGGTCCCTTTCAGCGAGCACCGTAAAGCCGTAAAGAATACTGTACAATACTTTGCACTTACAAGACCAAGGCTTATGCTTCGTATGCCACAAACTAATGATGAGCACCAGGATGATGCCATGGCTGGGTTGGGTATGTTCGATTCAAGGGGCTTCTGAAGTACCTCGGTGGTGAGCCGGGGCTTAAATGTTTCGAATCGACAGCTGCTGAGCTTGAATGCACATGCTTCTCGACTGGCTTTTGAAACCCTAGCAGAACCTGACGGGAATTCAATAAGACTATAGGACAACAGCTCCTAGTGATTTTCGCGCTGCAGGGCAGCTCGGGACTTAAAGCCGCGGAGCTGGCATTTAATGAACGCCACTGATTCAAGAGGCCATGTCCGTTATTTGACGCTGACACTCGCACGAAGCAGGCAGTCAGGCACCTGTCTGATGGTCTTCGCTGTCTGTTTGATCTTTATTCAGGATCTACGACTCTGCGGTCCCCGGATGTCCTGGGCAAATACCGCTTCGGATGACTTTTCGTCCTGAGGGCGCTTGTCGGGCTTGCTTTGAGCTAGCAGCCCTCTCTACCACACCAGGCCGCACTTGCCACGGCAAGTCTGCAGCGAGATGCGCGAGCCATTGGGCCATGGAGACTATGGCAGTGGGAAGAAGGACTCATCATCATACTTCTCCGGCCTCGGCAACAGGTCCGAGCTCTCAAATGTTCCGTTCCTCACACTCTGCAGCGAAGCAGCGCGTGCAGAGTCCGCTCTCTCTGCGTTGCTGGCCATGGTGGCTCTGCCTTGTCACATGGTGCTCCAAACTACTTGGATGCAGCTAGCTAGTTCCGCAGCCGAGCATGAGCCTGGCTCGTGGAGAGGAAGACTCGCTTCGTACTCATGTCCACATCGATTATCTTCACCGCCACGTGCTCGCCCACCTAACACGACTGCGCACGCGTGCATCAAATTGTTCGGCGCTCTGCTTGGGTGCTTCACAAGCTGCCTGCGGGTCTGCAGGATTACTGGAGCTCTGCAGGTCCTCACAGAACCCTCGGATCCGGGAGTCCTTCACACACAGTGCGCCTCGAAACTTCCGTCGGAATATGGCCAGAGTCTGCCAAACGAACAGGTCCTCGCCAAATCTGCCCACGGCCATGCCGCTGACAATCAAGCCTGGGCAGGTTGACATACTGCATTGCTGACTGGCAATGGCTGCTCTCAAAAGGAGACGAGACGCTGATGAAGCTGCCGTATGGCCTGGTCGAAGCTGCAGCTTTGAAAATCTCGCGAGTTGCTGGGACATGGCCTGCCTGAGTTCCTGAATGACGCCGCGAACTGTTGCGCCGATTGGGAGGAAGTCCACCAGCGCCTGACGGTGCCGGTTCAAGCACCCTGAAGACAATGTGGCATGTTCCGACAACGCACCTCCTCCCAGGTTAATGCCCGGGGCTCTCCCTCCCTTTCATCCTGAGGAAGGACGAAAAAGTCCTGGCTGCAAGCTTGATTCGATCACACGGGCACGGAACTTGAAGGCTGACATGGGTCCTGGGGTGTGTCTCTGCCAGCGTCCTGCAACGAATCATTTCGATGCGAACAGGGTTCTTTCATGCCGAATATGCCGTAGAACATCGTAGAACTGAGTGGCGACCGCTCGTCCTCGGGTCGTCTCCAGGGTCTTGAAAAGCCCGTCTGCACAAACTCGCGTTCTCGCTGCGGCGGCGGCGAGTACTGCCTGATGCACAAAGATGCACCGAGATGCACTTTGCAAGTCCGGGCAAACTCCCGTAATTCCATGTAATTCTTGTAGCCGAGCACGTACGCAAGGTAGCCAAAATAGACCCTGAGGACCCAGGCTGGAAGTTGGGCACGGCGGGCACCACCGGTTCTGGGGGAGGTGGCGGCCAGGAGTCCTCCTGCAACTACAACCCTGGCACTTGCAGCAGCAATGGGAAGTGCTGACTGCATAGGTGGATTCAGAATATCAGGAGCATATGGGCTTGTGTTTGAGCAAATGTCTGTGATTCAAACCTCCATGAGAAGCACGACTCTCATGATGCTGCCAAAGCAACACGCCTCGGACTGCTCTTCCTCCGCGTCGTCTTCCTCCGTCTCGGCCAGGAAGGGCATAGCCGGCACAGCCGGCATGTCCGACGAAGTTGGCAGGGGCGGCAAAGGCGGCAAAGGAGGCATACTCCTTGATCCATGGGCGTACGGGCGTGCAGGCGCACATCCAACAAAAGGCGCTCAGAGGCACAGGCTCTGCCCGCAATTGCGTTGCGAATCTCTTGCAGGGAGGGGTGGCCCGACCTATCTCCGAGCGGATAAAGGCCATCAAGACTTCAAGAACATCAGTATTTGGGAAGCCCAAAACTTCCAAGTGAGCGACCAGCAAGGGTAAAGGCTGCATGGGTCGCAGCCGCTAGCGTCAACGCGACAATTTCTGCCTTGGCACGGGCAACTGGGCCGTGAACAGCCTTTCAACAGCCTTCTGCGCTGCGCGCCGTGTGATGCCGTCTTCTGCGTGCCATCCTGCCAAGGCAAAGCCAAGCACTGAATGGCTCAGAGGCTTTGCAGAAGCTATGCCGAGACCAGAGTGACTCCGGAACCAGCCTGCAAGCATATCTCGGATGACCTGGTGGGGCTGGTGTTCAGCAGTCGGTAACCAGAAACTTGTTTGGGGCGCCTGGGCGGCTTCGGACGGCGCTCTCGCAGTCCATGTCAACCATCGAGTGTTTCATATTTTAGATCCGCACTTAGTTGCTTCCTCCCGAGATGCCGCATTCACCACTTTCTATCAGGATTCGAATATCGACAAACTATTGACAAGGATGACCCACGGGCCAACATGGTTATGTAGTCCGTCTCCCTGAGATGCATGCCCCACCATCGAGCCAGCGTGGCATACTGCGCCATACTGCGCGAAAGCTCGGGCGGCTGACAAGCAGGATCTCTGGCAAATCTCAAGTGCTGGCTGTTCAACCTTTTTCCATGTACTTTGCTGGCAATGCGCCAGTGGCATCGAGAGCGCTTGTGCAATGCCCGAATTCATTGGCCAGCGCGGGCAGGATTAAATGGGCTCCGCCTTTGTGGCTTCACCTGGTTGCCTCTGCACGGAGAGTGGTTGGCTCTTGGAACACATACGAAGGATCTCGGCGACCGTGGTGCAGCTCCTTGGCTGGCAGTCGGTCGCGAAACTATTCAAGAATCGACGACAAAATTGCAACTCATCTTTCCTGCATCGTGGTCAGTGCAAACATCGCGCCTCGTTGTGGCGCTGTATGTTTTCAAGGTGGCAATCAATCCTCGGTGATCGTGCGTGTTGCGATTATGTCTCAACATTCTGCAAAAGGGTCGTCGGGTGCCTGGCCGACTGTGCAAGTCACGAAAGCTGCAGCTCCTCGCAGTGTCTTTTGCAAGTTGGTTGCAGTTTGATGGACTCTGGATACGCCCGTCCTGCCCGGACTCCTTGCAGCAGCCTCAGCGCAGCAACATGGCGGTTGGCCCCACGTGAGACAAAGAAAGTACAATTCAGCACCTTCGTGTGCAAATATATGCAGTCCGGTTTCTGCCGTATCCCTCATCTGGACGTACGGCTGCCTAAATCTCATGCCTGGAGATAGTCGCAGTGCAGATGCGCGTTTTACTCAGATGCTTCAGCAGGCTTGCCCCTGTCCTTGCTCGACGCCGATGACATCTGGGGTCGCCTTGCTTTCGTGTTAAGGCGTTGAGCTAGTTCTCAACGGCTCATGATGAAGCACAACTCCAAATGGCGCTGGCATTTCCACGGTAAAATAACACCGAAGTGAGGAGACTGGAACAAAACCAATGTCATGGTGAGTTAACATGACCTGGGAGGAAGGTGTACTGCTTTCCACACTAATTTGAGTGGCTAGTAAGCTAGTATTGGCTCGTCACTTGTGGCACTAAGTGCTGAAGCTGCAAATGCCGACTGAACCAAAGAATGAGAACACGGGCATTGCAGGTTTGCATTGAAACGCAACGTGTAAAGCTGCAGCAACTTAAACAGCAAGCCAACTGGCCTTCAGAAGCACGATGGAAGTCCAAGTGGTAAACATTGCAAGGTCTCTATAGTTTTGCCAACAGGCCCTCTTTAAATTATGATTCAGACTAGAAGGATTTTTGCAAGAACCTTGACAGGAACAATGCTGAGGACTTGAAGAATGAACTTGCAGCTGCAGCTTGTCACCAAAAGATTGAACACGCCACTCAAAGGGACGTAGTCACAGTAAGCTGATCGAGCGAACTATGTTCACGAAGTGAGGCTGCCGTCGAAGTTTCAAGTCACCTGACTTTGTGGTTCACCAGCCGGAATCCCCATGATCGGTCTCGAGTGCCCGCGCTTCTTTGGCACAGTGTAACACATCTCATACTCCAAGACCAAGGTGTCGATTCTAGAGGGGCTTCCGTTTTAAATGCTAACCTCAAAACTACATGCGCATGATCTTACAGGCAGGCATCCAGCTTTGAAGAACGCACATGCAATATACACCCGCAATGAAGTAAGCCATGTCTAGCCACTAGCATTTTTAAGTGTGTGTCCTCCAGCTGCTGTGACAAGCGGGCATCTTCATCTGCTGCCTTCCGCGTGGCTTCGGTACTGCTGAAAGAAAGTGGAGCACACTCACAGCTTGAGCCTTGAGCACAGAGTCCTGCATCATCATGACCTCGTGAAGGATCCGCGTCAGCTAACAGCTTTAATGGCTGCCAAGGCTCTGCTGCGACGAGGCCTCCTCTTTAACACGTGCGTTCGGGTTGCCCTCCTGTTTCACAAAAAGTCGGTGCCATGGGTCGCAAGGTGTCTGCTTCCCCTTGCCTAGCCTCGAAGACCAGCTCCTCTCGGATGCGAGAGAGGCTGCAGTCGTTCTCATCGAGAAGGTGCCTCATCATGATTCGGTGCTTGCGAAACCAAGAGTCGCCCTACGTACTCCTGCCTGAGGCTTTGCAGCTCCTTCTCCAAAGCTTGGATGTGGCGCTGTTGGGCCGCAACTGCCTTTGCGAAGCCCGAGGTGTGCGAGAGATGACAAGTCAAGCGAGAGCCTTCTCCCCCTTTCTTGCAGTACCGGCCTCGCTCGTATTCTTCAGGTCAGATCGTCGTGCCCCCTTGCGGCAACCGGTTCACCATGTGCAACCAGCTCGCGATGGTAAACCCCCCCCCCCTGCCTGCATTTCGTCAGTTTGGGGGACCTCTAACCCTTATGAGGGGTCAGCCAAGGAACCCATTCCAACCCCATGGATTTGGGCTCTATGTTATCCCGCAGACCCAATCATCTTGGCACTGTGACTGCTGAGACCGGTTGGAATCTGCATGACGAAGCAGGGGGGGGGGGGCACTAAACATTTACGAACAAGCAGTTGAACAAATTCTTGCGGTCATGAAAGGTGTTACTTCGTTTAGTATCCAAGCCGGGGAATCTCTGGTGCACTTAGGCAGATCGGCTTCGAAATCGTGAGCCCTGAGCCCGAGCCTCGGCCTTCACCTTAGCCTGGTGGGTCAGTGCCAGCTTTCGGCTCTGCTCCTCCTAGCGGTGGCCCCGGCGTCCACGCTAATCGGTGCCCTTTAATCATTGGAATCATGGCAGATCCCGTCCTGGACGCTCCGCAGCCTGATGCCACAAGGCACGGGCACGGTGCATTCAAGAACAAGCTTTGCACTCAGCCACAGGCCGTTCCATTGCTTGCATCTTCAGCTGCTGCAGCTCAGCCTGAGCCTCACACACATGAACTTCCACCATCTCTCGTTGCTCTCACAGGGCACGAGGCATCCAACACATGCCCCTGGCACCAGCTCTCCCTTCTCCTTCTCCTGCTTGAACACTAACTTCAGCCTCCAGTCAAGTTCATCAAATACGGCCTTCTCGAGGCAACACAAGAGTAAAGGTCCTGGCCCCGAAAGCTCTTCGCAGAATGAACCTTGGCACCCCTGGATCTCGCCCAAGAGGGCGGCCTCCGCAGGGTAGAAATGCCTTCGGAAGGCCAACACGCCTTCGGCGCGCCTCCATCCGTGCCATCTGCTGCTTCAACTTGCCAACCTGCACTGAACGTAAAGGGCTCCAGATGTCGTCGGTCAATGAGTCAACCGGCACATCTAATTAAGTTCAAGCGAATCAACCTCTTCTTGCGTCTTGCTTCGAAGTTCGACGGCCTCCAAACACAGGTCCCACCGTCGATCAAAGTCTGTTGTCCTAGCCGCGTACACAGTCCAGGCCTGCTGCCAGCGTTTCTTTAGATCCGTCAGCTCAGCCTCTTGGACCCACTCAGGCGATGCAAGACTTCGCGTGACAAGCAGGACATGTGAGCAGAGCTGAGGTCACATTCTCACACCTCACCAAGCGGCGGTGATGCCAACACTATCAGATTAAAAGTGGTCCTGGCCTTGGCCACTGTCAGCTCACCGTCTGTGGAACTGGCGCGCGCTGCTCCGCGTACCTGGGCTGCGCCCTCCTTCCACTGCATGGTTTCGTTATGTTTCGTTTCCTTCCAAAACCATCTTTTCGCACATGACTTAGGCTATTAGGCTATGCTTCGTTGCTAAAGCTGCCCACAGCGTTCGGCCTCTGCATCGGTGGCGGCACGTCGGCGGTGCAGGTTGCATTCCTCTGACCTGCCAGGTCCTTTGCCAAACTCGTGTTCAGAGCCCCCACTTGGCAAGGCGTGTCCCGGCAGCCTCTGCATCTCGGCCTCCAGTGCCACGATCCTTGCTGTGAGCTGGTCAGTGGCGGCCTGCCAGGGTTCAGCCAGTGTTGAGTCTGCAGATGTGTAATGAATGCACCTAAATGCACCTAGTGAGCCGCAGTCCTGCAGATTGACATGCTCCAGGGCTGCTTCGCGGCGGTCATCAGCGAGGCGATCCTGCGTTGAAGCAGGCGCGCAAGCTATGCCCACTCTGTCACTCTGAGAAAGTAACAAGCCTCCAGGCTGCGGCGATGCTCCTGCCAGGGATGCGGCGATGATGTCGGGCAGCAGTCATTCATCTGCAAGATTCATCAGACGTCCATGTTGCCAAAGCTGTCCGCACTTGTCTCCTGAGCGGCGGCGTGCTGCCCACGCAGGTCTGATACGTGGCCTCAGCGCCAGTCGCTGCCAAATTCTGCCAACCAGCTATCAGCCTGATTAAAACATACTAGCAGCTTACTAGCAGAGACTAGGACCGGCAAGTGCCTCGCACTCTCTTGCAGCCTCACCATGCCATCAAATGCCAGGCCATGAGGATGACACACCTGCGCCTGCCTCCAAATTCTGCGCCTCAAGCTCTTGCAGCGCCTTCCAAACACCCCTGACCCGCCGCTGAGGAAATTGCAAGGCCACTCCCTCTCGGCACCGCCTCCTCGTCTTCCCGGACCTTGTGCTCCCAAGCCTCTCAGCGAGCATCTTCTGATTGACAAACTCTGAGGCTCTCCAGCGCCTGGGCCCTCCTTCGTGCTCCTTCGCCCTGCGATGCATTTTCTCTCCCGCGCGTGAGGCTTGCAGGTTGATGTTTTTGGAATGTTGTTTGGAGGTAGGTGCTGGCACCACGTGCTTCTTTAGATTTTTGAGACAAATATCCACCGGCGAGATTCCCGAACAAAAATGTATTCTGAAGCAAGGCTGTTTTGGCATTCGAACTGCTGGTTCCCAAGCTGGTTTGTCGCAAAAGGCACGAACGCTTGTCAGCGCGTCTTGCTGCAGAAATGTAATTCTTTTGTGCCGTATGTCGTACGAGAGGCACCAGCCTAAATTTCTGGCACTCTCCCCCCACCCCCCTCCCTCTGGCCGTCTGGGACCACCCCTCGGAAGAGACAACACTGGCTTTCCAGGCTTTCCTTCGTCTGCGATGCGCACGCTACACCCCGCGATGAGCCGGCTGCCGAGGCGCCGCGCAATGTTCAAGAGTGATGCCGTACCAGCGGGTCGGGCTTGGCAAGTGGCCATCCAACAAGCCCAAAACACTGCCAATACTAACAGTTCATTTTTTACAGGCGTTCTCTTTTGCTGCCTGTTCAATTAAAAATCGTTTGGATTCTGCAGCGCTCAGAAGGTGAACCTCAGCACATGGGTGGGCTCGGTGCTCGTGCTCATGCACAAGCATCATGGGCGTCATGCTCCCATCCATTCCCCGCCCCACATCGGTCTTTTCAGACGCTTTGCAGTTTCATTTTCCATGGGCCTAACGGCCCAACTCCGACCTCGAGCACACCGGACTGTCTCGCCAGCCCGACAGCTCATCCGAAAATAAGCACGTCGTCACATTGCGAGCGCCTAGGACCACTAATTGAACTTGCCCCACTTGCCCCAGTTGCTACTAGTAATGGATGTTGCCCCACTTGCCCCACTTGGTGGCCCAGAAAAGCTATGTCTGGAGCTTGGCAGGAATGCGGGGGGGGGAAGTGGGGCAAGCGGGGAAAAGCGGGGCAAGTGGCAGAAATCGCTTAGCGGTTAAGACAGGGCATTTCGGGCAAGTGGGGCAAAAGGGTTTCTGCTCAGGAACCAATTCAAGTGGGGCAGACGGGGCAAGTGTTGGCGGTCCCCGTTTGCACGCGCACTGCACTGCGTCGTCAGCAGTTCAGGTTAGCAGCCGCAAAATCGGCGAAATACTGTGATTTGTTTTGTGACATGACCCGACCATCAAAATCACAAGAGAGCCTTGTTAGCACCTGCAACCCCCCAAGAGGTGTCGACCATGATTCTACTGCATGTTCTCAAGCGCTGGCAGCAAGCCAGCAAAGGCATCAGTGTAAACGACTGTACCGGCCTACCCTAACCAACGACTCTTCATGGACATTGTGGTGGCGTTGCCGCCCCCGCACAAGCCCCCTGCTAGCACAGACATCTGATTGACCGCCTGCCCTTCCAGAAGCGCTACCTCCTTGCTGGCCTTGAGTTCCAGCTTGGCATCACTGGGACGGTCTAAGCTTCTAAGATAGTGCTCAGAGAAATGCAGAAAGCGTTGCTAAGCCCGCTGCTAGGCGGTCCAAGCCTTCTTGACAACTCGTGAGCTCTGCCTCTGGACTCACTAGCGCTTACTAGCACTTGAGTGGCTCCATCTCCCGAAGCACGGAACATGACATCATACGACATGCTGCAACATGACACGGCACGTGCAAGTGCCTCGTTTCGATGCTGAAGGGCCTGTGCCCAAAAGTATGCTTACTTGCTCGGAAAGCGGTTGCAAGTCGGTCTACCGTCCAGGGCACGCCTCTGACTGCTCTTCGATTTGCTGCTGTAGGTGCCGCCCGCCTCGAAGGCAATACAAGTTCGACCCATGCTGAGACTGAGAGAAGCCATGAAAAAGCCATGAAAAGCCGGGAACCGGTCAAGTCGTTGCAGCCGTTAGCGCTGCGTCCGTCTGCTGGGCGGCGCCTCTGAGCTGAACCTCCTCCTGGCCAAAAAAAGGCTGGTCCATCCTGGCGAAACGCCCAAGTGCAGATCAGGCCCCACAGCTAGACTTCCGTTAGTGCTCCCCAACCTGGAGGTGCAAAGTATTCTGCAGAGTTGAACAGGCGGTCCTTCTGCTTTGCCAGCATCTCTTGCTCTACTTCAAGAAGTTGCAGCTGAAGCTGAGCCTCACTAGTCTCGACGGGGCGTTTGTGCACGCTGCGCATCAGGAAGACCCCCCAAAATCCTCAAATTTAGGCTGGGCACCTGCCTGTCAAGAAGTGCAGCCAGGTCCTAACATTTCAAGCAGCCAGAACCAACTCGTGCAAGATCCTCAAACTAGGAGTACTTCAGCGTGCCTCTTTGCCTCTAGCATGCACGTTGGAGTCTTCCTCGTGCCTCCTGCGGGGGAAGCAGATCAGTGTTCTCACAATTGGTGGGTCTCGCACGGCACAGCTTTCCTCTTCAGCATCTCCATCTCCTCGGTCCAAGCCTGCCACAGGTTCTGCAGAGGCTGGAATCGACACCATCAGAAATCTGAAGCGCTCGCCCAAAGAACGCCTGTTTGTCCGCCACCATTGTTCGCTCCAAGGCCTGTCGTGAGTTCATGCGCAGAGCTGCACCCAAAAGCCGAGTGCTGCCCTGGCCTGGGATTGTGAGACAAGCCTTCCAACATCTTCCAAAAAATCAGCTGAAGCATGCTGAAGCGCAATTTTCCACACGAATTGGTTTGGATGACATCTCACTTTGCAGGCTTCGGCTCACTGCAAGCAGACTCCTCCGTTTCGGCCCAGCGACTGGCTAAGATCACGGCCCAAACGCCCCTCGCGGGTCGTGCGCTTCATGCAAAAGGCACTGATGCGTGCTGATCTTCCTTGGGCTCTGTCGGCCCTCCCTGAGTCTGGCCTGGAGATCACCAATCTCGGAAGACATGCGCCCTTGCCTGTCCGAAGCTCAAAAAAAGCGCTTCGCACTTGACAACGGGAACGAACTGGCGAGAAGTTGTCCGCCCTGCTGTCTCATCTACTTGTACAGTGCGAATTTTAGCCTGTGGCTTGCGGTGGCATTCTCGAAAGTGCGGCTCTCCTTCTCTCGCCTCATTTCAGCAGTGCTTTTTGGAATCAGACTACGAGGGTGAACAAACAAACTCTGAGGCCATCTCTTCAAGGTATCTGCCAGGGCCTGCACCGCCTGATGGGTAACAGCTCTGTACATGCTCTGTGCCGCCTGAAATCATCCTGAGTCACATTCCTCACATCCTCACGAGCATGCCGAGCGGCCACATTTGCTTTGGCACGACGAGCAGAAGCCTACAGGATGGCAAGCTCAAAGGTAAGACAAGTAAGATGCCACTGCTCCATCCATGTCCACGGGTTGTAAACCGCACTCCTCCGCACAGCCACCGTGGGAAATCATGCGGTCCCGCGCGGTAGCCAACAGGGCCTGAACTTTCAGGCAATTGCACTGTCCATGGATTGCACATGCGTGCATGGCGCATGCCGCTATCATTGCCTGCACCTCAGCATGGAGAGCCTGTGCATCACTCCTGAAGGCAGTGATCTGTGACAACAAAATCACGACAGGATCCTGTAATCGAATCCAGTGCTCGAGCCTGGGGTGTCTCCAGCACTCGAGTTGGGCGTAGAAAGGAATTGCGATGAACCCCCCCCCCTCCTTCGACGCCATGCCACAACCTCCCACCACCTACTGCTCAGTGGGATGCTGGCTGCACGCACCGCCACAGCGTTCTAGGTCTAGGCCTGGGTACTTTGAAGGTACTTTGAAACCTGTGAGCTCATAGCTCGCACGATTCGACGGATGAATCAGAGCCACCCCGCTGAGCGACGGCCCGTGGACACAAGGCAGCACAAACTTGCCATGGCCTGAGCGTCACCGCCTGACACCGATTCAGCTTTGTCGAATGGCGCGGCAACTGCGCAGCATTGTGGCGCCTGCCTCTGCTCGAAGAGTGTCTGCTTCCTCAGGCTGCAGAACTTGAACGATACAGCTGCGCATGAATCCATTCACGATCTGCTCCTGCACGCAAATCTGCCCGTAGATGCGCCAGTGCCTGGCTCCAGTGTAGCTGGCACCCGACGACGGCGTCGGAAAGCATAGGCTAGCAAATTCACTGCAAACTCAAAAAAACTGCTGCAAGCATGCTGCAAGCATGCTGCAAGCGGTCCTGAGTTTGTCGGCCGCCCGCAACTTCACAGCTGCTTGTCTGTGGCTGGCCATGGAGCGGGCTGCTGCAAGATGCCGGCTTGACTCGGTCTGGCAGGAGCTGTAGTCGTTTGCATGCTTCGCGCGGGAGATTTGCAGACGCTGTTCGTCTGCCACACCTTGCTGCGCGATGGTCTCAATCTCATCCCGTTGGAGCTGCGTCTGTTCCAAGAGCCGCTTGTTTGCATCTTTGATTGCAGCCGTTGCTGTGACAAGCTCCTCGTGGCTTCGGGCCTGCCTAACCAATTCACGATTCAGGTTCTCACAGCGCTTCTTCGCGATGTCCAGGGACTGCAAAACATGGCTTCCCAAAGCCAGGCTAGGGCCAGATCCAGATGGCCTCATTGGCCCCATTGGCCCCGAAGCTCCGCACGCATCCCTGGACTGAAGCAGTCCGCTCTGCATCTCGCTGATTATGCTTTGGATTTGACATATGTCTGCGCGCGGCTCTGTCACCCCTGCTAGAGGCAGAGCCGCAATCGACTTCAACTGCTCTAGCTGCAGCAGCAGCCGCTGACATGTACTGCCCCACAATTGCTCAGCACTGCCATCTCTGCCGTGGGCATCGACGTGGTTGGTCAAGCGCCTGTTTTCGGCACGGGCGAGCGGTGAAAGCGCCGCCATGGCTTCCGGCCTCTCGTCATCATCGGTCAGGCTTGTCGGAATCTGGTCCCCAGACGGCCCGAGGGCATTAGTCTTAGTCAGCTAATTATCAAGAGCAAGGCTGGCAGGTCCTAGGCCAGATGGAGGAAGCTTGTGTCAATCACTGCTGGAAAGCCTTCAAAAGCCTTCAATCAGCTCGGTTAACTACGGCTCCTCTGGTGTTGTGCAAGTCTTGTGTCTTGGATCATTGAAACATATTGAAGCCGAGGCCACAGGTCGCTATGACATGACACATCATGTGGATGTGCAGGAAACGCAGGAAACTGCAATCTGCCAATGGACTGGGCTTGGAAACAGGCAGCGCCAAGCACAGAGTAGTGCATGCTTCGGTTCGCTTGTCTTGCGAAAAATCGACACTCGGTGCATCTTCAGACACTTAGAAAATAGAATACTCAGACCGCTCCGTCGCAAAGGCGTAGAGCAGTAGCTTGATGGTGGCAGTCTCACTCACCAAACAAAGCAAAGAAGCAACAGACCGCAACAGACCGTCCCCTCGTTGGTGGCGTGGTCATGGCATGCTCTCAGCCGGCTCTTCACCATGACAGCACTGAGCTCCAGTCATCCCTTTCTCACGTGCGTTCACATACGTTGACCACGCTGTGCTCCAGAACACTGCACCGCACTGTGTCCAATGATTCCACTGAGGTCAAGCTTGGCATCAAGTAGTTGGCACAATCCATTGGCCATGGCCATGGGCTTCACGCACCCCACGACTTACATGGTTGCATGAGCGGCTCGTAGTGGATCTCAAACTCGTTTTAAGGGCTCACTCCAGACGGACGGGCTGCACTGGCCCAAGCTTCAATGGCTTAGCGAATCTCTGTGCTGGCACGCGATTCCTTCTCACTCTCTTGACAGAATGGATCCCTCTCACACATCCCGAACTGGAATTCTTCTGGGCATGCGAGGTTCGCAGCGCTAGCTGGCAGAGCTGGTGGTCACCGTGAAGACCCTTGCTGAGCACATAATCTGCCACATCCCGCACAGCCTGTTGCTTTTCGCTTTGCAGGCGGCAGATCGCCGTTCGAATCTCTGACGCCAAGCTCTCTGGCATCCTTGCTGGATCTGAGCGCGTTGTGCCATCCAAAGGAACTTGTAGTAGGGCCGCCACAGCTGTCCAGCGTACCTCCCAGTCTCGATGCAGCATGGCACCCATGATCACCTCGGCTTCATGTCGCATGCTGCATGAGTCTCGTCGTTCAGCGACAAACACCAGCACCTACAGTCAGCTGAGATCTTTCCCCCTCCTGAAGGCAAGGCGCTTCTAAGGCCAGGCGGCTACACGCATTCGAGTGGGCCAGGAATGGCTGTATCGCAGCCGCTGCCGACAGCTGCATAAACCTGAAACAACATAAAACGACCCCAACTTTTCAGGGAGCCCTTGCAAGGCATTCGGGCACAGCCCGGCCTGCTTGGGTCACTGGAGTCCACCAGACCCGCAGCCAGCACGTCAAGCCATTCGACAGACGCCGTCATGTCCTTGACCATCAATGAGCAGCAACACCACTTTTTTTTGCTGCAGTGTAGCAAACAAAGCACCCATGAAGAAGCCAAGGAGCTGCGGATGCTGCCACGACTGAAGAAAGGCCAGGCGAACATGCCGCTGCAGCGCACCGCAGCGAAATTTCGCGTGACTGGATGCCAGCTATGACCGCAGGCACAGCAGATTGCAACAGCGACGCAGGCACCTGATTCTGGGCAGCACTACATCTGCCGAGCATTGAGGCCAACAAGAGGTAGCCACCTGTCTTTGCGCTGGCACACTTTTCCTGTACCAGGTTCAAGGCCTTTTCGATGCCAGTGCTTTCATGTCCGCTCGACAGTCTCCGTGCGATTTCGATGCCAGCCTTTTGAACGGAAACCTGGCGGCTCTTCAAGCTGGGAATGAGCAGCTCCAAGTAGCCTTACACGCAAGCAGACATGTTTAAGCCTAAGCACCATTGGTCTTCTGATCGAGTTCCTCCTGTGTGAAAAAAGTTTCCAGTGCATCCCAGTGCAAGCACTTGGGAAGCGACGCGAACATGTAAAACAATAACAACCTAATAGGTACTAACAAGTCTGGACAAGCTTAAGTAGAGCTTTTCGCCAACAGTTCTCATGCATCGCGTGCGCATTGTGCAACTTCATGGAACAGCACCGGTTTCGGCTATGGCGGCTACAAGCAGAGACGTGCCATCCCATTGGACGAAGCCTTCAGGAGCTTCATGATATCTCTCGATAGCGGTCCAAAGCTGTCATGCAGTGCTAGTGGCTCGCGAGGCACTTCCCCTACACGGACACGGCCCTCACATCATGGCCCTCACATCTAACTCTAACCCACTCCAGGCTTTTTGACATGTGTTGACCCCATTTTGACCCCTGCTTCAAAATGCCGTGGCCGTAGCATGCGGCCAGAGGGCGCTTGTCCCACGGGGTCGCCAGCCTCCGGAAAGCGCCGACCACCAAGCGTCTTCTACCCTTGCGATGTGCGAGATGTCTTGTCAGCCTTTGCGTTTTTTGATCCAAAGTCTGGGGCTCTTGGGGGTTTAGGAGTTACCGCGAGTGGCGGAGTGGAAGTTGCAGCGGCGTGAAAGAACTGAAAGAACAACTTGCGACTAACTTGCGCCGCGGGGCGGGGACAGGACGCGCAGGCGCTCTTCCGGGCCGAAGGTGCGGGCCAACTCAGCGGCCGCAGCCCGCACCGCGTGGTGCCGGTCCAGGAGGCGACAGCCAATGCCGCGCAGCGCGGTGGGAAGGATCTTCTTGCCGGCCAGAGGAAGACTTCCAAAGGCAGCCAAGGTGGCTCGACGAACCTCAAAAGCCCTGTGGCACAGGTATCGAAGCAAATCGCTTGATACAAAGCCCACTGGGCTGAGACACTGACGGAGCAGAATCAGCAAACACTCTGGGACAGAATTTCGCATCTGGACGTCCGGGCTCACCAGACATGAAATGCATGATCTGAGTGCTTCCTGCACAGTGGAGATTTGGAGCAGTGCCTGTGCAGCAGGCATGCGCGTCTTGGGATCCTTCATGTGCTGGAGAACACCAGCGATTGCGGCCGCATCGCCGCGTCCAACCAGCTGCAAGGCTTGCACGCCAACACTGAGAGCCCACGGACAGCCAGGCCCCAAGCAAGCGAGCGCAGCGCGAATCACAATCACATCGCCAGGTCTGGAAATCAATGCCACGGCCTTGACGGCCTCTTTTCGCACACCGTCATCCGTGTCCTGCAGTCTCGCTGCAATCCCAGATAGGACATGTATGCTTTTGCAGTTCCCGACCAGCTGCTGGAGAGACCGAAGGGATTCTCGACGAACACGTGGGGCGCTGTCGGTGATGCCTTGACGAAGGTAGACAGGGGGTGACCCGATAAGGGCAGCAAGGGCCTGCGCACTTCCGATCTGTGCCAGGGACCCCACTGCCTGGGCCGCTGCTTCCCGAATCGCAGCTGAACAATTTGGACCCAGGAATCTCAGGACGTTGTGGATGTCCACGAAGTTCTGTGACGCCGATGCCTGTGATGACGCTGATTCTTTGGCTCCAACCTTTACGAGAGCAAGGAGTATGGCCAGCTGAACCTCTTCCTCGGCTTCAATCTGCAATCTCGACTGAAGGCACTGCGTGACCACAGCGTGGCCCTTCGGTGCCAGCATCTCGAGAGCCTTCACAGTCGCGAGCCTCACCGCTGCCGCTGCGTGGGCCCGGCATCGGCTGACGGCTGAAAGGGCGGTTTCGTCACCAAAAGCCGCCTGTTCCTGGACCGCTTGGAGGACAGCCACTGCCAGCTCTGGCAGCTTTAACCCAAACTCCAAGCAACGACACAAAGCTCGCAGCGAGATCTTCGTGCCCTGCTCCTGGCTGATCCAGAACCCCTCAAGCCTTCAAACTCAAGTCAGCGACTTAAATGGAGAACAAAACCTAGCCGCAGTACGCAAGTTTCGTATTCACCGCTCGCGGTCGTGATCAGGAGGCCTCAAATGTATGAGCCTGAGCGACACTGAATCTGACAGGGCAGGGTGCCACCCAGTACATGCTCAACACAAGCCGTCACAGGAACAGTGTGAAACCATGATCGGGTCCTGGAGCAGGAGCCCTGCCTCAGGCCAGCAGTGCGACTTCGACTGGAGGAACTCTTGAAGCTACTGAGTGCTACTGGCAGTCTGAGACAGACGGCATCGTTGCAGCCTGAGCTCAAGCTTCGCCAGGCAAAGGCTGGCCAGTCGGTCCAAAGCAAGGAAGTCCGCTGCCCAAAGCAACTTTTCCAGATCGCTCGGCCCTCCTTTTGAAAGCCTTGGAGTGACTGTATGAGAGGTGGCAAGAAGCAAACCCAAAGCCAACGTCGACCGACCTGCTGTCCAGTTGCTTCTTGCTCAGCACCCACCTCCCTTGCACGCGGTACTCTTGGCAATGCGCAAGGACCCATCGCAGGGCGAGGCTGTCAACAAGAGGAAGCGGAATCTCGTCGCCATCCTGTAGCACAGCAGAGGGGTCTGTTCCAGCCTAAATTCCGTGATCAAAACGCACACACACACACAAACAAAAAACACACACACACACACACAAAAGAAACTCAAGAGTGACAAAACCGTGTCACTGTGACTAGGCCCCTAGGCCCCTAGGCCCCTAGGCCCCTAGGCCCCTAGGCCCCTAGGCCCCCAGGCCCCTAGGCCCGTCAAGCGGCTCCGGAGTCTGCCACGCTCGCCAGGACAGGGCTCAAGGCCACGATGCCATCGCCGACTTCGAAGATATCCTGAAGTTCTCTTCCGCCCTGCTTGGAGGTTCATGGGTGCGTGATTCTAGTGCAGGGTTCTAAGTACCCCTAAATACAGGTAGAAGTATGCTTGCAAAGCTTATCGCGCTACTGATGAAGCTACCCATGAACCTCCAAGTCTTGGAGTTGTTGGTTCGTCCCGGCTATATACGCTTCAACCCTTGAAATGGAGTCTCGTAATGATAAGTTCCGACTAGTAAAGTGGCTCGAATGGAGCGAAACGTTGCCGAATCAAAACATCAAAAGCTGTTCGCAATACCCGGATTTATCAAGAATAATTCCGGCCCCCACCCATTATAAGAACTGAAACTTAAAGCCTCCAGCCTTCAAGGCTGCAGTCTAAAGATCTGAAACTTTAAACATTTGAGAAATGAAGTCTTGTAGGCTACATGCGACCAGTGGCTTGACACCGCGAAACAAATCTGGAACTTGAGGCGACCCCGTATCGTTCCGACAATTGACCTCGACGATTCATGGCAGACGACATTGCGCATTCGTTCATCGGTCTTTGCTGTCGTTCGCATCCGAGGAGGAACCAATTTCATAGCGTTCTGAAGATTCACCAGCACGAAATAATGCCGTCCCAGCGGCACCATCGCTGGATTTCAGTCTTGCCATTGTCTGCTTGGCAATTGCGCATAGTGACGGCACGGAATCACATCAGCATTCGATACTGGAAAGGGAAGAGGCCATGTTTAGGGCAGGGGACCTTTTCAGAACGCTTCGATGAGTTGCTGAGCCGACTCTTGATGTTGGGAGGTCGGTGAGGCCAAGCCTAGCGAACATGCAAGGTGCACTGGAATCTCTGCGGGTGAGCTTTTTTTTCAAGACATCCAGGCTTCTGGGTGTGTACGAAGGTGTAGGACATCCCTCATGTTTTCCCCGGCGGCAGGACACGTGAATCATGTGATCAGAACAGAATGCGCGATAGCAAGTCATGACAAGTAAACCGATCAAAACGTCGCCGTTGCCTTGGGGCAGATTCTCCAACTTTCAAATTTCAAAAAGTTTTACTTCTGAGAGCTTCAGGCTCAGCATCCAAACTGCTTGACTCAGTCAAGCAGGCTGCACCGAGGCTGCGCCCCAAACTTCAAACATGATGCTGGCTTCCCCCCAATTCCCCCAAGAATGCACAAACCCCTGCAAAAATGTCCCTTCCGGTGATCACATGGGGAGTCCAGCACCCAAAGTTGCACGTCCATTTTCAGTGATATGCACCCCGAAGCCTTGAAAATCCCTTTCTGAAACATCGCGCATACAGAAGATCATCACATTGTCCTCACTTCTGGGTTTCTACCAAGTGCCTCCACCAAAGCTCAATGCAAACCTCAAGCTGAAGAGGCTATAGGACGATTCTTTAAGGGAGCTTAGAAAAGTCCGGGAGCAACACTGCCGCTTGCCAAAACAATGAATTTGTGAACAGCCGGAGCCGAAGGGCCCGAGACGTGTCACTTGCAGAGGGCCGCGCTGCGTGCGCTCTGCCCCGAATCCTGTTCTTGCTACAGCCTTCAGGCAGCACGGGGGGATCATTATGAACTATGGGGTATACCGAAAGACCCCGAAAAAGCAACCTGCAATTTTAGAACCCATCCGTGCGCCCGGCGAAATGAAATGAGGCTCCGCACCGATTTCTAGCATGGGCGCGGGCGGAAAATGCATTTAAGAGAGGAACTTTTTTGGGGCCATTGGTCATTGCATGGCCAAAGAACGTGGCATCTTGCCATGGATTACGTCAGCACAGACAAGCAATCTAGCAATCCGGCAAGCAGCATCCGCAAAAGTGCCTGCTTTGCCAAGCTACTGTGCTGAATAGAAATTCCAGCCTTCTGTACTTCTGTTTGCAAACAGTTCAGCCATTGCTAAGCGAGCGCCGCTGCAGCCCACCTGACACAACAAGCCTATACTAACTTATACTACTTGTACACATGGCAAAAATCTGGGGTTTACGATGATAAGAGGGCCCCTAATGTATGATCCCCTTAAAATACTGGGCCCCAATAAGGTTAACACAATGGAGCAGACATCCTCTCATGGAGCCGTTGATCCCCAAAAATCCTAAACCCTAAACCCTAAACCCTAAATCCCCTCAAAAAGAAACAAGAAAGAGGCGGCCTGAAGGCCGTAGAGCTGCCGGTCGCGGCTTTATCACAATTCTTCGCCCAGCCATGGTAGCGTTGAGGCCCCAATCCTGACATGCAAAAGCATCTGATCCCTAAACCCTAAACCCTAAACCCTAAACCCTAAACCCAAGAAATTTTATAAACTTGGACCTTCCTACCCTTCGGCAAAGGGTTCTCAGGCCACGGCCTCGACCTTTCAGCCGGGTCGACCTTGAGCAATGCCTCGAGCAACTCCATGAGGGAGTCCTTGTCTCCGCAAGAAGAGGGCTCAAGTCAGGGTGTGCTTCCAGAACCGGGAAAATATTTGCTAAATCAACTTTCGCATGAAGGAGATGGCACATGTGGCATTGCAATTTCAGGGGGCGCAAACAAGCCCGCTGCATGTCATTACAGTGTTACATTGTCGCTACATGTGTGGCGAACAGCCATCCCGACCCCAGCATGTCGGCGAATGCTTCTTTGAAGGTCTGACTTCAGCCTTCAGCCTTCGGCTCTTTCAGCACTTTTACTCATTTTACTCGATCTGGAATCTAGAAGCATGTCCTTGAAACTTGAACCGTCCAAGCCGTCACATCAAGTTGCACTGAAGACCTCGGAAAGTCGAGCTCCACCACTGTTCCCTGAGCTGTGCTTGAAAAGCGTGGCGAGCATTGCACGAGTGTCAGGTGCTATGGCTGCTATGCCAGCCCCTAGAACACTCCCACCAAAGCGGAAGCACCAAATGCACACCAAGTCACGTGCCTTCCTCTTCATCATATAAGCCTGAAGTCCCTTCTGCCGGGCGAATTCGAAACACTTGCAGCCATTGGGCCTCGGTTGCAGGCACGAGCAGTCTTCGGCATTTGGCCCTGCTTTCGTGAGCTTAAGGTGAGGACTTTGTCGTCAGCCATGGGTAGTCTTGGGCCACCATCCTTGAGGAAAGTGAGCCCAACACAAGTTCAGCAGACGTGACAGGTAAGAATCCATGCATGCCAACAGCCAGGCAACCCGAAGAGGACCACCCCTACGGAGAAGGCATCAGCCAAGCAAGGATCCTCAGTTGGGTGCGCAAAGTTCTTACATACACCAACTCTGCTTCCGATCAGTACCTCCATTGGACACATTTTTCTAAAACTTGTATTCCCAGCTTTTCTTAGCCTTGCTCCCTTTCGGTTTTCAGTTTAATGTGCTGGGTTCCCATTTTTTCGTCTCAGCTTAGTCTCCAAGCACCTTTCTTATTCTAAGGGCTTTGATTTTTTTATGGGTGTGTTTTGGGCAAGGTCGGAGGGGTTGGAGGTGGGGATTGCGGTACTAACTGCAACCCTGCTGACCACTGCATACGTTTCCTGACCTGAAAGATGCGAGAGCAAACTCCCGCACTGGTGCCAAGTAGCAAAGTGCAACGCACCTTTTCGCTGGCTTGAGCCAGTAGATGCCAGTCCATGCCCATGCTGCTCATGCATGCATAGACATGTCGGGACCTCAGATTTCACACCCATAACTTTCTTTATGGGCATGGATCCGAAAATTGGACCAGCTGTCAGCTGATCTTAGTGAAGCTCACTTCCACACGACTGCTTCTCATGAGGAGGTCAAGCTGCGGAGCCTTCATGGCCTTTGTCAGCCCATCTGCCGCCATGGTGCTCGTGTCGATCCAGCGGATCAAGGTGGTGGCGTTCACGGGAGGAGCATCAGAGTACAAGGGTCTCCAACTTCCTCGCCAGCCTTTCGCCACACCAGCTGTCTGATCCCGCAGAGATCTATAGCTAGCCGTTTATCAGCCACGGTGTGGAGTCCGGCCTGGTTCACATGCTCTTCGAGCGATCGGCAGTCCGTCAGCATGATGAGCTCCCGCGCGTCCATGGCCTCGGTGAGAGTCTTGTCCACCTTGCCGCCGAAGACGTGGTGAAGTAGAGCCCGGACATGTTCTGCTTCCTCGTATCCTTAGATCAAGGCCAATGTTTCTGCCTGAAGCGTTGAGCGACAGACTCGCCTTATCACGTTGGAGTGGTAGCCGAGGATGTAGACCTGCCCGCCGGAGTTCTCCAGGAAGTCGTGCCCACAGAGAACCAGCAGCCTCCCTGCCTGGGAGCGGTAGCCAAGCCGCTTGCCGTCCTGTGAGGTGTCAAAGTCCGCGGCGTGGCTTGCATCTGTGATGGAGAGCACCTTCGCATCCTCGATCTCCATTGCTCCGTACGGAAAGAAGAGGCCCTTATTCGGGGTGGACTTCACGTAGCTGAGGAGCTGGTTACAGGAGAGGAGGTCGTCCACTGTGCAGGTCTTGAGGACAGTCTGAAGGCGGTGCACCTGGTAGGCGATGTCGATCCTGCAAACACGGACCAACCAATTCAAGGTGCCCACAACGGAGCGGAGTTGCCCGCGCTCCGAGTCAGTGGCCTCTGCTCCTCTCATCTTGCGCCGTTGACCGTCCAAGTGAATTGGACGCACCTTGGCAGCCGGATTAGGACAGCTCACGCGGATTCCATCCACATCCTGAAAGATTTGCCGGCCGCAGTACTCGATGAGCTTGTCGTCGTCAAGAGTTCCAAATTTGAACTCGTTGCGGAGCCGGGCCGCGATGTCTTGCATCTGCTGCTCGCCTGCCCAGAGAATGTCGTCGACATGTGAAATGAGGACGCCTGCTACGCGGCCTTCCTTCTTGAGCACGTAGCAGGCGTGCTCAAGAGGAATGGCTTCCAGACCTTGTTCGAGACATACCCGATGAAGTCTCCTCCAGAATCCGCGGGGTGCATCCCGTGTGCCGTACACGGGCTTTCTGGCCACTAGCAGTGACCCAGGCTCCACGCCTGGGAGGCCACCTGGCGGTGGACTCAAGATCAACGTTCTCTCCATCGGTTCTCCCTGCAAGAAGGAGGCGGTGATGTCGCCTCCACGAATCTTCCAGCGCTTGCTTGCACACGTGGATAACATGAAGTTGAGCATCAAGGATGAACAAGTAGGGGAATCGGTTCGTGCGTCGGCAGCTCCAGATTCCAGGTCGCCTCGCACAACAATGCGAGACTTGTAGCGTGCCTCCTCCCATGGCTGAGCCTTGTTGGTGTCTACCCATCTCATCGGGGTGACGCCGATGTCGGAGTGCTCCTTCAGGAAGGCATCAACTTGAGAAGGAGGGATCACGTCCACTGCATCAAAATCCTTCCAATTGTTCCACTCCTTCCCGCGTGCTTGCGCGATGCCTTCTCTCTGCTTGCCCTCGGACTTGTTGAAGTTGAGCTCTTTGGCACGGGCTGCGGCGCTCTTCTTGTTCACCGTCCTCTTGGCCAAGAAGGCGCCAAAGGCTCGAGAGGAGGTAGATGCAGTTGAAGCCCCGGTTGCCGTCTCCGTACTTGAAGGTGGCGGTAGTCCAGGAGGTGGTCGACGTTCAAAGGTGGGCTCCGTGCGTACTGAAGGAGAGAGCTCGCGTTTCCGGGCTGGGTGTCCATCAAGTGCATCCACAGACCGATGCATAGCTTGCTGCAGAGGGGTGAAGGTCACCGGTGGGCCGGCAGGTTGAATCTCGGTGGAGTCACGTCGGCTGGGTGGCATGTGCTCCTGATCTGGCTCCGAGCTGATCTCGGTTGTAGGCGCCAAGGGAGAATCTGGGACAGGAACGTCCACACCAGGAAGTTGGTCAGGCGAAGGTCCAGGAAGAACAGGAGGTGGAGCAACGCCTCCAGGGCCGTCTGGTGGTCCAGGTAGTCCAGGAGGAGGTGCAGGTCCATGTGAAGGTATAAGCGACGGCGCTGAAGCGGGCACAGGTTCGCTGATGTCGAAGAAGGTACCCTGCGCTCCAGCTGCCGTTCCAGCTCCACTGAGGTCGTCGCCGAAAGGGTAGTCGTGGTCGTCGCTGTCCACGCCGTCGAGGTCCTCGCGTCTTCGTTTCCGGCTCGGCTTAAGCTCCAGCTGCCTCTTGGCAAAGGCTTCGGCGCCTGTTGCAAAACGAACTTGCTCAACGGACACGGTAAGAGGGATGCCACCGTGCACGATCCAAAGAGTCGAACGGCCCTCCTGGCCGACAACCCTTGCAGGGCCAAACCATTTGTGGGGTCCTGGGCCAGCCTTTCTGCGAAAGCAGACAAGATCCCCTTGGACAAAGGGGCCACGCATTGGAACACTCTTCCTGAGGAGCGCTGCCCGAATCCTTTCAGAGGAGTCGGCCTGCGAAAATGCTTGCCGAGCCGCGCTTCGAATGGCTGCCTGCCTTGCGAAGGCTGTCTGGCCGTCGTGGATCTCCTGATGCTGTCCAAGTCGATCGGGCGCAAGAGGCGAAGTAAGGCTGTCGACTTCTGGCGGCAGTCGTCCAAGAACCCATTGGCTGGGAGTGAAGCCGGCATGGTGGAGGCGATTGTTCTTGACCGTAGCCGCCTCCACGCCTAACATTTCCATAGCTTCTTGCCCTTGGAGCTGTCGGCTGGCAACCACACGTCGCATGATGTCCTTCATCACGGCACCTTGTCGCTCTCCTCGGCCGAGCTGGAAGGGTGACTCCAGCCCCGTGTAACGTAGTAAAGTCCCGTGGGACTTCAACATGGCCTGGAACTTGCCTCGGTTCTCGCTGCCTCGGTCAAGGGTCACAGTCTCCGGAGCACCAGCCCAGGACAGCCATCCATCCCGGAACTTTGTAGCGCATGAAGAGGACGAAGGAGGGCCATGTCCCGTGCCAACTAGCCACACAGCGTGGTACAGCGTTCCATTGTCCACAGCGGATAGGTACTTGTACTTGACGCCGTCAACATCTCGGACAATGAACACATCGATGGAGATGTTCTTGTTGAAGGTGTGCTCATTCGGCATCTTCACAGGTCGCGGTTCGTTGGGACGTTGCACACAAGCACAAGCTGGGCAGTGGAAGTGGTTGAGTGCCTTGATGGCGGCGGGATCGGCGCCGGCTGTCCGGAGTAGCCGCTGCATGGCGGCTGCACTGCTGTGGCCTGTCATGGTGTGAAGTCTCCTCAGCGCCACACGTTGGCTTCGAGGGAGCTGTCGCCAGGCATTCCGAGAAGCCATAAGAGGCGCAGCTTCCACTTCAGGTAGAACAGGGGGCGCCGTCTCCTCACGGATGGTGTCGAGGTGCTCGTCCTGTCGCCTGTTGCCAAAGATGACGCCATCGCTGAGCGCAGTGGCCTCGTCATCCGGTGTGAGGATCGCGTCGAGGGAGCCGGGGTCGTCATCGTCCACGATCTCGTCTTCCAACTCAGCCTCTGCTGGAAAGGCTGTCTGGACGGAGGTGTTCTCAAGTGATTCTAGCATACCATCCAAAATCGCCTTGCACAGCTTGGGAGTCCATTCCTGAGCACGACGAGTATGGTCTGCTTCTTCAAGAGGTTAATGCAGGTGAGTGCCAGGGCATAGCCGCGCAAGCCGTTTCTTCAGCTCAGCGGTCGCGGTGACAAAGGCAGTCGGCCTTTGGCGCGGAAAGTTGTTCTTGGCATCCTTGAGTCCGAATTGGCACAGATCAGCCCTGACTGCTTCTAAAGGCTCCATGGTGAAGACGTCGTGTGGCGGTTGTTCAAGTAGCCGCCGGCTCATGGGAAGTCGCCATATAGCACTGCCCCACGGATGCTCAAAGAGGAACTGTCGGCCCTTGGCAAGCCGTTTGCGGGCCGTGCTCTGGAGCCACTCGATCACTGGGGTCCACCGGCGCCTCTCCTCCAAGCACTTCTCCCATGAGTCCCCAGCAAGCATGTTTGTCCAAGTTGACCACGTGGCGCAAACCGGGGAGCAGGTGATGGCGTAGGGGTCGTCCCGCTCAATGATGCGGTCCACAGCGTCGCGGCCATCGCGGGTAAGAAGGTCGAGGCCTGGGCCAAGTCGGACGTCCACCGGGTCGCTTACAGGAAGACCATAGTCACAGGAGGCCATGTGCGTCAAGACAGCAGCGCCAGCAACCAGTTCAAGGAGGAAAGTCCGGCATCCACGCGGGAGAAACGATGGCCTTCTGGTCTTCTTCCCCAACATTTGGCCCCAGAGAATCTGATCTGTCGCCGTGATGTCCTCGATGTCTCGGCTGACCCTTGCCGACTGCCCCTTGGACATGATCTTGCTCTTGAGAGCG